GGGGGGCAACGACACGCACCTATAATTATCATCCTAATAAAAATTTATTACGATATCGCATAACGCAAAACTATAGGATAATTCAACTGTTAACAATTTCAATGTGATTAATTTATCCCATAAAAAAAACGATGATTTCTAAATAATAAATGAAACGATTTTTTTCTCGTAATTTATTCGGTCTAACAAATTAATCTTCGTTCTGGATACAAATTAAAATTGGGTATTAAGTCCACCGGATAATTCAATTGTAGTGGCATTAATGTATGGATTAGCGACAATTGTTTGTACCAATTTTGCAAATTCGTCTGGATGACCAAATCGATTTAGTATTGGAATACATTCGTTCACAAAAGCCTCCACCTCATCCTTCGAAATTTGACCGTTCACTGGTGTTTCAATAACGCCAGGTGCAATCGCCACCACACGAATGCCAATGTCTTCTAAATCAGCCGCCATCGGTTTTGTTAAACTGTGGATTGCCCCCGATGCGGCTGCGGTAGCAGTTTGGCCTTGAAGTCCATCAAATGCTTCAATGCCCGCAGTATTTATAATCACACCCCGTAATCCATCATTGTCCGTCACAATCGTGACACATTAAAAGTTCCAACAACATTTGTCTGTGGATTTCAACAATATTTTTTTCATTTATTAAAAAAAGTCATTTTTCTGACATGAATTCAATACATTCATACATACCTTCAATACTTTTTTAAAATCCTCATGATTTCTTGGCTGTTTTCTATTAAAATTGTATGTGATATAGGCATTCATTAGGCCGGCACAATTAACTAATACATTTAGTTTGCCATAATTTTGGAAATTTACGATAGCACACGTTGGATATCTTCTTCGGAGGTTACATCGGCTGGTATGTAATGTGCATTTTCACCCAATTCTTCCGCTACGTTCGCACCATTTGATGTTGGTAAATCACAAATCACCACTTTTGAGCCATTGTTAACGAGTCGGGTGACCGTTGCTTTACCAAGACCTGATGCTCCACCAGTCACAAGTGTTACTAAATTCTAAACACAAATTTATAAAAACAAAATTCAATTTTAATTCAGTTTTTATGAATAAAATGGATTTTAAGCAAAGAATCTCCTCTTCTTACAGAAAATCATATTTTTTTTACCTTAAACATTTTAAATTTGTCAATTGTGTGAAATAACTAGCAAAGTTGCGAAATAATTTAAAAAAAACCGTGTTGATCAATGACTTCGGCATAACTTTGTTGGTTATGATCAACATTTGACAACAGCTGGTTCGGACAACAAATGTCAAATTCATTCTTTAAACCAAATAAATGTCTAAAGAAGTCGAGTGCGTGCGAATATTCAAATATTTATCTGATGAAATAAAATATAATGTTATGAAACTTTGTTCAACCGTTTTTTTTTTATTGGTAATTCTAAAACTTTCGACTACAAACAAATGAAATGTATTGCGGATCATAACACCACAGTTGCGACTCGAACACATATTCGAAATGTTCAACCATGCCTTCCGCCTTGTAGCGAAATGCACGTTCATTTGATTGGGTATATTATCTCTTCCTTGTGGTTGTTGAATGTTGATTTAAATATTTCACATAGTTTTGACTCCTCACTTGCAGAATCCATGAGAAAAATAAAGCCCATATTGCGAGCAAAAAGGGTTATATAATATCAGGTCAAACATCAGTAACCAATCAACTTCCAAATGAGCCACGCGAATTGACGCGTGAGGTATCATTCAGCAATCTTGACTGTGTGGTAATGATTGGCAGTGTTGTCGGTCTATTTTTCGGTGCTTCTTTTCTTAGTTTGGCTGAAATAATATATATTTGGATTTTACGTAAATTTTAACATACATAACTATAAATAATGCCACCAATGTACGTATATCATTTACGAAATTGAATCATTTTTTAAGAACACAATTTTTGAAGTTTATGATTTTTCCAGCTTGTTTTCAATCGAGCACAGAATTGTTTGCAGAGTGACTTTGCATTTGAAATATTGAAACATTCTAATTTATTTAGCGCCGTTAAAACAAGCCACGAAAGGCATCCTGGTACATTTGTAACGATTTTTCATTTTTTATTGAAAATTCCATTCGTGTGTACAGTTTATGTGTTCTCGAAGTGTTCAAAATGTTTTTGTGTGATTTCAAAAAGTTTGTCATTTTTAAAGTGCAAGAAAGTGTTCAGCTTTTCAAAAAATTCCCATTTATTCAAATTGTGTCGAGATTCAAATGTGCACGGCTTCAATCATATAGCCGATAGAAATTATACAGCACCTGAAAGGTTTCAATTCAAATTTAAAATATTTTAGATAAGTAGTTTTGTCATAGAATTTTTATCATTGGCTACTTTTGGTCCTTTTTCCACCACAGATTTCGGTCGCGTAAGTTAATTTTTTATATTTTCAAATATGAAATGTAAATCGGAAATTGGAGTTACTGCATTTTTAAATATTAAAGAAAAACTCTATCGATCAATCCTGATAGACCCTTGTTTGTTTAATCTTCTTCTTAATTCATGTTAGACATGATTTCAATGAATATAATCAAAATCATCATAGTTCCGACATCCTATGCCAGGCGTTTTATAGCGATATTTCTGCATGATACTTTCTAGTTTATTTAGACTTTCATTTTTGCATGAATAATTTGCCAAGAATGAAAATGAAAGCAGTATGCACAGAAACAACTAAGTAATCTCAATCGCCTTATTGTTGTCCAAAATTTACTTTAACCATTTACAACAAGATTAAGAGAATTGGGTCAGTGAAATGAAATGTGTGACTTCAAACAAATCAATCCGTTCACTGTTTTTTACTTGTTAAGTGTGAATACATAAAATATCTTTGCGACAACACATTTATGAGACATAAACTTCAAATATACTAGAATTGAAACAATCCATTGGAATACACTTTCATTTGTTCGTCCGCCGCATAAGACGTGATCGCTACAATAAGACAAAAAAATAGTCAAAAAAGTCAATCATTTGTAAATATATACTGATTTCATTGCATTGATTCGGTTATTGTTTCGGCCAGCATTTAGATCAAACTACAAAATGTCATAATTTCTTTTAATATTTTCATTCAGATGACTTGAGTCTTGTATGAACAGTCTGTAGAATTTCCGTAAATTGAATACATGTTTACACATCAAAAGTACCTTCTGACGAAGCCAATGTAAATGATTTAGTCATCGGATGAGTTGTTTACATAATTTTAAGTTATTGAAATAACTCAGTTCCAATTCTTACATTGGCATACATTTAAATAACGGTAGTTAAGTTGTACAAGGTGTATGGTAGAACGCGATTGTGAAATTATCTGCCGTCATTTCTTTAAACAACCAAATGTGATTTTAAATACCAAAAATGGAATATGTCCGGAGTGAAAATGTTTTAAAACAATGTATTTTTCTTTACATTCTTCACATTCACTAACCATCCGCAGTCACGAATAGCTTGTGATTTGATATGAGTTTAGATGTTGTTTATCTGTCTTCTTGGAGCGCATAGAATTGAAATTACATTTTTATATGAAAATTCCACAGATAGTAAAAAAAACCCGGCATATTAACAATAAATTTTACAAAACAGTTAAGTTTAAAGAGTCGTCGGTCACAGACCTGAGTTATGTAACTATAAAATTGATTATTTATTCTTATTAGGAAGAAGGGAAAAAACGGGAAAAAAGAGCAGCAGAGCAGTAAATCTGGCGTTGAATTCAGACAAACAAAAACAACAACAACAAATGATATACGTTTGGCTGTCTATAGCTTCTTTAGAATTTGAATGTAATTAGGCAAAATGTTTATTCTTTCGTTTGATTAGTATGTTGTCTTGCAGCACCATATGTAGCTGACACACTTTATTTACGTGGGATCTCATTTACTAATTTTTCCGTTGATCCATAAGACCGGTCTTTGATCTCTTGAAAAGCCGTTGAATACCGAATTTAAAAACCAAAAATAAAATCTAAGCGCTGCGAGTATTGATTTCATATTCTAATTTGTATATTTTAAATCGATAAATCGAAATGCATTCGAAACGATAATAGGTCTTGAACATTTATTGTGTTGATATGTTTAGTCATAAGATCATTTAAGTTCTTTTCTCTTCTGTTTGAGATGCTTTAATTTGTTCGTTGACATTCTATGCCGTCCTACTCCATCATTCAGCCATTCATAATATTCAATTTGTATATTATTTGAAATTATCGCTGTGACTTTTCTACATAAATAAGACCTACTCGTTTCGTCGAACTTTTGTATAACAATGACGAATCGTGTGCAAATGCGAACGCTCTGAAACGAAAAAAAAATCTAAACAATTATTCTGTATGGGCATCACATAGCTTCGTACACATAAGCGATAAAATCGCAATACCATACTTTTTCTTTTCATTTCTTTCATTTTTTTTTTGTTGTTACTTTGCTGTTTTCTGCCGACTTCACGTGGACGACATTCACAAATTACACATCACCTTCGATGATAAAATCTTCAAAAAAATACTGTATCAATCATGTGTCATTGTTACATCTACATGTCGATTACCCCGTAAGCATGTACATAGGAATGAATCATCATGTTGAAAAGAAATTTTAGCATTTTAAACAACTGCCGCTGAAATATCATTAAATATGGTAGTAACGGTTTGTCTAAACAATAAACCTCAAACTTAACATAAAAATCTTGCTATTTGTTTTCACACTTATTCGCAAGTGCGTGGAGATTTGTTTACATGCAATCTTCAATATACACGACCATCGTCTTAAACAAGTGAAAAACGATGGAAGAGAATAAGAAAAAGTGATTTGGAGAGATGTTGAGATACTCTTGCAGAGAACCAATCCCATCCATATCTTCATTGCGTGTGTGTGTGTGTGTGTGTGTGTGTGTGTGTGTGTGTATGCGTGTTGGTTCGTATATTGGTTTGCATAGAGACCGAAATTGTATATAAACGATCTGGCCGAGCTGCTAACGAACAGTTTAAATTTTGAGTGTGCTATGTGATGACAGTTTGAATTTAAAAAAAAAACATCGAGATTGAAGTGTGTATAATAAGATCATTTACATTTTGGCTTTAATAAAAACGAAATTTCATTCGGTCGATTCAACAAATAAACATTCTTGGTGACTGTAATTGACTGATTGAGTGAAAAAAGAAAAAAAAACAACAAATTATTGAATAATTGTTTCAATAAATTAATTAACTCTTTTGTGAACAGTTTCTAGATAGCATATTATAACAACCGACTCGCGCAAACATGTATAGAATTCTAATTGCCTGTGCACTTGCCATTCAGGTGAGAATAATTTTTAAAAAGTGTGAGATTCATGTGTTTAGACATAGTATTTTTGATTTTAGGTCCAAAGTCGACCATTTGGTACATTTTTCTTTGGTGGTAGAGCTACACCAATACTTCCATGGCTACCACCATCTCCTTCACCAATAGCACCATCACCACAATATCCTACGTCTGGTATTTTTGATACAATACGCTTACATCAAAATGTATACGCACCGTTCAGCCGATATCTTCACAGTTCGTTTAATCCATTGCGTCCGGCACCACAATTTCCGCCCAGAATTTATGGTAGATTAGAGACACCACCAATTTTATCTTATCAACAATTTTTCGGGCCATCATCAACAGCACCATCATTCATACCATCGAATGGATTCAATTCAGTTGACCAACACAACGAATTTGCACCACCAAATAACCAATTTCCAGCCGATCCATTTGGCTCAAACAATGGACCTCAATTCGCTCCATCACCATATGCAGGAACACAGCCACCAGTTTTTGGGCAACCACATCAAGTATACGGACCTCCACCACCAAATACATTTAACCCAGCAAATGGAATTGTAAATCGATTTGAACCATCCAATCCAAATTATAATCTACAAGGTCAAAGTCCATTCCAACTACAACCAGGTTAGAGAATTTGGCCATTGGACGCATTGCATTTCTATTAAAATTTTATTATTTAAAAAAAAAATTAGGAACACAATTACCAGTAGCACCGTTTGCAACTAATGTTTTGCCGTTAATTCCACACATAAGCTCACCAGGAACAACTTATTTGCCCCCCGGTAATCAAAGCGGTGCAATTAAAAATGTTACTTTGTTGAATTATTCTCATTTTATTATTATTCAAATGCTTCCACAGCAACAGTCAATCAAAAAGATTCAACTCAAAAAGTAGACACATCATCATTCACTACTCCAACCACCCCAGATTCGGAAACAAATGCAAATGAACCTCAAACTGACTCAACAAAATTACCAACCGTGGTAAGTAATCACAGGCTACAATAGCGAAGAGTATTCATTTTTACGATCGTAAAATGGACATACAATGTGTAAGTGTTCCACTTTTGGCTATTAATAAACAAATTAATTATAGATGCGAGACGGTACACAGACAACACAGGAAGGAACTAGTGTATCAAGCGTAGCAAGCGAGGCTGCAACAACCGAATCAACATCAACGACTGTACAGTTAAGTGAATCAACAGCGGGAACGTCATCCACCACTTTGGGTTCGACCGATGCTGAAAGTACAGACTCTTCAGAAAGTACTGCTATCAGTAACAAAACCACAGCAGAATCATCTTCAACAGAACCGGCTCCAACCGAACCGTCTTCAACCGAAGCATCTTCAACCGAACCATCTTCAACAGAACCATCTTCAACAGAACCATCTTTAACAGATTCAGCCACAGATGATGAAAGTAATGCAGTGTAAATTAAGTAAACGAGCTTTGCATAATCTTAGCCATATAAATGAAATTTCAATATTTATAGTACCGAAAGAAAGTATTAATGTAGTTTATAAGATGAATATTTATTGCGATTTCATAAGAAGCAACTGAACATATGAGAAAAAATTATTGAGCGAATAAATGTTATTTCGAACAATAACCATTATGTATTTGGTCAACAGTTTTGATTACAATCTGATTTTTCGATTTAATAAAAACTTTTGCAGCAATGTCAACAATGTCATTAGCATGGGTCATAGTGCGATAAGAAAATAAATTATTTTCAGTTCCATTGAATTCATGAACGAAGTCATCAGCCTTCGATGAATCGGTTATGTTTTTTCTTTGGCGTGTTTATCATCGCCGTTTCTTTAATATGTCATTGTTATTTCACTTTTTTCCCATTATATTTATTCAATCCTTCCGCTGTTGTTTGTGCATTGAGTGTGATACTCAGTCAGTCAATCATCTGTGAGTGATATACAGACAATCAATATTTGAGCATTTGTATGTTTGTATTTACATTTTGTAGACGGTTTTTCTTGTGATGCAAAATAATTGAGCATCACGCTTTCAAACATTTAAAGTAAACTTTATGAAAAATGAACTGCATTAAGACCATTAACTTTTAAAATTGATTGGCGCATGAAATTGTGCAAACGAATCATTAAATCATCATCAACGATGACGTTTATAAAATGAAATCGTATCATTCGTCAATCAATGTAATAATTCTATTTCTATTTAACATTTGGTATAAGTTGAAGTTGTAGATTTTGAGAGACCGTATGTGGGTCAAGTATGTATATTTGTATAATCAAAACAACATATTGTCATCATAAATTTTTGGCCAAAGTTTTTTATTTCGTTCTTCAATGTTCCGGTCACTTCTTTTTACTTGAATGTTTAAGTCGTCTCTTGTTATTTCAATATTTGATGTACTTCGATTTTGTATGTATACATCGTGTTTTGAAAATTATCAAGAATGATCGTGCATGCTGTGCCCTCACAGTAGGCCATTACAGATTTCTATGTAAACTTAATGGTCTTTCGCAGACTTGTGATAATTTTTGAATACTCATTTCAGTTTGTCGGATATGAATATTACATATGTGCATATCATTTGAACCAGCTAGTTCGAACTTTTTCTTTCATTCGTACACGATAAAACATTTTCCGATAGATGAACGTTTGATTATTATTAATTTGATGATTTCAGTTTCTATTGCATTTTTGTTGTTTGATTTGGATATTAGTAATACTAATTTAGTATAGACATTAAATGATATTGAGATTATAAATGAAATGGTCCAGTCATTTTTACGGAATACGGGATGTTTCTCTAACCGGTAGGGCGGCCTACAGGCAGCCTTCCAAAAAATGTGGCCAAATGACGCATTTAAAAAAAAAATCATGAAAAATTCTAAAACACCATTAAACTATCGTTAATGGTATTTAGCTAACGCCAAAACTGTTTTAAATTTTTTATTGGCATTGTCAGTGTTAGAAATTTTATGTAGGGTCCAATTTCTTTCGCCTCCGGAGATTTCGGTTAGAGGGTTGATTCCATGATTATCAAAACATTCAAAATCAGTTGAAAGGGAAATTGAATGACTAGTCATCCTACACACAATTGATTGCCCGAGAATGAAAGCGAGACTTCTATTCACAACTTATTGAAATGTAACATCACCATACAAAACATGCTGACTGTCAGATCAAAATGACAAAAATGTTAGAAGGTAAATTAATTTGATCATTTTTACCATGATAAATCTGGACCTTTTCTCTTTTCAAAATTTCGCAACAAAACTACAAAAAAAAAAAAAAAAAAACAATATAACGTAACGATCTCACTACACTGGTTATCGTTATATACTTTTGTGATTAATCAAAAAAGAATGTGTTGGTAAGATTTGATTGTTAGTTTTGTTTGTTCTTTCATCGACCTTTATTTGAACCATTCAGAGTCACAGAAATCGAAAAAAAAAACAATGTGAATTAAACACATCACACACCACTCTTTCACCACTTGCGTTATCAGAGTGTTGCAAATGTGAAAATGTATATTAGGATGTTACAACCTATGCAAATATGACAATAAAAATACCCTTTCATGGGCCACATGTGTTACAAGACTTTTTATTGCTTATGCGTGAGAAACGTTCCATTTATGTCATTCAATCAGTTAAAATTTTGTAAAAACAAATAAAGTGAAAATGAGCAATTAAAAATATCGTATGTAAGCCTCACATCTGGTAAAAATCAGCTGTTTTTGGTGCTCTATTGGCGATAACATTTTTGATTGACTAGAATGTTCTTTTTTGTTAATGAACTAAACCATATGATTTCTTATCAGTAAACGCGTTAGGTTATTAAGTTAACATCGGTTATGTACGCTTAATTGAAATAAATAAAAACTCTGCCGGATCTTAACATATAGCTATTTCGAAATGAAAAAAACACTCAATTTGAATCAATCAAACGTTAAAGTCAGACATTGACATTGATAAGTATTGTGAGGTTGTGAAAAAGGGCTTAAAAATGGCAAAATTTCTGCTCTTTCATCCGATGAATGTTGCGATTTTAATTGCATTATTTGTTATAAATCAAATGAATGCGGCACCCGTTAATGACACAAACAAATCGGTTAAATCAAATGTTAGAAATGTTTGTGTTATTGGAGCCGGAGTATCGGGCATCGCAAGTGCGAAACATTTACTTGATCATGGACACAATGTTACCGTTTTCGAACAGAGTGAAGATATTGGCGGTATATGGTTTTACACAAATCAAACCGACAAAAATAAATATGGCTTGAAAGTTCATTCGCCGGCATATAAGGGTTTAAGGTTAATATCATCATAATACATATTTTGTAATCCATTTATATCGAAGAATATTAACATTTTATTATTATTTCAATTTAGCGCAAATGTTCCATCATCGTATATGGTATACCCAAATTTTCCCTATCCGAATAAAACCGAGGAACATCCACCACAACCCGTGATTCTAAAATACATGCATTCGTATGCCGATCAATTTGATATCAAAAAGCACATAAAATTGAATCATTTGGTTGTTCGAGTTCTTCCCATCGAAGACGATAAATGGGAAGTAATCGTTAAGGATTTGCCAAACGATCGATTCCAAACATTTGTTTATGACTATGTTTTCGTTTGCAATGGACATTTCTCTTCGCCATACTACCCCACCATTCCGGGCATGGACGAATTCGAGGGAAAAATGCTTCACAGCCACGACTTTCGTACACCCGAAACATTCCGAAGTGAGTTTTATTCATAAATAATAACAAAATTTACGTGTTAAATATTGAATATCGTTTTGAACTTTTGCATTTTATTATAATATTTATAGATGAAAGTGTTCTTATTATTGGAGACGGGGCTAGTGGAAGGGATATAGATAGACTATTGGAAGAGGTTGCAAATCGAACTACATTGAGTGGACACCGCATGGATTACAATCAAACCGAGGAAGAGCGTGAAATGCGTCTTGATTATTTGCAAAACTCGAGGAATAAATACCAATATGCTGTAAAGCGTTTCACATCGACTGAAGCTGAATTCATTGATGGCACCAATGAAACATTTTCTGTCGTCATCTTTGCAACGGGTATTTTGTGCAACTGGGCAAAATAAATAAGAAATAAAATCGAATAAAATCAAAATTTCAGGTTACAACTATTCATATCCAATGTTGAGCGTTGATACAGGCATCCGTGTGAATAATAATTCAGTTTCACCACTTTATAAACAAATTTTCAACATAGAACATCCTTCAATGGTTTTCATCGGCGTATTATCCGATACGATAAGCTTTATATCCTACGATTTTCAGGTATCTATCGTTTTGCATTCATTTTTAACGAAAAACATTAAAATAATTGTAAGTTTCACAAAAATAGGTGCAATTTGCAATGAAATTCGTCAATGGAGAAAAAAAACTGCCATTAAAATCTGAAATGTATGCGGATATGGAAATGAGTACTAAATCGCACCGGTTCCCACATAAGTATCGGTGGGATGAACAATCAGAATACTTCGATGAACTAGCGGAAATCGGAAGCATTGAAACACCTGAACTGATTAAAAAGTTAATACAAATGTAAATGATAATACGCCCAAACATAGATGCGGAACTACTAATTTTAACCATGATTTTGTGTGCTTGATGTTGTTAGAAATCTTGAAGTTTCTATTCTGTGTTGACAGAGTTGAATAAAAAAAAATCGGGAATAAAATAAAAAAGTCGTTTAGAAAATAATCATCTGGTGGACAAGCACGCTTACCAGCTACACATCGTGAATACTTGACGTCCGCTTCTGGCGATATTATCTTTTCGAAGAGTATTTCGTATTCGTACATTGCTTTTGCCTTAGCAGCTACAAAATATTGGGCAATTTTCGCATTCTTCTCAGAAATGACTTTGCGCTCAATTCCAAATGTAAATCGATCATCGGGCGGTGTACCAATGAATTCCTCTTTTCCAGTTGTGGGATTTTTTATAGTGAAATCGTGCAAATAACCACCGTTCCATCCCATAGCGCCTAGAATTGCCACATGCAAATCATAGAAACTGTACTTTTCTACCACTTGAATGCGTCGCCAAATTTTTGGTTTTATATCTTTCAAAGTAATTTTGAACTGGTAAATGTTTGCGGGAGCAGTAGCCATTTTTCTTCTTTCGAATTGATGTTTGTTGTACGTACGTTTGGCTTCAATTTTTCTCAATCAATCGATTTTGCGCTGAATAAAAGTGATTTAGGAAACAAAGTTGCAAAAAAAAAAACTCAATTGAAAACCAAAAGTGTCGATATCCGCCGACCAACGCGTAGCAATCTTTTCATTAAATCCTTGTGCCATATTTCTGCAATTGGGTTACATTGAAGATAGAACATTACATTTGCATTCTACACCTTGAACCGAGTGAATGTAAGAAACTTTTCAAAAAAATATCATTGGACCTCATCATAGCTGGGCAAATAAGGGGAGGGGAAATTATTCCTCCCTGAGGCATCAAATCTTCGCATCACTCTTTACAAAATTCACGATTTTGGATAGAATTTTTCTCATTTTTCAAGGGTTTTTTGAGTTTTCAAGGAAATTAGTCCCCATATTTACCCCTGAAATTTTCAGTCTGCCCAGCTTTTCAAACAAATTCGACGTTATCAAACCGTATCTACCTCTAGAAACTACCTCATTTGCTACTCACCTTCTGATTTTCGCACAAAAAATGTGTTGAAGAAAGTTTTTCTTATTCTTTTTTAAATTAACAAAAAAATTTGTGATTTTTTTCTTCATTTTTAATCTTTTTGAAAGAAAGAATATATGACGAAACGTTTAATTAGTAAATCGAATAAAAAATGCAATAATTTCGAAATGAGATGTTATTGTTTTTTTTTTGTAGGGCAGTATGTATTTGTAACAAATAAATTCGCGATCGTATCACTGTTATTAAGTATCATCACCAGTCATCATCAATTCGATTTTAGTCCAGCAATCAATATTGAGGACTCTTGATTCCCATAAGTTCCATATGAAAGTGAAACCAAATAAATTTAAAAATTATTTGTTCAAACTGCAATCAATCCCTGATAAAGCTTTTTCAAATCAAACTAAACTATTGTATTGGTGAATATTCAAACTGTTTTGAAAATTGTTCAGAGCACAAACGGAATAAGAGATTTAACACATTTCACTTAACTCTTTCTTTTTAAACGGTATGCAATAAGTGGCCATTTTTTATCTACTCAAATTATGGATTTTGATATTATGATTTTTTATTATTTCAGTCAAATGTTTGTCGCCATTTTCGTTTGCTTTTTTTTACCAATTCTTAAATAAATGTCACATTAAAATAAGTAAATAAATATCATGCTTATATTTTTCGATTCTTTTATGTTTTATCTTTATATATAGATTTCGAAAAAACGCAGTATTTTTCAGAAAATATTTACAGTGATTTGATTTGAAACTAATTCATTTTGTTCATCTTCATTTTGAAAAAATAGTTCAATTATAAATAAATTTTAATATAAAAAATCACGAACCAACCGAATTTCGTCCTATGTTTTAAATGCCATTAAACTTTGTGCTTTAAATGCAAAACTATACTGATTCTCATCGGCACGGGAAAAAAACGGGTGCAGCTGAGAGTTAATTGAATCAAAGTGTTATCGAATTTAATTCATACTCCAAAAAATGGTCGGTTCATGATAAATAAATTCACATTAATTAATATATTGTAGAAGCTGCAAATCTGTTATCCTGGCATTTTAATATCTCATAAATTATCTGAAGTAAACTAAAATAAATTAAGTTAATTGTCCGAGAAAAAAAAAAATTTACATTCGTCCCAAAATGCATTGATTCAAAATAATTAATTTGGATCGCTTGTTCTATACATATACATGAATATATATATAAAGAAAGAGAGAGAGAATTGAACCTTAGCTGTCGAATCTTTGGTTCTTGTCCATTCAATAAACGATTATTGCAAGACATTTGAGAATACATGAATAACGAGCTCAATGATTCAATTTTTGTGTGTTCTTCGTTGGATTTGATATCATGTTTGTTCCAGATCTGGATTATTATGTCGACTGTGAACTTCATTATTTGCACCTTGGCCAGCACCATCCGGTGAATCAGTGTCTTCTAAATTCGAAGTTTCATCGGCAAAATCATTTCGCTGCAATATTTGATTGGCACGATTTTGCCAAAGTTTTTCATCAGCCTTAACCTGTTTTCGGTGAGCCAAACAAAATTGAATGTTAAAAAAAATATGTGCATTTTTTCTATGATTTTCATACCTTCAGAGTGTTTATTTTCACCCAAGAGTCGGCTTTACCATAGTCTGGTGGATTTGCATACGGATCATAGCCCAAAACAGATAGCATCGGTGCAATATCAGCCATATCACGTACAACATCTTCTGGAATGTGACCAACCCACTTGGATAGAGCTTCTAAATTAACAGGCTTAATGACTTGATCGGATGAACGCTCAACTCTGGATGGGAAATATGCAAAAAATGAAATGTAAACGTTTAGCTTGCGGCCATCTTTTTTTCAATGCACATTGTAGATATTTACTTTGACAATGATACACCGTTCGGTTTATTGATAAACTCTTCATGATGTAAAACTGAGTCATTCCACGGAATGTCCAAAAATTTTAAAATTTTTCGCATCCATTCTTCTGGATGTAGCACGAGTTGTTCATAGTAGACCTTTTGTTGTGTGCAAAAATAAAATTAAATCCAATGTTTTAAATCCAATCTAAAATTGAATACTATATTGTGTATTCATACCATCATGCATCTTTCGCCCCCAATTTCTTTGCATTGATTATGCATTGTCTCGATGGCATGATTCCATTTGGTCATGCACTGACGATAGCTCGTTAAATCAAAACCGGTTATTGTAACTTTACGTGAAATAATTGAGTTTACTGTCGCGCGTCCATCTCTAACCATGAATAAAAATTTCGCCTGAAAAAATAAAAATTGCCGTGATCATAGAGGTTTTTTTTAGATAATCATTTATGATTTACTTACGTTTGGAAAAAGTTCAATGACGTAAGAACCCATTTTAAGTGTGAGTGGATCTTTGTTGCATAGTCTTTGTGCGGCATCACCGTGCTTTGCAATAATTTCCAGGCAGAACTGAGCTATGGCACTGTTCAGCACCTGTAAAATAAAAACGTTATTCAATGAGTTGGAAAAAATAATATGATTCAAGATTTTATTATATGCTAAATCACCTCTTTTGTTATACCCGCTTCTTCTAAACGTAAACTTTCCTTCTCCGATTTTAACCAGTGAGATCGTAGTTGTAATATTCGCGGAATGACTCGCGTTTCCTGTCCACATCTTAAGTTTTTTTTTTTTTTAAATAAAAAACTATATAAATATCTGCGAGAAATACGTGTTTAATTTTAATTTATTACCTGACATCTGGATGGGCATCAAGCATGGCACGCATCAAAGTTGTACCCGAACGAGGAACACCGCCAATGAAAATTAATGGCATTTGCCGATGGTATGGATAATAATGTTTATCGTTTCCCAATATGAACTTCTGTACATCGCAATTCATAATAAATTTACAAGTTAGTATTGTAAATGGATAAATTTTATTTTATTTCAAAGCAATCGTTCAATACCTGATCGCGAACCATGATTGGCCCTTGTTGAGAATCTTCCTTAAACAAACATGTTGGACTAAATTCAGTGAATTTAATCAATATCATCATAGCTCCAAATAGGAAAAACATGCCAAATAAGGCAAGTTTTCGATTTCTATAGACGAAGCGCATATTTAATGAATTCCTTGTAGTTTCACGTGATCCGTATTAAAATTGTCTTGTATTCTCTCCTTTTGTTGAGCAAAATATTGTATCGCTATTTAAATTGTGTAATTTGTACCGTTGCTGTTGTATTAATCATTCAAATTGACAATAAATTCTAATTGACTCCTTGGTGCATGTACTCGTTTTCAATTGGTTGTCACTGTTTGCAAAAACAACCGATTTCTCCTTACTACTCATTTAAAAAAAATACATTATGGCGTTTTTTGAAGATCTCATTCATTCTCCCATTCTCATCCGGCTCTTCTTTATAGACCCTAATTTGAAACGAAAATAAATAAATAAATAAAACATCATAAATATGTATTGAAAACAATTACAACAAACAGATTTAAGGTAAGTTCGAAGGTGAAGATTCTCACGATATGTAGAGATAAGAATAGATTGAAAATTTATCTGATTTGATTGTTTATTTCGTTTATAAGTGCTTCGAAATTTTCACTCGGATTGATATTTTTCGACGTATATTTTAAAAGTCTGCGGCGAAGATAGCTTTCACTACAAAAAAAATCAGATTTTTAGTACATTACTCATAGAAATGTGGTCGTAACATTTATCGCAATATTTACAACAGCTTTAAATCATGTATAAAGCTGTAAATAAGTAAGAAAAATATTGACTGTAAATATGTATGGAACAGTAATGAAAAAACGTTTTTATCTCATTCAAACTGTCAACCAATATTACATGTCAACCGTTGATTCGTTAACGTGTTTCAGTATTTAGGCAGTACTTTTCAACGGATTTTCAGTATTTAAATTATTCATTTTTTTTTATTATTGTTCTATTGCGGATGAAACAGTCGGCACATTCCTGCCATTTTCAAGGTTGGTTTAATGTTTCTTCATTAAATCAAGTTCAATATCATTGCTGAAGGTAATCGTTGCTATTTTTCACTTAATTTACAAAGAAATATGACGAATTTAATATGTTTTACTGTTTCATCAAAATAATTTTTCCACTTTTCCTTTTGTTTTCAATTCAGCGTAGTCGATTGAATGGAAAGAAAATTCTTGTTGAAAGTTCTTGTTATTCACTTTGCATTTCATTGAAAACGTTGCACAACAAATGATTTTCAATGTAATTTAAAATTCTATACCACATCTAATCTATCATTGATAATGACTAAATCAAAAATCGACATAAGTTCAATGTATCACATTTTTTGGTAAATCACGTTTTACGCATAAGTTCGTTAACACATAAATGATTCTAATTTCAAAACTGTACATCTTTTAGTATTCTTCCATATAAGTTGACAAAGCTATATATAAATTATTCCACTTTTATCTTATATACATGTATATATCTTTTTCTATTCGGTTGAAAGATTCAGCGTTCATGTAAATTTCTTCTCTTTTCTTTGTGTGTTTTTTTTTTGTTTCATTAGCATTAAATAAGTTAAATATTGATAGATCACGTTTTCATAACGATAAAAAAAAACGTTTACGATTATCAATGGTCGTTGGCTTGGTTAACGTCAACACAATTCGCATTGGTATGTAACTAGAGGAAGATATTTATGGTAAGAATAGAATGGAATGGAGTGGTATAACATGGTTGATGTCTTGCAACATTAATTAGTATGTCACGATGTATGTGATACACAGTTGAATTAGAATCACATTTCGTACGCTGAACCGATTAGATAACGTTTAATCTACAGTTGAGTCGAAAAATTTCATAATTCAACGCAACCTCAATGTTAAACATATTGCGACGATTTACCGCTACTGTACGTTTCATTGATTGCACGCAGTAAATGGTTTTTCGTTACATATGGTATCCATATGCTTGGATTAGAACAAAATGTTTGACTTTCTTCATATGGTCAATCAGTTGATTCAATGATAACGATGCATTCTATGCATTGAAACAATGCATTTTGTAGACACACAGACTCCGTTATGTTATTACGCATTTTTTTAGTCTTATTTACACCATACCATATTTCCATTGTTCAAATATATGTTCGTAGTCGCAACATCTACTTTAAATTAACCAAATGACATGAAATAGATTTATATATATATAACGACAAATATATGTGAAACTAGAGTAAATGTTCACACGCTTTGTATTTCATTGTGAGAACAAAATATCGCAATGATTTCATTCAATTGGCAAAGAAACTGAATCTTGATAAACTTTATAGCTTTGACTCATTCATCAATGTCGTTTGTGCACTTGTTACTCTCAATGGACTGAAAATACGATTAAGCTTGATGAGGTAATTTTTGTTGGTTTTTTTTTTCTCATCAACCACTAATCCTGAAAATCGACCCAAACGTTCTTAATTGATAATTACTATTGAGCAAAAAATTTGAAATTTCTCGTGTGGCAAAAAAAAAACTAAAAATAATTTTTTTTGGCAATAACATGTACGAACCATCCGGCTTATGATGTTTTTCCGCAATTTTCACAATGTCTTTTTTCATCTGCTTAGTCAAATTGTTGAAATTTCAAAGCATTTGTTATTGCTATCGTCGCGTTGCACATCACAATGTTTTCATTTTTTGATAATACATTCTTGAGTAGCACTAAAGCACAACATTAATTGGACAACACTTTTCCGATAAATTCATATTCGAGTGATATCGATAGACAACGAATTAATTGACAGAAAAAGTTTTTATTTTTCTTTTTTTTTTATGTTGATTTGCACTGGACTGGATTTGAATTTTATTCTTTTGTTTTAAAATTTTGTTTGAAAAATCGTGATTCGATTTTGAAACGTGAAACTAGTCTGCATGAAACTTATACGATTCAATTCACAAAAATGATCCATTCTCTAAATTAACATATGAAAAATGAGATTTTCAATTAAAATTCGTTTTATTCTAATTCAACAAATTGTTTTTATCTTCCATCTTTCATTTCTTTCCGTGTGTTTGCCCGGAATGGTTCTATTTCTTCTTGTTGTTTTTGTCGTCGTTGCCGTTTTCACCGTAAATCTTGGATGTATTGAGTGTATTGGTAAACACACACACATGTAGTTGTGTATGCTGGCCGATTTATTCTAAATATATATGTATACTATAATATTCTTGTCCACGCTGAATGGAGATTGTTATCCAAATGTAAGAACTGTAGCATCACCGTCTGCGTTGATTCGTATGCAGGCGAAACGTCAAATTCCCATTGAATCTGCGTTATGAATGACAATCATACATTCTACCGCCAATTGGAACATTATCAATCTGAGCAACAAATGCACTGACAAATATTTGTAATATTTATGAATTCATTGCACTGCAATGGAAGAAATATGCTCGGAAAATGAAAAATCTATATTTATTTTCATCTTTTTTTTTTCGAAGAAAATATTCGTTTTCAGTGATGGCGCTGAAACAACCGATATTGTGTAAACTCTTATGAAGGCTCCATCTTGTGTTAAATGAGTTGAATCAATATGCGACAACATAACATATGATTGAATTGAGAGAGCCGCGCTTTTTGGTTTTGTATTATTATCTTTTCAAACTAGGATTCCATTTTTTATATTTATTTTTTTACTTCCATATATAAAATATGCCTTATCGTGTAAAATTAAGAAAAGTCAATGCTAATAAAAAAAAAACATTTTTTTTTCAAATATTTGTCTCTGTAACGATAACAATCATGATAATATTTTACAAATTTTAAGTACTCCATTGACGTTCGATTGTCTTTCCTACAAAATACATTTAATCGTCGAATTACTATTTAATTTCCATGCTATTGTTCCTCTCGAATGCATTCCTCGACCAAATTCTTCAAATTTGGATTCTCCATGGCCGCAGCAATACGTTCTTTGTCGTTTATTTGTTTATTAACTGTGCACAAAAAGACACAAAAAAAAATGTCGATCAGATCTAATTAGAAAAACAACGAATTTGAAGAAGTCTTAACTCACTTTCATCTTCTGTTGAGTGTGCACCTTTCTTTATATAAATGTCAAGTTTTAGTTTATGTTGAATATTTCGTTCAATTTTTATCCGTAAGCATAAACCGATTAGTGTGGCCAATGAACAATGTGGTACCGTTGGATTGAATTCAATTCGAACCTAAATTTTGAAATGGTTATGGAATTCAAATAAAATCAAATATGACCAAAAAAATTCGTTTATTTACCACTTGAACGTTATCGCTTGTTGGTGGCTGCACAAAAATACCTTCTTCGTAAACAACTTTAAGGTCTTCGAGCGTTGATGGTTTTTCGGGATCTCGAATTGTTCGTAAAATATCTGTCGGTAAGACATGATATAATTTAAGCGTAAATCTTTTATGTAATGTAATTCAACAAAATGAACATATTTAACAAACCATAGATTGTTTCTCTTAGTTCGGTCTCATTTTTATAGCCAAGTGATTTGAGTGAAGCTCTCACATCGTTGTTCGGTTCATTTAATTTTGATTGCATATCTACTACGTCTATGCGTGTTTCGTCCACTTCAAGAGATAAGTCTTTTGTGCCATTGACGATTTTATTGACGGTTGCCTCTGACGATTTGCTTCGCAAAAATGATAACATTGTTGAAACGATTGTGGGCACATTTAAATATGAAATTTATAATAATTTTTGTATCGCTCTTTTTACAATTTGTGTCCAATGTTCAAAAACAAAAATAAAAATGATCACACAGTGGTGAACATGCTTTGAATGATAAAACTCAATAATAAACAATACAAGAATGTTCAATGTTTTCTTTATTTGCGTTATAATAATCGGATCCTATACACTAGAAATGTCATTCGAACGATGTGAAGTTGTATATAAGTAATATTACTTAATATTTGTACAATTTTCAACATAAAAACACACACACACATACACACACGCGCACCCACATACACATACAAATACAAATTTTGGCTTCGAACTAAAGCTAAGGACACCAATTTATATTGACTGAAATTATTGTATTAAAATGAGAAGAAAAAAGAATTAATGAATTTACTTATTCGCTTTGATGATAATTTTTTTAAGTATAAATGACATTCTGTGAAAAATGTTCTAAAAGCCATTATTGTACTAAACGAAGAGTGCATCTTTAGTAAGTATAATGAAGTACACAGTATAAAGTATATTGATTCAAATTTTATGCAAACATTTTTAAAATTGCAATTTATTTTCTTTCAATTCAGAAGAATAGATGGAATTCATAAAATTACATTTCTTCTTGTGAATTGATTTTGCTTGAAAAAAGATTTGTTTTAATTCCAAAACTAGTAAAATCAAATGACCCCGTTTGTACTTTAATTCTAGCGCCGATTATGTTACGGGATGTTACGGAATAGTCGTCAATCAAACAAGCGATGAAGAGTACTAAGTACCTAACCTCTATGCTCAACACATACACAAACGTTGACAAAATACGCACGCAGATACATACACATACACCATAATATAATAAGAAACACATAACACACACTTACTGTACGGTTACCTCTTTCATTATGCTTTCAAACGCGTTAGTTGTGTTTGTGTGTGAGAATCAATGTAAGAAAACTAAATCCGAAAGCAAATAAGAGACGAAGGGAGAAAAAAAAGTTATTCTAATGTATAGCGTAAAAGCCATTTATACAGCAGTAGTACCACCAACACCATAAACACAGAAACAAGAGTCTGACAATAACAAAAATAACAAGAAAAAGTAATATTATTAATAAACACATTTAAATTTTGATTTTATTATAATTTGCATTTTAAATAAAAAATCAAATGTTTGTTTTTGTGATATGTTTGCATTCCCGTGAAAACAATTCAAAAAAAAAAAAGTTTTATTAAAAATTCTGTGTGACCAAGTAGTGTATTGAAAATAGAATGTGTATATGGTATTTGGTGTGTGATTGACGGACTAAATTCAAAATTCAAGCGAAAAAAAAAAAATACTAAAATTTTCTTAGCCAAAGTAGAAAAATCAAACGACGAAAAGGTAGAATATCCTTGATAATTTGAGGTTGAATTTTGTTTGTATCAAAAATGAAATGCATCGGGTGACAAAGACGGTGGTGTGTAATCAAATCATATACACATACAAAGTAATCGCACAAGCTGTTCAGTAGAAAGTTGAAGGCAATTGGAATGATTCAGTTTCTCTTCTGGTCAATTTTTCTGATGTTCTTTAATATTTGTATACATTCAATAAAAATGACTTTTCTTTTCGTCGGATATTATGAATGCATGAAATTTTTTTTAAAAAGAAGATGTTTTTACGAAATCTAGTGTGAATTTGTGTATGTATGTTTAATTGACAAATTAAAACTAGTGACGACAATAAACGGAAAGGAAAAAAAATTGCACAGAAATGAAGAAAAAGAGAAGAGAATACAAGAGCAGTGTACATAAAATTAGCATCATATATAGTCTATAACACACCTCAAGTTTATTACTTTTGTTGCTGCTATCGCATAAAATGTTCGAAAAATGATGACACACAGGAAATACTGAAAATATTTGTTTTGTTTTTCTTTTTTTTTTTCTCTTTTTGAAGTAAATAAACGAATCAAAAATTATACTCGCTTGTGTAGTGTGCGGAAGATTATATGTGTTTGTTTGCACACACCGATTGTTTTTTGCACAAAAAACTATTTATTATCATTTTTTTCATCTTCTTTTTCTTCTCACTAACCGTTGATTTTTCCATAAAAGGAAAGCTATCAATCATAATGTGAACATGATGATACAAAGCAATCTGACAATCAAGATCATTGAATTAGATAAACGGCAAAAAGAATGCATACATCTTGTGTGATGACATTGTTTTTTTGAAACCATGCTCGTTTTGTAACAAACAATCTTTGTGTGTTCTTTTTGACGTTCTATTAAAGAACTGAAGCGACGAAACGTTTCATCGTGCTGGTGCATATCCATAATGCATTTATGTGTAACATTCGGCATCATTCAACACGTTAATCATCAGATAATTATTCAATCGTATTTACCTACCTCTCATTCATCGCAAATTGAATCATGCAAAGATATTTCGAGTGCTCCAATATGATCCCAAATGAAAGAAATCTTCAAAATTTCTTTCTATTGATTTTCTTTTGCAATTTTTAAAATCAACTCAGAAATATTCCAAAATGGATGTGAACTTGAAAATTTGTTTTAAATATTTCAAATAAAATATAGTATCAGCAACAACAACGGCAGTGAAATGTGAAAAATTTAGCATTTCTTCAAAAATTCTACCATACAGCAGACAAATAAGTGGAAAAAAAAACTTCTTTCGAATGAATGGAAAAGAAACAGAACTGAACACACAGCAAGCGATATTCCAAGGCTGTTTGAGACAACTAATACAATTGAATACCACATCAACTACATTCAAATCAATTGAACTTATAATTCAAATTTTTATAAATTATGATCAACATTCAGACAAGTTCGCATCACCTTTGTTTAAATTGAAAAAAAAAAATGAGAGAGAAAGAGAGAGGGAGAAGTGTGTTGTGAAATCAATTAAGCAAACATTATTTACATACATTTCACTTGCGTGCATACGTTCATCTTAAGATCATCGCAATTATATTTGCTATTGTTTTTATTGAAATCCCCTTGATTTTTCCCAGAATTGCATTCGCATTTTATTATTAATTTTCTCTTTTGTTATTGAAAGTTGAATCACGACATAGGCAAAAATTTCACTCCACAGGCATAGGCATAGCTCAGCACATCATTTAAATGTTACTCAATTTTCTATATACGTATTTTTGTTGTTGTTGTTGTTTTTTTTTACGTTAATCTCATTGCAAATGAAAATGATATTGCTTAAACCGTTTACGTAGATAATAATTTGTTGGAATGTTTTGAATTTAAAATTGAGTAAGTCGAAGATGTAATGCAAGGATTTAAAGTACTGGATGGCAACTAAAAATAGAAAGTTGCAAAAATTTTGATTTGAAAACCGGAAGATTTAAAGTAAACAACGGTATAGGTGTGAAAGTGATTATAGTAGGTGGATGGTTATAAAAGAAGGCTTCAAATCAAATGTATGACGGCTTCAATTAATTTGTATTTTCGGTCTATTTATTTCTTTCCGCTTGATATAAATTTACATGAGAACTGTTATGAAATGGACTGATAATTCAGTTGGTATAATCGCAAACCAAATGTTTTGAACACACCAAACAAATCGGTTAATGAAATTCAAACCACATGTAGACCATTCCCTTTAAGCTGGTCTCCGTATTTGATAAGTTTTATTGGTTAGCTCGATAAATAATATCGACAGAATCGCAAAACTGTTGAATGAGAGTACGGTTTTTCTTGCATGATCTAAGGTGTGCGTTTGTGTAACGGCTTTAAAACAATTACGATCTATGTGAAATTCTATCAATTTTTAATCGAATTATTTTTATCTCTTTACATAGGATTAATTATGACGGTGTCACAAACGAACAATACTCAATGACAGACATAAAATCAAATGTATAGTGATGTAAAAATGATATTAAATAAATTTATGATTGCATTCGAGTGATGATGATATTGAGATGACTCGAATTCTAAACCAATGTTTTTTTGCAAGAGACTATTTAAAAGTGAACAATTATATAATAAAATTGATGTACAAAACAAAATGTGTGTGTGCAAATACAATGTGATCAAAAAATAAAGATAAATATTTACGGGATTGATGACCGGAGTTGAATAATTCAATATCGAAAAAGTACAACATTCAACAAATGAACATCAGACCAAAAGCAAATTTATTTGGTTACCAAACGACATATATTTAAAATGTGCAAAACATCTTCGTAGAATTCAAATGCGTAATTATGAAATTAAGAGGAAAAAATGGACAAAATCGTGAAATAATTGAGAAAAGTCAATAAACACACCGCTAAAAGTGCATTGTGAGAAAGATTATTCGGACCGAAAAAACATACACATAAAATAACAAATAAAACAAAGGAAATCATGTGAGTATTTAGCCATCTTCTTCTCTTGCGTGCTTACATTGTAAATATTTTCTTAATTACTGGCATAAATACATAGCATTCATATTGTTGTGTGTTTCTTTTTGTTTATGAATGACAGTTCGGGTTTCTTTTTTCGTTTGCGTTTCAATTTAATACACAGAAATAACAAAATATATATACGTATCGTTCACAAACAAGTAAGTTTCATGCGGCATTCTCATCTCACAAAATTCAACACCAAATTCGTTGTTCCGACACTTGTTATAGACGATGCTGATAAACAACAGTTAACTTCCACATACACTATTTTCGCATTATTAGAAAAGTTGATGCACAATTTAATATCGGATACATACGATCTGTAATTTCTGTAGAAAAAAAATTCACATTATTTTCTGGCACTTCATGAGTGCATTGCAGTTTTTAAAACCCATTTTAATCGAGAACGGACATTTTTTTCAATTACTTTCCGTAAACATGATTTTCAATATGGTCTTGACCGTTTTAAACCAGTATGAATATAGATTTTTATCACAAAAGTGTTTTCAACGCGTTTCAAGTGGACTTTTATTGATAAAATTCGTAAAAAAATTCATTTAATTCGCAGAATGGATGGCCTAAGAGCAGCTGATTTGCTGCAATTGCTGCAGGAACGCTTTGTATTATTAACAGGTGGCCGTGATCAACGAGGTGGTCCAATACTTAGTTTTCCAGCAACACCAAGACGTGATCGAGCCAAACCAGATGATATTCGTCGTTTGCTCTCTTATTTATTCACATTGCCCAGGTATGAATGCGAAAATGTTTATTTTAAATTTAAAATGTTTTGCTCAATTGTTCCGTTCACTTGTTGAACAAACAAACAAAAAAGAAACAAAACAAAAATCTAAATATTCCGTATATTTCAATAGTGAAACAGCGAAAGCGCTTCGATTTACAATTTTGATTGATATGCGTGGCAACAGTAATAACATGAGCACCGTCAAAGCGATATTGAAAATATTACAGGAACATTTTTGTTCCGTTGTACATAGTGTTGTGATCATCAAGCCAGACAATTTCTGGCAAAAGCAACGAGCATCGATTTCTAGTCACAAATATAAATTCGAAACGAATACCATATCGCTTGAAGGTCTACATAAATTAATTGATGTAAATCAACTGACAACAGAGTTTGACGGTACACTTCCATACGACCATAATCAATGGATTGAAATTCGAATGTCACTCGAAGAGTTTCTCTGGCCAATTGGCGATATGCTTGATCGCATCGAAGATTTACAAGAAGATTTATCGCGCAGTGATTTTGCCGAGGATGTAGCTGGTGCAAAGCATGGCATCCAACAGCATGGCGAAATGCAAAAGAAAATCGATAAATTACCGATTGAAGAATTGGATTTACAAGGTCAAAAATTGTTGGCCAAATTAAGTACCGATTCAAATCGACCGGACCATCATGCATCACATTCGTCACAAAAGAATCATGCCCAAGTTCCAAGCAATCCAGATATGGCAGCAATATTTCAACAAGTACTGCAGCAATTAGATTCAGTGCATAAGGGTAAATCGCACCTGTTGACTGTATGGGATTATAAAAAGATACGATTGGATCAATGCTTCCAATTACGACTATTCGAACAGGACTGCGAGAAAATGTTCGATTGGATTCTACACAATCGTGATACATTTCAAGAGAAATACGTTGAAATCGGTCATAATTATTCAAAGGCAAAAAGCTTACAAGACGAACACCAGAAATTTACAATGGCCTCAATGAATGTTGGAGTTAACATAAATCGCATACTTGCTGTTGCCGGCCGTTTAATAGAAGGTACATTTCGTATTTTATTTTTTTGTGTTTGTTTTTTCGCCAAGAAATGTGTATTTGAGATAGAGTGTTTTTCATTTAATTTTGAAATAAATTAGGTAACCACTATGCCGGCCAACATATTCGAACGGTTGCAAGCCGATTGGATCTAACATGGAAAGAATTCGCAGCCGGGCTTGATGAACGGACATCAGTGTTGGGTTTAAGTGTATTGTTTCATCATAAAGCCGAACAGTATTGTGATAGTGTTGCGTCATGGGCAGCGGCATGTGAAGCAACCCAACCACCACCCTCAGAAATACAAAGCTTAGAAACTGCAATACGAACACATCAATCATTATATGAAGCAATGTGTCAAGCATACACCGAGGTAAGGATACATTATTTAACGTTGATGCAAATGAAACAAACATTTTTCGAGAATGGTACTTTTCTTCAATTTTTTTTTTAACTAAATCTCTATCGAATCAATCAAATCAAATGCGTTTTTGTTTTTAAATTTTTCGATTTGAATTTTTATTTTGATTTTGTTTTTAATTTGCATTGTGAAATTTCGCTTTTAGGTTTATAATGCTTATCAAACGTTGCTAAAAGGCTTAGCATCGATGTTACAAGTATTTCACGGATTTTCAAAGAATATATCAATTGAACCAAAAGACACTTCACACCAGGAAACAGAAAACGACGACGAATCAAATGTACAGCTTGAAGATAAATTCTTGATTATTTTCCTAGTTTAAATGTTGATGGGCTCTTTTGTACTCTGTAAAATAGAAAGGATTTCATATTAAAAATTTGGAATATTTTTTTTATTTGATGAAAATTCCTTGTGTTGGTTGTTGATTCAAAAATCGATGGCAATTTCAATTTATATCAACCATCACAAATTTACAATTTTTCCAATATGACAATACACGGAAAATTCAATGAAAAATATTCAAATCTGTGGAACGGATCTTCGAAATTAGCAATGCAATTTTTTGTCCATTAGACCAAACCGCATGGTTTGTAAATAATAAAACAAGTTATCAATTTTTCATTGTTCACATTGACAAAAATGAATCAATAAATAAACGAAACTTTATGGTGCACATTTTGCCAGAAATTTTAGCTGGAAACGAGGTCGATGTTTTCGACTTTTTTCATTGGGCAATTGCTTGCATCCTTGACACGTAAAATATCGATATTTTATCTTCATACGTTTCCCATTTTATCGACGATTCAAATGAGCACAATGACGATAATTTTGTTACTCGATATGTATCCACTGTGACTACAGTTATTTCGTTTAAATTTTCGGTCAGCTTGAATGCAAAAAAAAAAAAGAGAAATATTTCAAGTGGGAACAAAACTTGATATAATTTTTTTTTTGTGCTAAAAAAAATTCCAAAAACTTATTATGAAATCCGAATAAAATAACAGTGTATATGTGTTTCTTTCACAAATGTTCTTTTGGCTACTTTTTCTTTTCTTTAAAAAAAATCTCATTTCAAATATGGGTTTTGGTCTATACAGAGGAAAATTCTAATTTGATGCAAATTTACGTTAAGTGTGAAAACACGTTTCCATGAAATGCACTCCTGTCCTAATATAAATAGTATACAAATTGGATTTCAAATTAATTTGATGGGAAAGTTATTAAGTGAGAAAAAAAATCCCAAATATTGCTTTTGTCCGCATTTTGCATCAAATATTATTTATTCATATGTTTGGTTATAACAAAAACAAGTTGAAATAATGAAAAATCTAGTTCGATGCATTTTCCGCAAAATTGTCCATTCATTTACGTGGATCCACAGTTGTTTTGTGTTGAGAAAACAAAAGCTAAAACTTGACCACATCATTATCTTTTCATCTCCTTATAATTTTCATCGGCTTGTGCGAGTATTGTAATTGAAAATAGAAAAACTGGAAATGAACGCAACGTACATTCGTACTGAAGCATTTTGTTATAAATAAATAGAATACTTTGCAAGTTGTTGACACCATTTTAGTCTCCAGCAGCTCTTTTCCAATCGGTTTCGCTTGAGATGTGAATGTGGTTCAATCTAATGCGGATTTTTTTTTGAGCAATTGGTACACTTGCACTCCCATTCCATTTGGCACTGGTTATTTTGTTTGTAAGTGGGTAAACACAAACTTTTCTAGTTGCTTTTTGTGGTTTTGTAATCGTTGATTGCATTGTATTGTACACCTCGGATAGCAAACAGCACTATGATGAATGAATAAAAACCCAGTGTACGATCATGCGTGTCGGGAATGATATTTCTGATTTATGTACATATTTCAATCGATCCAAAAAAAAATCATTATTCACATTGCATATCTTTCTATTACTATGGGGATGGATTTTTAAAATTTTGGGACCTTCAAATTATATAACATCTAAAAAATTAATGCATGAAATTCAAATTAATTAATTAGTTATAGTTCGTTCAAATTTGGAAATGTTCGTGAATTATACGCTCACTTCATTTGAAATTTTAATTAATTTTACAGGTTCATTCGACAAGCAAAAAACTTCTTTATCAGTTGGACCATTTAGTACGAGTATGTAATCAACCTCCACCTCCAGGAGTTCCAGATCATCGAAAACATGTAATGCATTGCACTTTATTTAAACGTTACCAAATAAATAATCGATCATTTTCATCTTTCCGCAGGATAACGGTGTAAATCGTAAGGAACGAGCTAATCCAGCTGCTGATTACAGCGAAGGTGCCTCGCATGTATTGGCTGTGATTCATGAAATTCTTGGACATCATCGTTCGCTCGAAAACAAATGGCATGCTGAAAAGGTGCGTTTGCATCAAACGTTGGCGCTTCGATTGTTCCAAGAAGATGTAAAACAAGTGTTGGACTGGCTAGAAAATCATGGTGAAGTGTTTTTGAGAAAAAATACTGGCATTGGTAAAAATTTACAGAAGGCACGCGTTTACCAAAAGAGTCACGAACACTTTGAAAATGTGGCACAAAATACATATAGCAACGCCGACAAACTACTATCAGCTGCTGAAGATTTGGCACGCTCTGGCGAAGTAGATGCAAACGAAATATTTTCAGTTGCGCGTGAGTTAGAGTTACACGTTGCTTCGTTTGCGAATCGTGTTGAGCAACGTCGACGACGTTTGGATATGGCCGTACTATTTTATACGCATGAAAAGGAAGTATCAAATTGGGTGGCTCAATTGCGACAAGAAATAAATTCGGATGACACATTGTTGTCACAAGAGAATTTGGAGGGTACTGAACGATTATTGCAGCAATGTCAAGACCAACAAGACAGTACCTTAAATGGATGCTTACAAACAATTGCTCAAGGGGAGAATTTACTTCAAGAGATTCGTTCAATGGGCGATTTGGACTCAACCGGTTCAATTCAAGCCCTTGAAATTGCAATTGAAAATCTATCAAAGCAAAAAATCGAATTAGACGAATTGTGGACGGCACGAAAATACCGATTGGACTACTATTTACGACTGCGATATTTTGAACGAGATGCACTTGAAGTATCATCGCAACTAGAAATGTGGGCTGAAGAGCTTCGTCATACGGAACTATCACGCGACTATGCAAAAGCCGAACAATTTTTACGGCTCCATAATGAATCAGTCACCCAGATGCAAAACACTACCTATGAAGTTGTACAACAGGGCCAAGACTTGGTATCATTATTCGAAGGAGCTGGTTTCATTGCAATGGCCGATGTTACACAAAATGCTCAAACACGTATTCAACAATTGCTCGAATTTCTCAATGATCGTGAACTTGATTTAGAAGAATTGGCCGAAGTTAAAAAGGTTAAGCTCGAACAAGCGGTTCAATTGTGTCAATTTCAAAATGATGCAAACCAAGTGATATCTTGGATTCGAAACGGTGAAGCAATGCTTATTGCAAGCTTCAGTACGCCAAATTCGCTACAAGAAGCAGAACAATTGCGCAAAGAGCACGAACAATTTCAAGTGGCTGTTGAGAAAACACATACGTCAGCCGTTCAAGTAAAATATCGTGCCGATGCTTTAATTAATGCAAATCACTATGATCCACAAAGTATTCGGGACATTGCCGAAGAGGTAACTAAGAAATGGCAACAATTGGTGACATGCGCCGAGGAACGACACAAATTGGTGACGGCATCAATGAATTTTTATAAAACTGCCGAACAAGTGTGCAGTGTTTTGGACAGTTTGGACCGAGAGTATCGCCGTGACGAGGATTGGTGCGGCGGTGGTGGAGACCCAAATAAGCCACAAACCATTGTACAACTTATAACAAAGCATCAAGAGCAAAAGGAGGCCTTTTTGAAGGCATGTACATTGGCCCGTCGAACGGCTGAAACATTTCTTAAATACACAACACGATCGCTACAATATTACGAATACCATCAGCACGGCAGCTGCGAAGCTCGTGTTAAGTCCATTCTCGATAAGTTATTGGCACAGGAAAATCAGGTTCTAGAATATTGGACAGCACGCAAAAAACGTTTGGATCAATGCCAACAATTCGTTTTATTTGAACGTTCGGCAAAACAAGCTATTGAATGGATCCATAATACAGGCGAAGCATATTTATCGTCCCGCACCAATGCTATTGGCAAAAGTCGTGACGAAACTGAGAGTTTACTACGTGAGCATAATGAATTCAAGGGCACTGCCAAAGAGACACGCGAACGAGTTAAACTTTTGATACAATTGGCCGATAGTTTAGTTGAGAAAGGTCATGCACACGCAAATGCAATAAAATCATGGGTTGCAGCCGTCGATAATCGATACAAAGATTTCAGCAATCGCATGGATTCATATCGTGAACAATTGGAGAGATCATTGGGATTGCCAGTCGCACAAGATGAAACGACATCAACGTCATCGCTATCGTCGGCTGGCACTGCTGGCGATCGACATTCGGACCCATCGCTCGAAGCAAAGCTTAATGCAACGGCCGCATCAAAGGAGCTAAATGAAGAAAAACGTAAATCGGCCCGTCGCAAGGAATTCATCATGGCAGAACTCTTACAAACCGAACGTACTTATGTTAAAGACTTGGAAACATGCATTCGATGTTTCTTGCATGAAATGCGAAATGGGCCAAATGTTCCTGTCGCTTTAGTGGGCAAAGAAGATACGCTATTCGCAAATATTGAAGAAATTTATGAATTTCATCAGAAAATATTTTTACGCGAATTGGAAAAATATGAAACGATGCCGGAAGATGTTGGACATTGTTTTGTCACATGGGCATCTAAATTTGATATGTATGTAAAATATTGCAAAAATAAACCACAATCGAACACTTTAATGGTGCAACACAGTGGCACCTATTTTGAAGATCTTCAACGAAAGCATAAAGTTGAACACCCGTTGGCCGCGTACTTGATAAAACCAGTTCAACGAATTACCAAATATCAGCTACTTTTAAAAGATCTACAATCATGCTGTGACGAAGGCCAAGGAGAAATTCGCGTAAGTAACCATCCATTCATTTTCAGTGCTTGTCAAGAGAATTTCTTCTCATTATTTCGTGTATTCATTTGCAGGATGGCTTGGAGGTGATGTTGAATGTGCCGAAAAAGGCAAATGATGCGATGCACCTTTCAAATCTGGAGCAATGTGATATACCTATTGATAATTTGGGAGAAGTTGTATTGCAAGATTCATTTTTGGTCATGGAAAATAAACAGCTAATTCGCAAGGGACGTGAGCGTCGTGTATTTCTATTTGAATTATATTTATTGTTTGCCAAAGAGGTCAAAGACTCGAATGGAATCAATAAATATCATTTCAAGCATAAAGTGATGACATCGGAGCTTGGTGTCACCGAGCATATTGAAGGTGACGAATGTAAATTTGCCGTTTGGACTGGTCGCGCGCCTATGGTATCCGATTATCGCATTGTTTTGAAGGCCAACAATTTAGAAACGAAACAAATTTGGGTGAAGAAATTACGCGAAGTGATTCAAGAGACGTACTTCTCGGGTGCGTCATTGACATTGCCAAAATCACCGGCCAAATCAAGTAAAGCGACTGCCGCATCACAACGCTCATCGAAAGATTTAGAAGATACTCTGTGCGAAAATGATCACGATGGAAGTTCACTAGCCAGCTTTGGCTCTGGAAACACAACTGACAGTGATAAGGTGAGTTTTTTTTTCTTCTTTACAAACTCAAACAACCACCAATATTTTCAATTTAAAATCGATTAACCATGTGTACTTTTGCACAAGAGATCGATAAATTAAATCTCGCTGAAAAAAAAAAAGTTAAAATGCCAAAAACTGCCAATAGGCATGCATTCATTGTTAGTACAAAAATAAAAAAATCAATTCGTATTCGGAAAACTTTGCATCTATTTTCCAACAAATCGCTTTATTTGACAATGTATTTGTGTTGGGAATTTTCTATATTTTTCAGAAGATAAACGAATTCATACAAATACACATCATGGATTACAAGATATGGAATAAACGTCATAGAATGGCGCAAGCGCGATTACTCTCAATATTTTCCAATATGTACATATATAGAACACATTTTTTTTCTTCTCCAACAATGTACACATATACAACCAACTGCCAAACTTTATTTTTAAAATCATTCTTCGGATTTGGATTGTAAAAACCTCGTCATTTTATGACAATAGCATGATGAAAAATTACAAATCAACACTTTTCAATTACAATAAAACCCAACACCATTGTCATTTGCATCCGAGGCATGATTTCTGCCCGTCAACCTTTTTCCCGTTTTCATTTCGGTTTCTGTAATAACAATAACAGAGACTAACCGTATTCAGTATTGAAACTCCAATAAACGAATATGTTCTCATCGAAGTTTAATGTTGAATTCAAACGCAATGACACCTTTCTATCACAAGTTATTGTGTTTGCAATGTATACTTCGCATTATGTCATTGTTTTTTCTTCGAAAATAGTTAAACCCACCATTGCATTGAAAAGCACAGTAAACTATTGGGCTTATTTCGATGTTGCGTGTGCCGTTACTTCATGTGGTTTTCGGTTTTTTTTTATCGACACACTGTCTGTGTGCTACTGCTACCAATGTAATTACCATGGCCAATGTATCAGCAGTAGCAACAGCAGCAACATCAACAACAATAACAACAACCATCACAATGAAACACAACAAAAACAATAACAGCATCTACTTTGCTCTGATCATCCGTTTGACATTGTCAATGTGTGAGTGAGTCCTCATATGACCTGTGTTCAAAAATGTGTATACACCACTTCCAAAGACTTTGGGTGTTGTGCTCATAAAAATTGTACACGCAACGCGACGATACTTATATCTCAATGTGTGTTATATAACCAATGTATATTTATACAAAAAGGACTAACACAGGACCGAAGAAATTGATGCACAAAGGGAAGGAAATATGTATTTTATCTCCCTTTGAACAGTCACTGTTCTGAATCCGTACGAAAGCTATTTTTTTTTGTCGTGTAGCAAATACACAGCGAAAAAAACGCAGCAACTATAATTTCATTTCGTTTTATTTTGATTTTTATCAACAACATTTTTGGTTCATTTAATTATTTGCATATATATATATAAACACACACAACATTTAATATGGTCAAGTCGATGAAGAAACTCGAAATGCACACACCTTGGTGGTGCACAAAAATCAAATTCTGGTTAACAGCGCACAGTGAGATATGTATCGAGGCACAAGTTCACAATGAATCATGTCCCATTCCGGGCGAGAAAAACTTCATCACATGCTAAATACAATGCAAATGCAATAATCGCTCGATGAATTCGTATAAAATGACATTTAAGTGATTTTTTTCGAGTGTTTCATGGTCAAATGGAACTCATTTGTGATTTATTTTAATCAATGAAAAAGAAAAACATGTTTTAATGTGAATTAGAATTTAGCTATTGTTTGAATACAGTGTGAGAGTATATCAAGTGTTGAAAAAAAATAAGAAAAAACTCTAGATTGATAAACAGAAACCACGTCGAACTACTCAAAACACAAAAAGTTTTGATTATATTACTGTGCATTCCGTACATATATAAATATTTTAATGTACTCTTAAATATATTGACTTCACGAATTCCTTTTAGTTGATGCAGATATCGAATTTCGCATAATATCACTTATTCATTCATCGACATTACCAATTTTTCCAATCTGTGAAATAACATATATATGACATGTATGCATGTATAGATGTATGTATATTTCAAACGTATAAGTGAAGCTGTTTTGAACAGTTGAATATTTGGACCAATGACAATAAAAATAAATTTAGTGAGCGACTGTCAAGATGCAGACACTCAACTAGAATGCAAATGTGGAAGGTTCGGAACGCACGCAAAAGTTAAATCTTATTACGTAGAAATATTTTTATAACTACAAACCGATTTTCCTATTAATAATCGGAACCTTTTGAATAAGACCCAATAAATTCACGAAATTTCTCGATCACAACTTCACCATACCAATCAATTACAAATCAATGGTGTAAAATGTGAATAAATTCAATGAAAATATTGGATTTTGATCGTTGTCATAATTCGTCAAATGTAAAGTGGAAATGACAAAAGTGAAAAAAAAATCCATAGATTTAGGAGCGTAAATATTCAAATCAACATTATAATCCAATTCTTCATAATAATTATAAATATTACAAGCATTTTATATTATATTTTCGACAATACAAGTAACAATGTATCGAGTGGAAGAAGTGAAGTAGAAGTACACACGAAAAAAAACCTTCCCATTATTATCTGCTCTATAAATTAGATCAGTGGCAAGAAAATGCTCTTTTTATTTATACAGAATTAGTTCTTTATTCTTTTCTTATCTCTTGTGCTTGGCATTGGTGTACCCAGAGCATCGAGCTCGATAAAAATGGTAGTCTTCATGTCCAGTTTATTGGGTTTATTAGTATTATTCCGGTTCAATGAATTTGATATATAAAGTTCTAGTTCCATGGGCACGTATATTTTGATTTTAGTGTATCGGGAGCGGCTAACATATAGCCAATGTGCAGCTGTCCGGCTACTGCCACTTTTTATAATACGTAGTCATTGAATTTCAATATCGACAATGGTGAAGAGCACAAAAATGTATCCACAATATAGCATATATATACAATGTGCAAATGAACACCAATGGCCAGGGAGCAAATTATTTTTTTCTTTCTTCTCATAAATGTTCGTTTAGTTCAAAGTAAAATGTGATGAGAATATTGAACAAACAAAAAAAATAATAGAACATTATGGTCGTAAGAAATTCTATTGTCAAAAGGTTCATCAAAAAATATTACCACACACACACAAATGGCAGCAATAATTGAATCTTACACGTTCGAAAGAAATTTAATTAAAAACAAAATTATATAAGCTCTGGTAATAGAAAAAAAAAATTATGGTATATACTAAATTCATTATAAAACGCTAAAAGCTTTGAAGAAAACACTGTCGATGTTTTCCATTAAAAATGAGAAATAAACTTTAATATTATAATTGCCTATTTGGAAAATAGCTTAACGGATCCATTTATTTAGTATTGGATTTTGAGTTTTTCGTATCGATTACATCACCGTGCTATTTTTCATGATCGATATTCATATCGTACATAGTACGCCTCGTTTCGACATCCAGCGTGAAAATAAAAAATTTAAGCGAATTTCCATTACGAAACGCGTCCGAACTACCCAAATGCATTATTTTATCGATTTGGTCAAAATATTAACATGAACAACGACAACAAGAAGAAAAAAAAACATTCACACGATTGTGAAGATAATATTAATTTTTCAAATCTAGGAAATACGGCGAGTGAAACAATGAGCACGTCCACTAAACTAATAACCATTTAATTCGAAGGAAGTCGAAAATTAACACGATTCCAACTGATCTACAAAAAGTACAAACAAAAAATGGTTAAAATACATTCAATATCTCCATCTTAGCCAAAGCAAAGCCAAACCACAGTACAAAAAATGAAATCATTTTTAATAACGTAATCATATCATTACACGTAATCAATTTGAGATATTAACTAACTTAATGAATAATATGCAATGATGAGATCTTATCAAATAATCGTTTAACAATTCAAAACAATATCGATATTGATTCGAACGATATAGTATTGTAAAATAAAAGCACCAACAAAAATGAGTAATAATAATAGCAGTACGCCACCACTACCGCCATCAGCACCACAAGGCTTATTGCCAACGAAATCACAAAAAAGTCGACGAAAAATTTCATTGCCTTGGTTTCGTCAAAATAGCGTATCTAGTCCACGTGCAGCTCTGTCTCGTCAACACACCATTGATTCGCCAGGCTCATTTCGCTTTTTTCGTCAACCGTCCACCAATTATCAAAATCAGGTCAATTTACAACTATCTTCAATTTTTATAAAGATTGAATTTGTTTTGTTTTTCTTTTTTTTCTTCATATGAATTAAAATGATTGGAATATAAACTTTGATAATAACAAATCGATTATTGAAAATATTGGTGAATGATATTGTGTACAATTTTCAACCATTCCAATAAATTAAAATTCATTTTATTTTACAATCGAACATTTATAGGCTGGAGGCAATGTGGAAATGACATGGGTTTTAACCGACTATACCGCAACACCAGGAACAAATGAAGTATCTGTGACAAAAGGACAGCAAGTCGAAATTATTGAAACTGTTTGCAATGGTGCTCCCGAATTTTGCTTGGTTCGTTTGAACATACACAGCGGAAGTGCAGCCGATGGTAGCGGAACAATTGAAGGAATCGTTCCGGCGTCGGTGTTGAAATTAGTGCCCTCGAATAAAAGTGGTCATCGAAAAGGAGCTGATGATAATAAAGAACCAACTGATAATAATGGTAAGTAAATAAGTTCATTTTAATTAGAACTCAAATTAATTTAAACAAGAAGGATCTTCTGTATCCTCTTTTCTATTGCGGAGTCTATTTTTCGCAGAAATGTCAATGTTTCATTAAATTTTCATTTTAAACCGCTCTCCATACTAAAACTAAACCAATTATAAGTGATAATCTTATCAAATCATTCATTTCGTAGTATCGTATTAGGTGTATTGTTTATCGTCAGTGAAATACGCCGAATGAAGTTTGGCAGAAGTAAAGCGTTTTTCGACTATACTGTTCGTTTAGATTTTATTTTGAACATTTTTCAATTAATTCTTGTCCGACGGTCAAGTGGCAAAATATCGACGACAATACAAAACTACACTATAAATAAAAGTTGTATACAACCACCATTTGAAATTCGAGGTTTAACTGAGTGACAATTAGGAAAAAAAAAAACAAACAAAAATTCAAAGTCAATTCATTTACCGAGCATTTGTGACATTTGTTGCATTTTAATGGTCATGTTTCTAAATAGAATACCACTTTTCTCATGCAGTGACGCATAAAAAAATGAATCAGTTTTTCAGCGTAAAATGAATTTCTATTAAGATCACTCAAACAAATAATATGCAGTCAACGGAAACTTACAAACAATTGATCAGATAATAAATTAATACACATCTAGAAGCTCCAACCAAGAAAATTCATTGTGATCTCCTTTGCTCGTGTCTCTCATGTGTTAGTGTCTACTTAATATTATAGCTTTTATGACTTATTTGTAGTAAGAGCACATTCGTAGCGACAAACAACTGTTAGTATTATTCACAGACTGTGTGTGTGTATACGCACATCTTCATATGTGTCGTTTAATTTAGACGCATCGCAACGCGATCACTACAAAATATTTTTATATCGAATTGACGTAGACTGTTTTTTTTTTCCTTTAAAAAAATGTCATTTGCTTTTGTGAAAATATTTTTTCATATTAATTATCTCAAAGGCGAATGTATAGGTGTATAGCCGAAGGAATCACTACATATTTTGTCGCTAGCTAAATTTTACTTGATAAAAAAAAGTTTTGTAAAAAATAGCAATTGAAATGATTGCAATTCAATGGTATTTCTAACGATAAATTAAACATATTTTTTTGTCAAAAAAATATATCCTGTATCAAACGCTGTTATCCCGAAAGTGTTGTTTTCGTATTTGGGTCTTGAATGATCTGTATTTTTTTACATTTATATATATATTTATATGTGTATCTTATATGAAAGTAATACGAAGGAAAATCTTAATAAAAACAGAGTCCGAAGAGTGGGCGAACAAAAAGCGAAACAAAGCTACAGATTTTGTTGGGTATATTCGCTATGTGTGCTTTATGTTTGTATCTATCTCAATCGGTCTGCTCGAGTGTAATTTGATAGTCGTCTGTTTATTTTCGTTTGTTAGTACGCGCGCATAGAGTGAAAAAAAAGTTTGTTTCAAAGGCAATAATCTAACACATGCTAAAAATCGCACCGAAAACATTCAAGTACTAAATACCATAATAGCCGTGCATTTTATCATTGTTTATTGATTGACATATCGAATTTACAGTCGGATTCATATTATGAGCATGGTGAAAATTGCAACGATACTTTTTCACATAACTAAATTGTGATCCGAATGTTGTGATTGTACAATTTATTTGTTGATATTATGCAATTTCGCAGAAATATCATTTCGATTAAATGCAATTAATATAATAAAACGTGATTTGTTTAAGTGGGAGAAATTGTTATTGAAACACATGTGGTGTGCAATAAAATTGGTGAATAAAACCATTGAAATTGAAAAAGTACGAGAATCAAGGGTGCTTCAAAAACGAACAAAAAAACAAACAAACTGAAGGTTCTAAATCAATTCAAATGAAATATAAATTGAAGATGATTCTATTACGCTGAATTTGATATATACACAGTAGCGATTTTGTCACTTTCAAGTCACTTCGAACATTGGCGAAATATAAAGACACAAAACAAAGTCAAATCGAATGCGAGACATTGAAATTTGAAAGAAAAAAAAACAACAATATTTGGTATAAATTAAATCCAATAATGGATTTTAATTGTTGAAATGGTGTTTGTGCAAGCGCAGAAAAAGAAAACAAAGCAATCGAAAAATATTGGTATTTCTTGAAGTTAGACGTAAATTTGACACTCGAATATGAATCAGTAAATGTTTTTAAAATGTCGTAATGATTATTCCTTGAGAAAAAAAAATGCCCATAAATAGAACATGCATCCGTATTGAATGAGTCACCGTAGTTCCCAACATCTTATCGCCGAAATTTGTGAGCACTCATAAACAGTATGATTTGAGCTAGATGGTGTCTATATGTGTCATTATTTCAATTTGTGCAATTTTGTGAAACAGTTTTAAGTCTGAATAGCCGTTAGCGTTTGACTTAAATTCGCATAAATGTTGGTTATTGTGTTCATATAATATTGAATAAACATTTCATTCAATGGCGACGATTGATTCGGTTGACAATGTTGGTGGCGACGGAATGTGTGATTCAAAATTATCAAAAAAGAACAAACGGAAACATAAAACAAAGAGCTTAATTGTGTCAACAAAAACTGAATGCACTAATGTAAGCACGGACAATATAAGCCTTAGTGCTGGTTGTGATAATTCATCATTTGGTTTGCGACCTCGATTTTCATTTCGAAAATTTGGTCGCGGTCGAACGTCGTCAAAATCAAGTCTGAATGATAAAAGTTCGAATTCAAATTCAACATCAAGTATAGATTGTGCACCAGGCACACAATCATCATGTGAACAGAACACCATCAAATGCCCGATTATAACTTACAATGATTGCGACAGTGGTGCCCAACTGAATTCACAAATTGAAAGTAAGTGACAAAAGTGGTTGTTCCGGTTGATTATTACAAAGGTTTGATTCTGTTTCAACGTTCAATTGAAGCGTGTCAACTATAATTAGCCATCATATTTGAAACAAATTGTATACACACACAAACACACAAATCACAAAGTAGACCGAACGAACATTATATCGAATCCGAAAAGAAGTCAATCACAATCATAATTCAACATGAATTTATCCACTTTTAATTGTATTGTATAAATTCTATGCACTTATAACAATGTATTGTATTCAGAAAACTTTTGACACAGTTTGTTTGACGATTAACCGAATTATGCGTTTATTTTCAATCAAGCTTTTTTTATGAGTTCGAATTTTTGTTAGGTCATAATCTTTGAGTTTAGTATTGAGTATCACATAAAACAAATATGTTATGAAGGTTTAAGAATTTCGTTGTTTGTGACATTGACCAGTTACTAGCCGAATTATCTCGAAGCAAATTATGCTTTCATCGAATTCCAAAATTGAGATAAACTGTAGCTTTTATCGTTGTACTAAAATGTATAACATTCATGGTTCGTATCCGAATGACGATAATTCTTCTTTATATGAAGCTGCAGCAATGTGCTTAAATCATATTGTACATTTTTGCGTTCGAAAAATTATTAATAAAAAGTAGTTTATGAGATTAAGAGAGAAAGGAATTGTAGACGACGAAGATGAAAAAAACAACACATCGACGCCATAGCACAACAAATTTATTACGAATATTTATAGATCGAATTTTAAATGGAATTATATGTATTCATGTATAGATTTTGTGAAGCTGAGTAAAAATAGAACATTTTTATTTATATACATGTATCAAAATAATATAAATGTATAGCATACGGTAAATGAGAATCGTGCTTAATATTAATGAATTTAGTGAATAGAAAATATAACGTGTCCCATGTACAATTTACATGGCCAGCATTTTTCTTCTTCTGAAATTGGACATTTTATTCTATTGCTTAGTGGTTATCTGAATATGGTACAATATTTTCTCATGTTTTCTTTTTTTGTTTTCGTTTATACATTTGCAGATCTAACATTATCGACAGAAAATGCTGCGGCCACAACAGCGTCACCTATTAACAAGCGCAGAGGTTTCAGCGGGTAAGTGTCTTCACAAATTTCAGATCTTAAAATGATTTTTTTTAAACATTATGTCCTTGAACTTGAATTAATTTTCAAAAATTTCTTCAAAATACTCGGAACGTCATCAAAAAATGATGAAATTGGACGAAAATATGATCAAAGAATTCATAGCACGCCGTTTTTAAGTGAATTTTTATTGACTTTATAATGTTTTCGAAGACATTCTGATTCATAAAAAGTGCGGATAGATCATGTCTGTGAAAATTATCACTTTAAATAAACAAGATGTTTATCAAGTACATACGATCTCTTTTGGGGGTAATTGAAATCAGAAAAACCTTTACCTTTATGTAGATTCACGTCGGTTGAATGGTTCTACAATAGTTAATAATCACAGTTCCGAATCATGAGCTTGAGCTACTCAAGTAAAACGACAGAAGTTTGGTCATAGATAAAAATTTTCCAATGACAAGTGCCATTGAAATTATCACTTTAAAAACAAGTCGAGTTGACTTATTGCAATCGTAACATAAAAGTAGTTCTGCAAGGTAATGTGTTTATTATTCCGAAAATATGCACCAAACTGGCCATGAAAATGAAAAATTATTTATATTTCAATTATTTTTTAACCAATAATAAACTTTTTGAGACAAATTGAAGTGTTATTAAAGAGACATAACAAATTCATTGGATATTCATTTCCAGTTACTGAAGTAGTTTAAATATTTTTATCAGTTTCTTTTTTTCTTCTTCAAATGTTTTTTGTGTATCAACGACGAAGTTATATTTTTTTGCATTAAAATTATGTTTAAACTTCCTTCGTCGGCAGTACTCAATTATTAATGTTTATTCTTGTTCCAACAATGTAAGCATTTTTTGTATGCCGTGTGTTATCGCAAATAAACCGCACGACAAATTTGTGAAATCGATAAGAAATTGAATGGCTATAACATATAAAATTGGTATTGACTTGAGAATGGCTGATTGTGTTTGCGTTTTTAGTTGGTTAAATAAACCTCTACAATTCATTTGTAGCATTAGTTGTGAGTATTGAATGTATTTACACGATATTCTTACGGCATATTTCCTTTCCGCCGATAAGGGCATTTAATTTTTTTTTCAAAAGAAAAATAAAACTGTTTTATGGATTCAACAAGTTCCAACGAAACTCTAAACACTTATGTGTTCACGAAACCTTCTTCGTATAGTTTTGTATGGTGATCTGTCGTTTAAAATGTAGTAAACCTTGGATTGTACTTAAACCAAAATCGCACCAAATCAAGTTTATATTTTTGAAATTTTCCGTATCGTTACGCTCAAGTTCCTTAGAATATTCTTTTCGAGTATTCCATTATTATCAGCAATTATGTACCCAGTTGAAAAATGTGTATTAGTGGTCGACGATTTGTTCGAGTCGAGTGTAGTATGCTTAATATTTTTATTTGTATTTTTCTACATGTAGACGATTGTACGGTTCATATTTGATAAATAAATTCACTGAATTCACTACATTTCAATTTAAGTTTACATCCATTTTAAATTTGTTCATTTTATCCCTTGAATTTGTGTATCAATTGTCTACAATAAATTGATTTCAATACACCGCATCAATGTGCAGTGATTGGTTTACATGTGTTTGTTGCATTTGTTGCTTTTGTCATCGAAGGTATTCATATTTTATTTCAATAAGTGAATATTATAATGACTGGAGAGAGTCATGGAATTTCATTTAAATGCCAAAATGTTTATTTGAAAAAAAAAATGATAAACGAAAACAGCACTTGACATGCATTTGTCAAGTCGTCAATCACACGCGAATAAAAACAATTAAACTGAATTGAACGAAAATGTTGTGTTTCCGATAAAACATTAAAAGTATTCATGAAACTGACTAAAAATATAATTTATTTCTGTATTATAGAAGAAAATGGCTTCCGCCACCACTTCGCAAACTATCTCAGGGAAAAGTGGACAAAACGACAGCACCATCTTCGTCAGCATCGTCATCAACGGCGCCGAATGAGCGACCATTCTTGAAGAAAGGATCCGAAAAGGTGTTCAAGCTGGCCACATCGGTGACAGCTGAAGAGGAACCATTGGCACCAAAGACAAATATAAGTCGATTCCGTGATAAATCGGGCAGTGATCAACATCATAAAACCGATCATGATCAACCACAACAACTTCAAATGAGCCACCCAACGGAAGCTGAAAACGAAGAAGAGGTTATATTACCACCGCCCATGAAACCGATACAGGATTCGCAAGCGATCATTAATAATGGACCAACGGTCGTTGCGTCGTCAGTGGTTGAACACAGTCCATGCAAACGCGTGAGTATTTGAATCGGTGTTATGCATAGAATCTCTAGTACACTGTAATCGATTTTCCTTATGTTCAAAACAAAATGAATTTGGTGATGGGCGATGAGAGGCATACAGGCCCCCCGCTGACTGAGACATATTTTTGGGATAAATTTTGTTTTTTTTTGTTTCAAATTGTTTCAAAATATTGTATCTCTGTTGAGTTTACTCAATCACAAAAATCAGTCGTTCAATTTTATTGTTCGAAAAATAATAATGATTGTAGAACGAATATTGTTAGCGTTTTCACATTCTATCTTAAAAATCTTTTATCGATTATTTATGCACGCAATTCATCCCATCGTACAAATTTGGTGATATGAAATGATTTATACTCTTCTTAACCTTTAGTTCAATTGGATTTTTATATAAATTTTCTTCATTGTTGTAACACCATCATATCATGATCAAAAGCTATGTAACCGGTCTCAAGTCACCTGAATATCATTTTGAAATAAAACAGCATAAAAATCAATCGCTCATCAATTTTGATTTTAATTCAATATGTAAATACTCTCTATCTCCCTCTCTCTGGATTCAAACGTGTGAAACGATTGAGGGAGAGAGAGAGAGAGAGAGAGAGAGAGGAGGTCCCCATAGTATTTTACTATTTAGATTTTGTATTGAAAACAACATTCAAACATTTCTTTAACTGAATTTAAAACACATCATGTTCTTCGCCTATAGACTTCTTCATTATCGTTGAAAACGCTGGAAGGAAATGCAACCACTGATTTAGAAGAAATTGAACAAATAGTTAAGGAGAAAATGGTACTCTCATCATTACTGAATTTTCTTAATCATAATCCGCTTGTTGTGTAGTGAAAACAGAAACAATAAACATATGCATAAAAAGACAATGATAATTATGATGTGTGATGAATGCATTTCATATTTTTTCTTACATGAATCATGTAAATGGCATGTAGTACCATGAAAAAAGAAGAAGATTGAAATGCATTTCCATACTAATTCCATTGTCTTTTTAGGGACTCTTGTAACAGTAGTTAGACGCGTTTACTATATTCTTTTGGCATGGTATTTCCAACAATTTTAAGTTGTTTTCTTATATGATTTGCATGCAAAATTTGAATAAGAAATCTTTTCTATTTTTAAAAAGTTTGAAATAAGCTAAATTGTCATTGGACTTTTCGGCATATTACCCACCAAACAATAGATGGTTTCGACCAATTATCAGCTTATTACAGATTTTTTTGTTACTAATCAATTTGGTTTGCACTTACTTCGATTGGATTCGGTTAAACTATGTCTGCATGGTATTGGCATAATCATCATGTTTTCCATTTTATGCAATAATCGAAAACAATTGCTATTTATTACTAACTTAAAACTGCGCCCTTTTTCCCTTAATTTATTTACATGGTCCATTCATTATTTTGAGAATTTGGCAGATAATTGTGAAATATTTTAACATTCACTGATATATGAGCAATTGTGCCGAGTTTTTGGAAGATGAATTCTTTAATAAAGTGTTTTTAATTGTTTTTCTTTTGTTTTGTTTTAATTGAAGTGATGCAAGCACATTCACTTCAATCTAAGGAACTGAATTAAACAAAAATCGATCATTCTACGCTTATGAACCGTATTTGGTACAATAACTTAAAAATAAAGCATAAAATTTCAATTGAAGTGAATGATTTGTTGGATTTTTGAAACAAAACTTTTTTTTTAGATAAATAATAACTACGACACGTTTAACACGTTTTTTGAGCTAATACAACTATTTTCTTTATTTTGTTCAATAAAAAAAATGTTCATCATAAATAGGAACAACATGAAAGTACAAAATTCAAACTGGTTAAATCATCAAACGATGGCTCTGAATTTAATTCGTCATCTTCATCAGCTGCTGCAGGCAATGCAAATGGCGATAATGATGATAATCTACAGGAAAATGACATTGAAGTATCGATGCGAAAGCGAATGTATGCCCTCAAAGAGCTTGTTCATACCGAAGAGACATACGTGCAGGATTTATCATTGATTGTCGATGGATACATACGAGAAATTCGTGATCCAGATAGTGACATTCCAATGCCAGATGACTTGAAAGGCGGCAAAGAGCGCATGGTGTTTGGAAATGTTGAAGCAATTCACGAATGGCATAGGGAGTAAGTATTTTAAATTTCTAACAAATAACAAAATGGTATATATGATACGCGTGCTTATACAATATGATTGGATTCGTTTTCTTTTAGCTTTTTCTTGAAGTCGCTCAAAAATTGTATACAAAATAGTGTAGAATTAGGACCACTTATAAAGCGTTGTGAACGAAAACTTCATATGTATGTGATTTATTGCCGAAATAAACCCGTTTCTGAGCACATTGTGGCTAAGCATTTAGGTTATTTTGAAGAAATTAGGCTCAAGCTCAAGCATAAATTACTTGTAAGTATTTAAAACATTTATTAATTAAATAGCACCGTTTAAAATGTTGTTGATTATTGTACAGCTATGTGATCTATTGATAAAACCAATCCAAAGGATTATGAAGTATGAGTTACTGTTAAGGGATATTTATAAACACTCTGAACGTGCTGGTGTTGTACAGGAACTTCCAGGTTTACGGGATGCTATGTATGTCATGAAGGTAAGCACATCACATTCATCATATTATCAATATTGTGTGTCCCATCGTGTGTCAAATATAAAATGCAATTGTTTTGCAGATTGTTCCAAAAGAAGCAAATGACATGATGGACGTGGGTCGTTTAGAAAAATTCGAAGGGAAAATAACTGCTCAGGGTAATTTACTGTTGCATGGTCCACTACTTTGTACAGAGGGCACCAACAATGCCGAACGTAACGCAAGCGTTGCGATTAAACCACGTGAACTACAAGTATTTTTGTTCCAACAAAGTATCATCTTTTCGGAAATTAATGGAAAGAAAACACAATTCGTGAATCCAACTTATACTTACAAAAATCATATTCAGGTAACGATTTAATAATCCACATGAAACGTTTCATCATTTTCCGAAATGTAATCGCATTTTTGTTTTTGTCTTTCGTTAGTTTAACAAAATGGCAATAATCGAAGAACTGCCCGAGAATCGATTCATGTTGCGTTCAACCGATCCTCAACGCCAAGAAATTTGCTACATTATAACCACACAAACAAATGACCAATGGCATGAATGGGTGGACACTATAAAGAACATACTGCAAAGGCAATATGATTTATTGAAAGCACTCCAAAGTCCCATAGAGTATCAAAAAGAACGAATGAAGGAATCGTGAGTTATCTAAAATAAATCTTATTCATTTCTCATATACTCTTCTCCCTTATCCTCAAACTAAATACGATGTACTCTATTATGTGCTCATAAAACATTGGCAAACATCGCATAAAACATGCAGTCTGTAATTTAGAATTTAGAAGTATATTGTGGTTAATATTATACGAAATTGGAAAAATCAGAAATATTCACATAAAACAACCGAATGAATGACTGAATCACATGACATATTTTGGAAAATAAGCATTATTAAATTAAAATTCACAATAGAAATGGGATTCAAAAGAGATCCGAGTTATTTTTAATTATTTTGTTCAAATCCGTTATTGAAAAAAAGGCAACATTTTTTTTTTAAATCTCTGACGTGCACATTTATGGGTAGTAATTGCATATAATGTTCCAAAAATTAATAAACATTCAAACGATTCTTCATATTGCCATTAAATTTCATGCTTCACTATTTTTTGTCATCGTATAAAAACGCACTCTGTACATGGACTGTATAGAGAATCAACGCTATATAAAAGAATGACTATCAGTCTAACTTAAAAATAGATTTAATATGAAGAATGTTTGGGAAGAAGCCATCATACCCACATTTCCATTGATTGGATGAAATATTTCGTCTACTTAAAAATATTTCTGACGAAATTACGAGTTAACGGTCCTATTAACATTTAAAAACGTTCAATATAATGCCAACATGCCAAAATCATTGTATTTCTTATAGACAATGAATCGATGTCCTTTGATTCACACCAAAAAATATAGGTATGGTACAAATCGCTCGAACAAAATATAAATTTTGATAGACAGCAATTTGACTATTTGTTCCTAATTAAAGTCCGCATGGTGTAACCATATCGTGTTCAGCTTTGAATGAAAACCAAATGTAAAAAACATCAGTTACAAATCGAAATCAATATGGAATGAAAAAAAAAAAAATAAAAATAAATAAATAAAAAGCAATAATTTTTTAATCCAATTTACAAGAAGAAGAAAAAAAATCAAATCCACAATCCATTTAAAGAAATTGCCACGCTTTCAAAATATATTTAAGCGGTAAATTTATAAATGTTAGCATTTTTCATAAATAAATTTTTTTCTTATATATTTCAAATAACTCAAACATATATTACTCATTGCAAATGAAACCAAAAAATAAATGAAAAAAGAAACAAAACTGTATGGATGATTAGGTGTGAACTTAGCTATTTTTATAAATAAAAATGTGTCTAATTTTTACTTGAAAAGACCAACTGAAATGAGAGAAGTGAAATGCTCAACTTATGTAAGATGAAATTTTCGACTGAGAAATTGTCCCGTTTCCCAAAAATTTAAATTTTACTTAGTCCTTTAGTTAGCAAAATTTTTATTGAATTTGAAACTAATCCAAAATTGAGCGCGGCGATTTTAGGAAAAAAAATTCGTATGATTAAAATGCAAACGGGACATTAATTGATATATCCAATAATGAAATATGAAACCAATACGAACCGCTGTATGAAAATATATACATACAAAGTGGCCAATTCAAATGACACAGAAAAATCCACAGGCGAAGCATAAGTGGCATGCACACAAAATTGTGTATATATATATATTTCCATTGGTGAGTCTTTTATATGAAATAAAAAAAATTCTTTCGTTTCGAATGTGTGTGATAATGTGCGTTTCGCCATTCAATACATGCTCTCTTTCTGATACTAATTTCGAATTCTTAATGCGAGAATTTTAGCCATGGTGTAATGAATAGAGATGAACTAACTAAATACTCATGTAGAATGTGACAAATTCAATGCCGTTAATTATCTCTGTGTCATTGCATAAAATGTATGTATCCTGGCTACGAAAAAAAGACATTATTTCGGTGTTGTATTATTTGCCTAATTCTGTAAAATGCTTAAATACATTTTTAATTTTGCGAATTTTATCCATTCGCCACTCAACGAATTTTCTCATAATTTTGGTTCAATATGATTTGGAATGCAATACTCTTGATAGAGCTTGTGTGTGTGTCTGACTTGACACTTTGGTGTTAAATGTCTCATCGCAGTTTATGCTCTGGTGTAGTATGGGATAGAATACAGTTCGATTTTTTTTCATGCACTGTATCCTTGTCCTCAAAATACAAAGTACTGATAGCAAAACCAAAAACAAAAAAAAAAAAAACACTATAGATCGTCATGACGCACTGTGCTACGAAAAGAAAGAAGATTCATTAATATTGTAGCATTTAAAAGAAAACTTAAAACATTACAATTGATAACAAACAAACAAAAAAACCTTATATATTTAACCTTAAATGTCCACCAGGTTTATTCTTCTATATATACTTATTATTGATATTTATGATAAATACAAAGGAGGTTTGAATTGAATGAAATATTCAATACAACATTTGTGGTGTATATAGCATGAAATAAATAAATGAGTTTGATGGAAGCAACCTGAATTAGAAAATGAATTCATAAGTCAAACAAATGAAAATGATATGCATTTTGATGATCACGTCTGTCACACGTTTGTAAATTTAAAATATAATCAAATGTATTATCAATTAATAAAAACCAAAAAAAAAAAAAAAAAACAAATTGACAAAAAATAGCATAAAACACAAAGTTATTTAACATAAATTCAACAAGAAAAAAAAATGAGTATTCTAAGAATAATATCGCATCAAAACACTGGAAAAATAATGAAAATAAATTATAATAATAAAAATAATATTTAAATACAATAATACGATTACCACCATTTGTCTTATACACAAAAAAAGGGCTGAACCAAGTATTATGCATGATATTTAAAATACAGAAATGTATGTCAAAAGATATGAAAAACAACAAACGCTTTTCATTTCTTATGATTTCTTTTTTTATCAAACATATTTCGTTTTCTGATTTTACCAATTATCGTTTACCTTTCAATTTTATTCCTCTCTACAAAAGTATTTTCTAGCACTAACATTTATAAGGAACAATTATCTAGGTAGCTTACCAAAACTAATGTGTAACATATAATTTTTTCCGTTGTTAATTCAGTGCTTATTATTATTATTTTTTGTATAAATATCTGTATTTTTGTGATTATTTGATTTTATTTTCTGTTTTAATTATTTTCTGATCGTTGTTTTCTTTTGATTTTGTTTCTTTTCGTTTATGTCAAAACAAAATTGCACAATCAGTTCAATGTTTCGCAGTAATAATTTTTTACGAAAAACAATCTCCGTACCGGCACCAGATATTGGTGGCAGCAGCAGTAGCATTACCACATCAACATCATCAAGCAACAATAATGAACATAGTCAGAAGGTAAGGGCTTCTACATAAAGTTAAGGATTCGCTTCAATACAGAATGGATTTCATATAAATTGTTTGGTAGTTGCATTTTTTTTTTAGAAAACAAAAATCCCAATGTGTCAAGTTTTTAAGTTTTTAGTACAAAAAAACACGAAATAATTCATATTATTCCCATAAATGAATTGATGAATTGACAAATATCTTATCTTGATAGAATTGGCTCAAACTTTGAATTGTAAACAGTTTAAATACATTTTGGGATTTTTATCTAAATAATGCCAAATATAAAAACGAATTAATAATAAGAATAAAGTGTACATTTGGAATACAATATAGATTTATTAAAATGTTTTCTATTCAAACTAATTCATAATCTTATTTTAAATGCTAATAAAATAACTAACAAAGGTAATAAAAATAAGAATCATGTTTTGTTTAAACTAAAAAAATGGAAAAGTTCATTTTGTTATTATGTCTTTTCTACTTTTTTTGCTTTTCGTTCGTTTGGTCATATGTAATGATATTTTATTCCAAGGCCTTCGATAAATATTGTATTTAAGAAAATAATATAGATTTTGAGAAAAAGACCCAACATATTTTCGACAATCAATGAATAATAAATGATTAACAATTTCAATATTGTATTTGAATTTGATAGAAATTGCAAATATATAAGAAACATTCACTTGCTATGTGGTCCATTGATTGTCCGAAATATTCAACTAAAAAAAACAGCTTTGATCCGTTAATACGTAGATTACTATTAAAATTCCCATTTAGTCTGTCGCATGCAGTAGAATTTAATTTTTTTTTTTCTATTTTATTTCATCAGATGTTTATTTCATTAATTTTCATACAAGCTTTTTTTTATTTTCAACATTTCATATTTAAACGTGCAATTTTTTTTTATTGGGTTCGCTTTCATTTCTTACAAAGATATTAAAAAGAATAATTGTGTTAGTTAAGAAATTTACTGAAACAAGTCATTACTAAACAAGACTTCATGTGCGCTTAGTATCGGAATGGAAATAATTGAAATGTTAGAAAGAAAAAGAATAAATCTACCTTCTTCGAAGAAAAACATATCTGCATTTTTACAAAAAAGTGATTTAGCTGTCGAATTTTAACGTCAAAATCAAAATAGAATAATCTAAAAACTAATATTTGAAGGTATTTATGGAAGAGCAACGAAATAAACTACTGTAAATGCTATAAAGTTCAATCAAAATAAATATTGCTGCAAGTCATGTTTCAGCTAAGCGTGCATTGGGGTATTATGAGTCCTTCTGGGCATTGTTAACATTTTTTGGGTTTTTTTCATCACATGTACCCGCTTGCCTCCAACAAAAATAATTTTACATGAAACTCGATCATCAGTTCGCAATTGGCTTATGAGAATCATCATCGCTTAATTAACTGTTTTTCGTCCAAAACTCCAACAAACAGAATAAACTTGTATATCACGAAAAAGCTTAATTTCACAAATATTTTTTTATGTACGATCTAACCAGATTTTAAATTAACGATTCCATGATTAAAACTTCAAACCAGCAGAAAACTGAATCACTCATCATAATTTTACGAAACATTTTGTTTTTGTGGCGACAACATAATTGGTTGTCTTTTTCTTTCACAACAACGAATTTAGAAACTCTCACTACCACTTAAACTTCAATCGTACGACGTGTGCGCACCGCATAATCATGCTAGTATGGTGTCAAAACCGAATTCATCGAAACGTACGCTGCACATCCTTGATAGCATCCAAAGTATATTCCAATCGAATAATCACAATCAAAGTGATCGTCAAAACCACAACCATGACAAAAAGCACAAACATAATCAAACCATTGATAATTCAAATGATGATAGAAAAAGTGCAAAATACGTAAGCCATAAACCAAAAGACCATCAAAAATTACAAAAGGAGTCAATTGAATGTGGCCACGTGAAAACGGAAAGTTCAAACATACATCCAACCGATTTGAAAACTCATCCAGCCACATATAGTAAAATGGAAAATGTTACACGAATTTTAATCAATTCGTCAAACCCGAGAGGTAAATATATGAACATAGAAAATGACACGAGCTATTTGCCACATAAAAATCAATTGATATTTGCATACATGCATACTTTGAGCATGCGATTTTATGCATCGAAACTATCGAAACCGTCTGCAGAAGATGGAATCGATGTTCACGAATAGTATTGACTCATTAAATAAATTATCGTCATTTTCTTATAGCGTTAAATTCATGCAGGCTTTTGATTCCTCGTTCCATTTCTTGTTTGAATACTGTTTTTTTTTTTGTTCGGACTTGTTAGAGCATATAATTTAAATTGGATTTTTTTTAAACACGTTTAAAATGAAACTTATAATTGCTTTAAAAATAGTTGATAGCTTTGGTGAACGGCATGAATTAAGTATGTTTCTCGAGGATGTTGGGCAGAATGAAATAAAACCACAACATCGCCGATGGTCTGAGTATAAGAGTTTGAATTTGGTATGGTATAGTAGTGTTTTTGTTATTTATTATATTGTTTGATTTACTTTCTGTACCCTGTAAATTCGTATGAAATTCCCATTCTCTAACACAACCATTTGTTTGCAATTACATTTTTTTTTTTGATTTTATTTTTTATTCTGCATTTCATTATTATTTCTCGTCTTCAATTCCATTTTATTCAGATAATTCCAGAAAAAACAATTGATTTTCATAGCCGAAGGCCGCACACAACATCACCTTCAATTCAACACTACAGTTTAACTAATTTAAATTTTGATTTTAATCAATCGTTAACAATGGGACACGAAAGTGACATAAGCAATAGTAATAATGTATCACCCGAAATAATATCACGCACCAAAGATAAAATGGCACAAGCCGGTCAATCAATTGTCCTAAGTTGTCACATTCGAAATGGAATGAATGCAAAAACTGTTTGGCGTAAGATGGAACCAGATTCAAAGATTATAACAAATTCGTCGATAAAATATCAGACAACATTCTCAAGTTCGGGTGAGGCACGATTGCATATCAATAAAGTTGAGCCAAAAGATAGTGGTGTTTACATTTTGACCGCTTCAAATCCGTTTGGTGTCATTCAATGTGCAATCGGTCTTACCGTTGTAATGTCAACCGTTGACACAGTTGACAATGAAGATGAATGCCATTGCAAAGATGTTTATGTTGAAATTGTAAATCCGACATCGGTTCGAGTTAGTTGGGACTTTTCATCATCAACAACAAATAGTTATATTATCGAATATTGCCGAACTGGCACCAATAATTGGATTATAAAAGATGATAAACCCGTACGGGCACGATATATTTTGAGCGGATTGACACCGGGTGAAAGTTATACATTCCGTTTACTTTGTCCAAATACAAATGTTACAAGTTTACCAAGTGCATCGATCACAATGCCGCTCAGTGAACAGCATATGTGGCAACAGCAACAATTTAATAATCGATACACTTCGCTATCAGAGCTAGGACGTGGGCGTTTTTCAATTGTTCGCCTTGCAACCGATTCGGTAACCGAACAAAAGGTTGCGCTCAAACAAATTTCACGAAAACATCAAGATTTGACCATAACACAAGAGGAATATAAATTGCTTGCATCGTCATCACATCCAAATATTGTTCGTGGACTGGCATTGTTTGAGAATGCACCGCTTCAAGGAATCGATACTATCGTTATGGAACTGTATGTGCATTTTCTATTTCTTTTATCATCTTTCAAATCGAAGTTTCTATCTATAGCTTTGTTTTTTTTTCTTCTCTTCTTCTTTCTTTCTTTCAATTGCGCAGTGTTCAAGGTCCGATGCTATTCAATTACATATGTCAAATGGACACATATACTGAAGCGGTCGTAGTGCATTATATGCTACAATTGTCAGATGCCTTAAATTGGCTGCATAAACGTAACCTAGCCCACTTGGATATAAAACCAGAAAACATATATGTTGTGCAACAACAACAATTGAAACTGATTGATTTCGGTGAAACATTTGGCACTCTGAATCGTAACACAATTCTACCTCCATCGAATTTAGAATTTTCTGCACCAGAAATGGTGATGGGACAGGTAACTGAATTTTGTATTCTATTCGAAAGCAAAAAATGTTGACATCACATGTAAATAAAAAAATTACGTATAATATTAACTTTAAATAGGCAACTGGAACATATACAGACGTTTGGTGCTTTGGTATTTTATTGTATGTATTTCTGAGCGGAGTGTCGCCTTTTTTGGACGATTCAGTTGAAGAAACGACGGAAAATATCCTGAAGTGTGATTTCTCATTCCCCGATGAATATTTCTATGAAATTTCAAACGATGCAAAAAATCTTCTGCGACGGTTATTATTACTACAGAGTAGTGCACGAGCAACAATAAGCGAATGTCAATCTTGTCCATGGTTCTTACAGGTAAATCAACACATTTCTTTAAATAAAAAACAACCCTTTTTACAAGTATTAATTTTGTTTTTGTGAATTTCTTTACAGGAACCAGCAAACAAACCAATTTCAACAGTTAAATTGGAAAACTTTAACCAAAGAAGAATGCGAAGTTCAGTTTCTTTGATTCAAACGAACTTAAAAAAAACGTAGCAAACAACGAAGAAATTAAATATTGTATAATTGTACGCTGAATGAAATATTTTATAATTTTAAGAAAAAATAAAATAGAAATTAATAAAATCTTAGAAAATTTCTTTCATAAATTGGCTGCATCAAATACATCACCATTTGGTGCTGCGTTTATAAATTTGGTAAGATTTCGGTGTTCTCAGTTTGATTTTTCAACATATTTACTTTTAAATAATTGAAGATTCTTGATACTTGAGCTCTAGCTCGGTGCAGTTGCATTAAATATGAAGAAATTCTAAAATATCACGAAATACATAGGCCGATTGTCAGCCTGACGTACAAAATCATACATGAATTTTTATTATGAAAGTTTTTTTCTTCACATTATCTAAATTTGAATTATCTGTCGATTCTTATACGAGTAGCCAACAAAGAAATGTCTGGATTTTGTAACATTTTTGAAGGCCATTTTCAGAGCCGAATTACGAACGAACAATTGAATGAAAAATAAATAAAAATAAAAACCCAATCGATTTTAAAAGTGGAAAAAATTCCAAAGAACAACAACTCTTAGGTAAATAACGAAGTAAATGTTCAAAAAATGCAAATTTGTTTTAAGTACGAATGTCTTAAATCCAAAGATTGTCATGTACTTTACGTAAATGACATTAAACTGCAAGCGTACTCAAATTCGATTATCTGGATAGCAATTTGGAGATAGCAATGTTGTGCAATATAAAGTGTTTGTCAAAGGTCAAGTACGTATTCGATTCGGTTTCAGTGTTGTTTGAAAGCATCGCAATATTTTAATAATAATCAGTTGCGCATTTTATTTTTAATAATTTTTCCACAAATATTTCCAAATAATTCTGTAAAATGAGTACTATTGATTCAATAACATTGATTGCTGAGTCACTAAAACGACAGGTAAAGGAAAACAATGGATTATTATTGTTATTATTTGTTACTCGTTTGTTGATTAAATTCTTACTGTTAAATGTAATGTCTTTTTAAAGGGCATCGAATATGTTTTCGGCATTATTGGCATTCCGATCGTGGAACTATCGATGGCTATGCAAGCAGCCGGTTTAAAATACATTGGCATGAGAAATGAACAGTCTGCATGTTATGCGGCACAGGCAATTGGCTATTTAACAAAGAAGCCCGGTGTATGTCTTGTTGTACCAGGACCTGGTTTGTTGCATTGTACTGGCGGTATGGCCAACGCGCAAGTCAATTGTTGGCCTTTGATTGTGATTGCCGGTTCGACATTCCAAGATCATGAAGGAATTGGCGGTTTTCAAGAATATCCTCAAGTCGATGCAGTGCGAATTTACTGCAAATATGCAGTTCGACCACCAACTGTTGCATCAATACCAAGTCATATTGAGAAGGCAGTTCGTTCGGCAACATATGGAAGACCGGGCGTGTCATACCTTGGTTCGAACGAATTTCCAATTGAATTTTACATTTTTAGTACGCAAATGAAGCTTATTGTTAATATATTTATTTTCATAGATTTTCCGGGCAATGTTCTTAAAGCTTCGATTCAAACTGATGCCATTATCGAAAATTATACACATCCAAATCCACCTTTATGTTTTCCAAACGGTGAAGATGTGAGGAAAGCATCAAAATTACTAAAATTGGCAAAACGGCCATTGGTAATTATTGGAAAAGGTTCTGCATATGCACGAGCCGAACATTCAATTCGCCAACTAATTCAACGCACAAATTTCCCAATATTACCAACGCCGATGGGAAAAGGCGTCGTACCAGATGATTGCGATCAGAGTGTTAAAAATGCACGAACGCTGGCCTTACAAAAAGCCGATGTCATTCTTTTACTTGGTGCACGTTTGAATTGGATTTTACATTTTGGTCGACCACCACGATATGCTGCCGACGTTAAAGTTATTCAAGTAATAATCGATGCGGTTTTACGTATTTACACCTTTTTTACACAACATGAATTGTTCATTTGAATTTAGGTTGACATTTGCCCAGAAGAATTACACAATAGTATAAGAGGTGCGGTGGGCATACAATCGGATATTCTACCATTTACGGATCAATTGCTTAAAGAAATGGGAAATTATCGTATGGACATGAAGTCAGATTGGTGGAAAGTCTTAAAGCAGAAATGCGATATAAATAGTAGAACAGTAAATGAGATGGCGATAAGTACCAGTGTGCCATTGAACTATTATTCCGTATTTCATCATGTGCAAGAAATTATACCAAAAGATGCGATTATAGTGAGTGAAGGTGCCAACACAATGGATATCGGTCGATCGATGCTAAATAATGTGTTACCACGACATCGTTTGGATGCCGGAACCTTTGGAACCATGGGCGTAAGCTGCTTCTTTATTATGCTTCTTTCTGTCATAAAATTAATGATGGTTTGTTCTAGGTTGGTCCAGGATTCGCTATAGCCGCAGCACTTTATTGTCGTGATAATTTCCCACAAAAGCGGGTGATATGTGTTGAAGGCGACAGTGCCTTTGGTTTTTCTGGCTTAGAAGTGGAGACAATGTATCGATATAAGCTACCCGTTGTCATTATTATTGTGAATAATAGCGGCATTTACAGTGGTCTTGATGCCGATACTTACAAAGATATTCGTAGTGATGGAGATTTGACACAAAAGTACGCATATTTTATTTATTTATTCACGTTCACAAATCAAACGGACCTAACTGAATATTTGTCATTTTAGCACGCCACCAAGTGCATTAACAGTTGAAACTCGTTACGACGCAATACTTGGTATGTTTGGTGATTCGGGATATTTTGTTAGAACCATTACCGAGCTTCGTCAGTCATTAAATGATGCTCTCAAAATAAAAGATCGTCCCACAATTCTAAATGTAATTATTGGACCCATGTCTGAACGTAAGCAGCAGTCTTTTAATTGGCTCACGGAATCAAAATTATAAATATTTTTTTATATATATGAATTTAAAAATGTATAACATATAGCATATTATAATAGAAAAAAACATATACAGAAGCATATCGAACACGAAATAAAGTACATGGTTTTTGGAAATACTTAAACTTCAACACTTAAATTTATTTAAAGTACTGCTTTTGAACCTAATCGTACTTGACGCATATGAGAGCAGTAAACCAAAAGAATTCATTCAATTCACATTTAAGACTCATGACGAATAGTTGTGGATGGCGTGTGTGTGTGTTTTGGGTGAACCGTGATTGCAATAGAAAAAAAAACGTGAAAATTTATGCATTTTCAATGACAAAATGAAGCAAATTCTGAAATAAAACTATCACTTTGATATGATTCGATAGCAAAAAAATCCCATAAATTTGCAAACAATAGTAAAAAGTGAAATGTCAAATAAAAAAAGTTGAAACAAAAACTTAATTGATGGAACTTTTTTTTCTATTGTACGATACGTCGATGTAAATTTATTTGTGGTGTGTAAATATCAAACACGAAAAATAAATAAAATAATCAACCAAATGGAAACATTATAAACAAATTTACATATTGAATGTCAATAGTTTAAGATTTTCAACAATTAAATGACCAAAAATCGAAAGCGGGAAATTGTTTTCCAAAAACATTGGATAGACTAAGGCATTTGTGCGTGGACTTCTCTATAAGTGTATTTTAAAAAGAAAGAAAGAAATTATAATCAAATAACCAATTTCGAAATAAAAAAATTCGGGATAACTTTTTGGCTGATGTCTTTATATTTTAAAAATGGTGAAAAAAGTGCTCTCGTCGGGGTATACAATTAGGGCGTTTATTAATATATCAAATCATGACAGAGGAACATGAAGAGTAAGTCACCAACATCGTTCACCCTCAAAATATTCATCTTAGCTATGGTTCATCTTTTCATCAACATGACAATATAAGACAAACCTGTTCGCATACATATATTTAAGCAACATGAATGAATGAATGACTGAACGAATGAATGAATGAATGAATGGTAGCTGGTATGCCGTACAGTGTCATTTAGAAATATTTTTGAATGCCAAGAAAATATGAGAGATTCCAATGCAGGCGCATGAATCGAAAATATTCTTTTTCATTTCAAATCGAAGACGAATTTGACGAATGCCTCACAAATCGAAAAAAGAACAGATTTTTCTACTTTCATGGCATAGTACGATTTAACCATAGCCAAAACAGAATAAAAAAATTCAGAATTTTTTTTTTGTATGATATTTGTCGAAAATAACTCTATTTTTTTTGACAAGAAACTCTATTAATTTAAAAAGATATAAAAAATAATCACGGTGTTAAGTTTCTTCAAAAATTGTATATTTTATCATTTGTAACCGATACTTGAGCGCGATTCTACAAAATTCAAGTTTTATGAATGGCTTAATGGAAAACAACGTCATTCATGATTTTATTCAGATCAAGGTTATGATAGTGAATGAACAATATCATCACCACCAACCACCACCATCATGGTGATGAACTGAGCTGAAGCGAACAAGAGGAACCAATTTGGTTGAAAGTTCTTTTACCAAATAAAAATTTCTTCATTTCAGTAATAATGAATGTTGTAATCGAGAAGTGAAATTCGTTGTTTTTTTCTTCATAATGGACGCTCAAAAGGGATGTTATGTATTCATTTCATTCATAAATTGTATCTATTACCTATGCCAAGAGTCACCAGCGTTCGTAGTGTATATAGACATTTTGCATTTGCGTAAACATTTATAATTATTTTTAATTTCAATTTATATTCGGAATTTATAAACAGAATCGAAATTGAGACAGATAAATGGAAAACAAATACGGGCACTGATCAATTGTAAAAAAAAATCAATATTTTCTGTTGCCATACAAAAAATTGAAACATCATAAGTTGCGTACATTTATGAATCAAAAATAATGCCACCAATTCAATGAATGAATTTGATCAGATGTATTATGTTAACAAACCAAATATCAACAGTATCCATTCATATTTATTTATTTATTTTTCATTCAATGTTACACATACACAGTCCAATGGGATTTTGCCTCCACCTCACAATTTGTGTATGCATAAACATATTTTGGTTTGAAAACTCAAAGAATTCTTGAATATCATTCATTTAATAATAAATTTCATCTAATCAGTAAAAAAAAATTGAATTGAAATATGATAAAATTTCATATTTCATGAAGAAAAAATTGAAGCCAAATGTATGTTTTTATCGTGTCTTTCAAAAAATCATGTCCTCAATAGATGACTTAATCAATTCACTCTGTTCAAGCACATGCCGAGCATGCGGGTCAAAATTTTGAATGAATTCCATCGCATTCATAAAATCCCCATTTTTCCTTGAATAACACAGCATAGAGTAAAAAAGCAACAAGAACATGAATGAAAATCTACATGGAACACGAAGTATTGGGCGTATATGGCTGAAAATAAAAATCATTCACACTGTTTCCACTTTTCGTCGGGATATAGTTTGTTCGTTCGTTCTTCTTCTTCTATTTCCATATAAAGTCAAATATTGAAAGCATTCCCAGCGCACTCATATATAGGCTTGTGTATATGTCCAACAAAAGGCAGCAGCTTTTTCCATTTCCCATTATTCATTCACGAAAATAGGTCATGAGATTTTTCACAGAGAAATACAAATACATTATGAAGCGCATGTTATGTATGAATGAATGAATTTGAACTCATGTAATGTTCATGGTAATATTCAGTACCGTATACCGTACTTTTGGTTATAGTGAGAATTAAGAATGAACCCATACATAACAAGTTCAAAACAGTACCAATATTGTTCAATACAACACACTCCTGATGAATATGTTTTGGATGTCTTCACTTTCACATATATATAGATCTGTTTGCGTGTTTGCCTCAAAAAAGCTCAACAGCGTCTAAAAATAGAACTGAATGTGTTACTCTCAATTCATAAGACTTTGAAAACCTTTTTCTTTCTTCTTCAATGATATCAAGCACTTCATAGGTTTGCAGGAGTTCCAACCATTTCGAAATACGTCACAGGTCTTATATATTTATCATATAACTGTTATCCAAAAATGTTCGTACACTCATACCAAATGCACTCGAGAAAAACGGGAATAATATATAAGCAGTTATATTTTGAAAAAGAACAGGCATCATGGATGCGAACCCAAAGTAAATAGATATTTCATGTATACGTTGACGTTAACCCACTTTTGGTGTGTCCTTTACCTATAGAAACAAAACGGTCGTACATAGAACCATACATTTATATGTTGCTATAATAAATGCATGGAGTGAGAGCCAAAATCCAAAAAATCCTTACCTCATTCATGAAATTTTGTCATTATATACAGTGTGATTCGATTTAATTCATGATTTCGGCTATGTAAATGAAGCCAAGTTTGACTAGCACGTGAAGCTTACGCAAGAAACGACATATACCACCGATAGAAGCCAACTTTTGTGCAGATCTCAACATTTTTTTTTTTCTTCGAAGAATTTCTTTGATGAATTCTCGAAAAAATGTTCACGACTTTTTGTTATCTTCATTATTGGACAAAATAAAGATACAAATATATCAAGAGAAAACATTTAAACAAACATTCGAAATGATTTCAGATATTTCCATATATTCTCTATAAACATCTAAGCTTTTCAATTCATTAAAAGAACCGAAACCATTTGAACATTTTAGAAAATTACATTTAATTGTTTGATTGAATAATCAACTTTATGATTTAATAAATAGCCGTCCGAACAAATTTGAAGTTCTTCTAGTACAAAGACGTACCAAATTTTCATAGAGAAATTGGAAATGGAACACTCTCGTCGATATTTGAAAGTCTTAAAACTCTATTGAAGTATTCGAAAAAGTACTAAATATGCATTTAATCATGTTTATTTTTAAGTATGGGGTAAAGAGGTAATCTGAACAAGGTTTTAGAGCGCTTACCCACATAGATTGGCATTTCTATAGGAATTTGCAAAGAAGATTATGAATTAAGTTGTAGCCAAATAAAGGTTGTAGCTATTGAATGAATCTTTTCATTTGGTATTTCAAAATCCTATTTTATAGCTCAAACTAATAATTATAAGTTCCAGTATCTCTGAAACATATTCCACCTGATTGCGGGCAATAAAGGGACCCATGAAATAAAATGCCATGTATAGATAGAAAATAATTTCTTTTTACTCATATATTTCCAATTCATATGATCTGTGTGTTAAAAGTGCTTTGCACTCGCTTTTAAAAGTGTACTTTGTGAACATGAAATGTAGATATGTCGAACAATTCGTCACATAGTTGAATGATTTGTTTTAAAACTTATGTTTGTTTTGCATATTTTAGTGACTTTCTAGTTAAAGTTCGAGCACAGGTGATGACAAGAGATGAGAGTACGGAGGGCTGGTTACCTTTGGCTGGAGGTGGTTTAGCAAATGTATCGATTCGAAAACGGGCTAGGCTACCTCCTGAAGTTGGCGGCCACGAATATATAATTTATGGGCAGCGAATCTCTGATCAAACCGTAAGTGAAGCGTTAAAATTGAGTTCGTGATGAGATAAAGAGAAACACACATATAATTAACAAAGTTAATTTTTCAAAACAGATAATCTTAAGTTGTGTTATCAATCGAGATCTTCAATATAATAAAGTAATGCCCACTTTTCATCACTGGCGTGCTGGAAAACAACGTAATGGTCTTACATTTCAAACGGCTGCCGACGCAAGAGCATTCGATAAGGGTATTATTCGAGCTTATGATGAACTAATTCATGGTTTGTATTTAAGCTATTAACGCCGCGAAAGTAAAGCAGAATTATTACTTTCACGGTATTAAATGCGGTGCTGGATTCGAATCACATTTTTTTTTTATTTTTCTCTTTACAATGTTTTCATACAAAATAGGCTTGAATATGGTCAACTCATCTCAATGGCCCAAAATCAATAAGTATAACACTCAAATTGATGATGATGATGTGTTTATGGCAAGTGTCATGCAAATATCATGTGAATTTCAAACAATCGATACTAAATTTGTACTGATAATATTTTAGACACTCGAATTACCCCTGGATCCATCGGAATCGAGATCATCCTCTGGAAACGGAAGCCAAGGTAATTAGCTTTGTTTGTGGGCAATTCAAGCTGTTCCATATAATATAACCAGTGTCATGTCTTGTATTGAATCCTTTATTGAGATTTTTTTTTTTCATATTTATTTTGCCGTGGATGCAGCTAGTGGATGCGGTGGCTGCGAACTGAATGTTGATGGTGCAGCAAAACACGTAAGTACATGTTTAAAATAAATTTATTGTATGTAATAAATGTGAGAAATAAATAAATAATTTCATTTATCCAATAAAATGACAGCGGCAACTACCACAACAAATACCTACAAGTCATGCACCGCCTATATCGGGCGAAAATTATTCGTACGTCCAATTAACAGCAGTGCATGAACCAGTGAAAGCATTGTGCGAACATCGACCGGAAGCCATACAATCCGATTTTGATAGTGAGCCGATTAATTTAATTCGTACGGATACAAAACGGGAATCATGTGCTAGTATAAAAAAACCATATTCAACTGATGCTGTTGCACAATCACACAAAGAATTGGTGCACACAAAACGAGTGCGCTGCAGGTACGTTTGAAAAATGTCACATTCATCATTCATATCATATTCAACAATTCGTATTTTATTCAATATGGAATCGTTTAGATACTGCCAAGAATTTTTCACGGAAGAATTTAATCGAAAAGGAGCTTGTGAATTTGCGCCTGATTGCTTTAAGGCTAGTCTCGAATATACAACAGCTATGAAATGTGCCCGATGCATGTTGTACCATTGTATGAGCGACTCAGAAGGTGAAATGCCACAACATCCATGTGAATGTGTACCTGAAGAAAGTGTCTGCTCAAAAAGGTAAACATTTGCATTAGATAGATAATTTTAATTAAATCACCGCATCAATTTAATGATGAATTTTATTGTGTATTTTTTTCTTTCAGATGGATCGGCTTGTTTCTTTTATCGATGATATTTCCTTGTTTGTGTTTGTATCCAGCATGTCATGGTTGTCATAAAATTGGTATATGTTGTGGTATCTGTGGCGGACGACATAGCTCGCAAATGTGATAAATAAGAAATTAAACACATTTCACAATGTATCTGACTGTAATTTTTTCGAACAGTTGATTTGACACAGAGTGCTAGAAAAACCGATAAAATTGAACAAAAATGAGTTCCAAACCGGTCGCCCCAAGAGCACAAATATTACCAAGACGCCTGAACCGCTTCCGTCTGCTCAATAGCACATTTTCATTTTATTTAATTTTTTTTATCTGGCGATCTATTCAAAAAAAATTTGTTTCCTTTCGAAATTGACATAGAAAAGAGCATTGGCAACTGCTTCGAAAAACGGAGAGAAATGATTCCAGTGAAACTTCTCGATAACGAATTTTCAATACGACCGAGAAAAATTCTGCTAAGTACAGTTTTATCTCCTATATTTTGTACCGAAAATTTGAATACAGACTAAATTCAAAATCCGTGAGTTTCCCGTTATTGAGAGATATTAACTGACTGACAGAGTCTTTATTATTAAAATCAGTTGCATGGCATATAAAAGACATAAAAAAAGAACAATGGAAGGGTATATATTTTTTTTTTTTGCTTTTCTGTTCGATTTTTCATAATTTTTTTGGGACATATGTTTGTGTTGCGTATTGGTCAAAAGAGGGTGTACACCAGTACAATATATACATATGTATATTTATGTGCGTATTGGCGTAACATTAATTTCCATCACATTTGAAGAAAAACAAAATAATAATAAATAATGTAAATCCATTGAAATTGTACGAAATCTAAATTAACCGGTTATTTTAAATAAAAATTAGTATCCCAACAAGTGGAGAATTTAACAAAATAAATTTTACTTAAATAGATTTAAAATGTCTTCTTGTTGGTAGCCATAAATGTTGAATTACATCTGTTTTTAAGTAAAACTAAATTCATTTAGTTGCCTGTATCCGAATTTATTGTTTCAGCGTTTATGTTTTCATAATGTACATCAAATGGAATTCATCGGCCGAAACATTTCAAATTATGAATACAAACACGAAACGTGTGTGCATTTTAAGATTTTCAATTTTTCAAATATTTCGATTTCGAATTCTATAAAAAAAAGTATTTGATTGCTTTCAATTTACAAGTGATAGATGATCCATATATATATATTTTGGTGAGTTCACATTTTCAAGCTATTTTCACCTCATTTTTATAAAAGAAAAAATTAAATGGCTCTGTTTACGCTTCCATTTCAAACTCGATGTATATGAGAAACTTCACTGATAACACACAAAAATCGAATCTTCAACTGTACAAAACAATTATTATTCTTAATACGACCAAAAGTTAATCCAAGTACAATAAATTAATCTAAAATGGATTCGGAAAATTCCAAACCAAAAATGTAAAAAAAATATATATGCAAAAATAGAAGATGTTTCAAACCCGTTCATTAACATAACAATCAAAACGAAGTGTTGAGCCAATTATGCGGCTCATACACTTACCTGAATCTCAATATCAATTTCGTTGATGAGCGATTTAAGAATAATTATTTTTTCGACACTCATTGGTTGCTAGACACCTGTAATTAAATTTCACCATATTGGGTGGTGTAATTTCAATGCGTAAAAAATAAATATTACTGCGACTTTTGATTAAATTATGTAAAAAAAAACATATTTGTATAAATGATTAACAAATTGCAATGTGAAATTTTATAATGAGCACTTCCGTCAAGCATAGAAAACTGATTAAGCTAAAAAACTGCCCACCAATTAATACGATTGAAATGAAAATTAGCCCACGCATTTAAGTCTGGTGGGCTAATATAATGTTAGCAATTATGGATTGGAACATCATTTTCACACTGAAAAGTGATCCTTCCTGCAACCAAATCGCTTGAGATTCATCAGAATACTTCAAAGTACAGGGATGTCAAAAAGATTCTTTGCTGGCATATAAGGAGTACACTAGTTTTAAATCGTTCTTGTGCTGTAATTGAAGTCATCATTTCGAAAAACCTGGAAAGTCTTTTTTTTACAAAATCGATTACCATATTTTAATATTTTTCAAAGAACCTTGCCAAATCTATATGGTTGTCTCTGTTATTCCCATAAAAATTCACAGTTGAGTTTGACAGCTGGATAACTTTTTGGCATTGTTCTTTGAATACCAGAAATAGTAGTTAGAAGCCGGCTTTAGTAAGTACAATAGATAAAAGAGTTGAGTCAAGATTTTGTTGGTGACAGTACCGTGCAGCAAATAGTCAATCAGCCTATCATGTGAAGGAATTTCAAGAATTATGACGTATTTTTTTTTGTGGAAAGCCAACCATCAATATACTGCTGTGTTCTTTTTGCTCTAGTCTTCAGTTAATAGTATTGGGATCAGGATACTCATACTACTATTGTTTTATTCATCACATTCCATAAGCTCAAGAAATTCGTGACCAAGAGAAAGTTGTTCATTTGAAAGCACTGTCTGCTGAGCAAGAGTCATCTTTTGAACAGCTCTTTGCACAACTGTATTCGTTTTCGTTATAGTTTGACAATGGAATGCGATGGCGTAAAGTCACCAAGAAGTGATTGAAATCGTTTGGTTTCTATTGCGAAAAATCTCAACACTATTTTGTGTTTTTTCAATTTTTCGACACTGCCACACTACACAACCTACATAAGAGATATCGGTTCAATTGTTTTCTGGCTTCACAATCAAAGGTTCACATTTCAAATACAGCAGAAGAACAAATTTGAAATTAGTGCTCTTTTGACACCCCTGTATACACTTTGAGTTTTCTCAATAATACGTAGACAAAAATCATAAAATATAAATTAAATTTTCCATCGAACAATATCATTAAAAACAATATCTATGCTCGGTGCGCAATTATTCATTGTAAAATTTCGTACTGTCTATTTAAAAGAAGTATCGTATGTTTTTATTTCAAATTTTGCGGACAATTGTTAATGTATTTGTACATACACTACTATCAATTCAGAATCAAATGAAAAAAGATACCCGAATGCAACTATGCAATAAAAATGGTGTGCTTCAGAAAATATATTTATCCAACATCATTTTCTTGATTTTATGAATATATTTTAATTGTAAATAAAATACGTACAAAGAGAAAGAGAATTGTTTGGTTTTAATTATTATGAATTATTTTGCAGAAAATTCCACCGACAAAAAAAGTGTTAAGTTAAAAGTTTTTATTTTGTAATCAGTTATTCTTTTTACATTAAGAATTTTGCTCTAAAACCTAAAATGAATGAAATAACTTATTTAACATAGAACAATCCTGGCGCAATAAATTCAAAAAAAAAAAAAGAAGAATGATTTAATCTATAAATATCACAACGACAAATAAAAAAAGAGACTGCGATTGTTGTACACTCAATTCACTACAACATATATCTTAAAACTCAACTACTCGCTAAATATCATAGTGATAGGTTTTTCGCTGACAGATTAGATACGAACGAAAATGTAATTGTAATGAAAGATGATTTATTTATGCATTTCCAGAAACGCTCAAGGCGCTCCATTTCAATATATGTAAACTTTTTTGTGCAGTGTACACTGTGTTCATTTTGTTTTTGTTTTGTTTTAAACTTCCTTTGCAACTCGAACAATGTTCTCTATTCCCGAGTCTTCGTCGGTGCTATCACTTTGTCGATTGGCCGTTGTTTTGTAATCACATTTTTTATTTGTGTTGATATTAATATCATCGTTGTGGATAGGCGTTTCGTGTGAAACGTTTTTCGTTTCGGTTGTATTGATCAGCAGTAGGCCGTCAGTATTTGTACTGTTATTGAGATGAATTAGTGAACTTTTTCCACCGTCAAAACTGTTTATCGAATCCATTGATCCGGTGCACGATGTTGGTACAATTGAGTCCATTGATTCAGATGCTACAACATTTTCACTGTAATCATTCTGCGAAATGCTTTTACTCGACTCATTTTGGTCATCGGCTGGTGTTGTTGACTGTATCAATTCCTTTTCATTTGCAACTGAGTTGATAGTGTACACATTCAAAGGGAGTCGTAGTGACGATTTGGTATGACACAGGTCTCCAAGCGAAAATGATTCCGATAGATCCCCCTTATGAGAAAAAATACAAAAAAAAAATGTAAAGTTCGTTGCAATCAAATGGACGTCACTCAATTCATTCTGAAAATCAAGACAAAAGAATATGACTACCGAATTCGCATAACTTATCATGAGCTTTTCAATTTGCATTTTTCTTTAAATGACGTTTGTCATTGTATTCAAATGTATTCAAATATATACAAATGCAAATTTCAGCTCAAAATGGCAATGCAATTCCGTGACGAGGATGATTAAACAAAATAATAACTCTTACCGATTCTCCAACACCACTATCAGGCCGATGCATTGAGCTGGGACTTTTAAGCTCTCTACTTTCGTCATTCGTATCGTTTGTTCCGTTATTTCTATCGACATTTGTTGGCCATGAATCCGCTGGATAATTGACATTCATATTTGCATGCTCCTTATCACTCTGTGAATTAAAATTTTTATCGTTAATAATATTGTAGTACAAAAATCCGATGAGGCGGATGACATTTCTAATAATAGTATGATTTAAAATTTGAAGAGCTCACCTGCATCTGTGACCATGAAAATTCTGAGTCGGTTGGCCATGTATGACATTCGGTGCTGGTAAGATGAAATGGTCTCGATGAACTGGATACAGCGAATCCGTCCAGTGCGTTGAAATCAATTTTACCATCGTTTGTTTGATCATCCGATTTATTTTCATATGTACCGTTCATGCTTGAACTGAACGGACTGGAACTAGACAAATATGTTGCCCATCCGGATGGTTCGCTCATTGTTGGCGAAAATGATGCACTCTCTTTGGGATACTCGTAAACTGACTGATAGTTTTGCTTTTTGAAAACGACACTGCGACGGTTCTTCGTACCGGTTCTCTGTTGTATTGGAAAATATTATTTAGAATAATTCAACTGGATTGTTCAGGAATATATTTCAAAATAAAGATACATCATTTGAAACCTAATAGCATTTAAAATAGTCAACATTTCGGAATTTTTTTTTTCTTTCAAAAATATAATTTGCATTCGAAGCCGATTTTAAACATTTATCTGAAGAACCAACTAACTAAAAAAATGATTGCAACAAAATGTTTATTCATTTGAGCAAAGAAAAATTAGCAATTTTATAAATATTTGAACACACACAATATACAATTGTATTTGAAATATTGTTGCATTTTCGTTTTGAAAACAGCTCACAAATATAACCTTTGTCGAAATTATAGACTTTCGGACATTTTCTACCGTTTCTCGTTATTTAATTTTTTGGAAATTATATGTTGTGTGTGTGTTAATAACATATGTTAGCGTAGCAAAATTAAAAATTAGCCTACAAAATTTGCACATTGAGTTGATGAAACGCTTTAAAATTTACTTACGCATGATATTTCCTCTTCCTGATTTTTTATTTTCAAATGCAAACAAAGTGCATTTATTAGTTAAGTTTTTTCATATTTTAAATTTATATCTAAATTCATTCTGAGGAGTTTTTATTTTGATTTGAAGTTAATTTGAGTGCATGTTTTTGGCTTAAAATACATTTGCTCTTGAAATCTACATTTCAGAATAAACATCCAAATATAGATTTTAAGATATTTATATTGTATCGGCCGGTTCACAGTAAAGTGAATTTAGTTGGTATCCACATAAATAGTCATAAACTTACGCTGCTTGATTTATCTGGACTTTTCAAGGCAGATCGCGCTGGTTTTGCGAGATTATCCCATGACGATGGTACCCATTCAGTTTCATTTTCGGAAATGCTGCTTTCATCTAACAGATCATCAGTATCGACTAGAAAAAAAAATCGATATGTATTATTTTAACCGAGCTAAATATTTTATTTGAGAATTGGTCATACTTTTTGTGGTCACCGCAATTAAATCTTCATGACTATTCCAAATATTTTGTGTATTGATTTGTTCATCTGTGCTCAATTCAGTGCTCAACTCCGATTGTTTGGCCAATTCATTCTGTTCGCTATTGTTCTGATTTGTTGATCTTAAATATTCACTAATTTGTGAAGTTCCCTTCGCATACAAAAACTCTTCACTGCTGTTGCTATCTTCAATGTCGCTATCCCAACAATCATTTGTTCCGAATGTTCCTGTCATTTGATGCATTCGATCATCAAATCCAGGGCCCAAAAATCGTATATCGGTTATCGGATGTGCGGCCTACCATATAAATAAATTTCGTTTTTAAAAAATTCGAAATTTTTGTTAAATTATTATTTGTTAAAAAATTACCCAAGGATCTTCTTCACCAGATAACTGTCCCACCGATTCGTGTAAGATATCTGTATGATTTTGTTCTGCGTCTGGCTGTGGTTGGCAGTTAATTTTATCACTCATTTGTTTCATATCAAAAGTTTGGTTGTGATTGTGGTTAATTTTTTCCTCTGGTTTGATTTCCTCCGAATTGACGGCATCCAAATTTGGATTTTTGTTCTCTTTTATATTTTCCAATGCAAATAAATCGAATTTTTTGTCCTTTGTCACACTTTCATCATTATCACTTGAATTTTGCTCGTCGGCAATTTGGCATGTATCTGGCATTTGTGTTTGGTAAATATCGATTGATTTTTGTGACAAATCGTCTCGTTCGACAAATGAATGGGATTCATTATGAGCTCTGATTGCAATAGCATCATTTTCGGACACATCTAATCGATCACTATTTGCGTCATCATTAAAATGTACGGAAATGCACGTTTTTAAATCGTCTAACGTATTTGTAGCATCAATTGTGGCTGATAAATCCGAAGATAACTGTTCAATTGTGTTGATTTCTTCGGAAAATGTTTTTTGTTGTTCCGGTGATAGTAAATCACCGAGATTATTTGTGAGATTCTCAAAATTGAGTTGCAACGAATTTGGCCGAATTTCGGTTGATATTTGATTTTCGTTGAATGTATTGATTTCATTTGGCTTATACTCGATTGGATAGACATGATGGTATGCTTCATTTGTTGGTGTTTTACAAATATCTGGTTGTGGTGTGGTTGGCGTTGCAGCACTTCCCGAACCGGTCAAATTACGTGGTGATAACATATCCTCGCGATCGCCGAGTGTGTCTTCAAAATTGAATAGTGTATCATTTGACGCCATGAGAATTTTTGTTACGCCCATTATCGCTTCGCTCGTTTCGATGCATCCAGTGCTATATTTATTATTATATTATTATTATCAATTAATAATGAACATTTAAATTAAATCATATACAATATGAGCTAATTGTGATACCTAGTGCTGTCTAAACATTTTGTTTCGTTCAACACAAATGTTTTGCACGTTTCGTCTTCACTTTCCTCAAGAATAGGCGATAATTGTTGTTTGTAATTGATATAAACCTCACTTCTTGGATTTTCCGATCTGCAATTTAAACAAATAGCACACATAATCATATCATTTATTTGATTTTAAAGAGAAATCGTACTACTCACTTGTTATGATATTCAATATTGTCACAATCTGGATCAGAGTCACTGACATTGTCTTCGTCATCAGAATATTCAACACTTGGTCGTACTAAATTTATAAACATATGCAATTGCATTCATTTGTTTTAATTATTAATTCGAATCAGTCATAAATTGAATCGGAATTTAATGTGATAACTACCTGAAGATTGTGGCAATACATCGGCCAATTGTTTGCGAAGCGCATCAAAAGTTAGGCTCAGCAACTCTGGATTCTCTTCGACCGATTCACTATCCTCGTCGGTGCCATCATAGTTTGAATAGTCAGCATCGTTTATATTGAATGTATCATCGGTTTGCGGTTGATGTAAGAACCATGAGTTTTTCGAAATTGTTAATGAGTTTGGTGCTGGCAATTCATCATCCTTATCGTGTGACTTGATCGATTTTTTGTTCATGCTTTTTGATACAAGTTGATCCCACGTTTCGCCAACGTAGTTCAATTCAATCGGTGTGTTCATTGGTGTTATCGTTGTTAAATCATCCGAATTAACTTCTTCTTTATCAATTTTAATAATTGTTGGCACTTCGAGCTGTGGCTTGCATTCACCACTTTCAATATTGAATGTTTCTTGTAAATCTGGTTGATTTGTGGCTATAAATGTTTTATCATCATCCTTAATGTAAGTTGTTGCCAATTGAGTATCATTTGGTTGTACTTCAAATGTTGCATAACCGATTTGTGTCTGAGATGCTTGTAGTGGCTCAATACCATCATTGTCCAGTGCACTTTCATTCACTTCGTCTAATGTTTGAAATAAATTCGTTCGAAATTCATTCTTTTCACGTTGACAATTGATAAATGTTTTATGGCACGGTGTACTAGCTTCCAATTTACCAACAACAAATGTTTCTTCCATCGAATCATTTAAGCCATAGTCCATTTCATTCATTTGTTTGGCATCAATTAACTCATTCTCACTCATATTCTTACACTCACTCAGTATCTCTTCCGTCGGATGGGTCATCAATGACATTTTTTCCATGCATTCATCCAACACACTATCAACTAATTCTTTTGCTACTTCATAAACATCTTCACGACTATGTTGATTGTTTCGATTATCGCAGATGATTTCCGCATTCAAATCAGCATCGATTTTGTTAAAACTATCTTTGGCGTTCACCGTTCTATTCATATCAATTATTTCTGACTCATTTTCGCTTTCATCTGATGATGAAGTGTCGTCTTGGTAGTCAGAAAAAATTGATTCACCACCCGAAATTGCAAAATCAAGTGCACGTAATGCTTCTTCAACGCTAACCGCATCATCTTCGCTTAAATTAATTTCCGTATTTGATCGACTATTTTGATCGGAAGTCACATTTGGGCAAGCCAATTTGGGATTTTGAATCTTAATGTCCGGTGTATTTGCACGATATGGTGTATCATGTGCTGGTGTTTGTGGTTCCGAATCATCTTCGAGGTCAATGTAATTATTTAACGATTCACTTACAGTCAGCGGTTCGTCGAGACAATATTCACTGAATTCATTTAATTGACAATATGAATTGTAATTACTACCGCTGGCAATGTTGCTATCATATTCAGATGCAGTTAGCATTGGCATAGACTGTTCAATTATGACGGATGTTGCATTCACACTATTACCACTGTCACCATTTACATCAACTAAGTTACGATCGATTGCATGCGGCAATGGATCAATCGTATTATTTATTTCGTTTCGATTTGGTATATAGTCAACAGCATTATTATTCTGGATATTTTCCATATCGACCACGGAAATTGGACCATTATTATTTTGATTGTTTTCAAACTCATTGAATGTGCGATTCATCTGGAAATAGATGGATTTTATATTCATTTAACACATTTTTTTTATTGTGGCTCATACGTTAATTATTGCAATTATTAAATATATATTTGCCATTTTTTTGGAATTGAAACCTACCTGATTTTGATTAACAATATTCGATAAAATTCGATTTTCTGAATTGTTGAGGGCACTATTCGGCGTATGACCAGCATTCAATGGTGAAATGGCACGGAATATCGGAAATTCAGAAACTGAATTCGATTGGTCGGCGATAGTATTCTCGTTTTCAAATTCCTATGAGTAATATAATAATTGAGAGTATTAATAGAAATGGCAATTCAAAATCGTACGAATCACGACCTAAATGAATACTCGATAGTCAAAGGTCTACTAAAAATCTACCATTAAAAAAATAACTATATAAAATTAATAGTTTGAAGCGCTCTGAAGCACTTTTAATCACAACAATATTTATTCCGGCGATAGATTACGACATCATTGCGCTCGCTTGAGCTTTCACTAAAGCATTTATGAGTGGAAATAGTGCGGAACAAAAGAAGAAGAAAATATAAAAAAAAAGAGCTAAGCGATTGTCAACCGAAAGATACAAATATTTTCCATTCATCATGCAAATAATATGGAAGCGGTTGTCTACGATTGGAAGCTGTTCGAAATACAAAAATATTTATGCCTACGAAAAATATCTATGTGCTTTCAATAAACCCAAATACAATTCAACTTAAGCGTTTTGCGAGAAAGTTATATTGAAAATTGTTTAAGTGAATTGATTTTAATAATGTGTGTACCTTCCTGTCCTTAATTTGGCTAGGCTAAATGGTTTTTTTTTTTTATCGGCGAACAGGGAAAAATATAAAACAAATTGATTAGAATTGTGGATAGTTCTCAATATATTCGCGGTATTGAAGCATATATGTATTCCCGTGTTTAATTAATATCAAATGTGATGGCCGATATGAAATCTCACCTCAAATCCACTTTTATTTCGATGACAGCATGTACAAGCCAATATTGTGATGCTGAAACATGTAATTGCCAATAATCCAATCATCACTGCGCTTGCATGATCTGAAACAAAATTAATAATAATAATAATATTATGCAAAAACAAAGAACATTTTATGCAATTCAATTTAAATCAAATTAGCTCGTTAGCTGAAACCATAATTGTATGAGACATCGACCATGAAAATTACGGTTTTGGACACTAACAACAACAACAACAAAAATAAACAAAACAAAAATGCACAATATTGTATAATTAATGACTCACCCATTGATGGAACATTAATGGGCATTGCTGAACAAGCCGTTACAATAGCAAATATACTTGCAATTGAATAAACAAGCTGATTTATGGTCTTCATTTTAGATTTGATTCAATTTAACTATTGACGATTAACGTGTATGCAACGTCGAAACGAACGGATATACGGGGTGATGTCGGTGTTGATGATGCAGTTTAAAAGACGGTTTTATGCTCCGGTTTTGTGTGTATCGTATTTATGATTCACACATTTTACATTTCAAATTAACCCCTTAATTGTTTAACGCTTAAAATTTCTTCGTTATTTTTCCTTTTTTAAAATAAAAAAAAAATCAATTTCACAATTTTATTATGGTGCGCAGGCTCACGTGCCTGAAATTCAATTTAATTGTTCATATTGTATGTACGCGATTAGCCAAATGTTTTACGTTGCAAACAAGAATAAATTGTTTCTAATTAGGCCACTGTATATTTCTAGAGGATCATTTAATTTTATTAAACTATTTGACATTTTACACAAACTAAGATATTGCATTCAATTTACGCGGCAAATATTTTCATAAGCATATCAATATATATAGATTATATGTATATATTGATCAAAAAAAAATTCCTTTGAATAAATCGATAATATTGTAATCAAGTAATAGGTCGAGTTCTTAATATCAGTTTTTTGTTGTGTAAATTTTCACTTTTATTTTATTTGCTCAATGCACTGTATTCGGGAATTTGTTTTTTTTTATCTAACACTGTAGATTTGTTACTCTTAAGCAATTTTCTAAGGGAAGTGTAGCAATCATGGATGTTGTTTTTTTAAACTAGATTTTTTTTATACATTTATCATGAAAATAAAATGTCGTGCGCATAAAATTCAGTGCTATATATACACGGTACTAAAATTGCTAAGTATCAGTTATAAATTTGGATGAAAAAAATGGCCCATTCATTGATTTTACAATGTGTATTAAATTCACTGTTTGAACCTATGAATCGATTTGCATTTGAAGTTTCATGCGGATGCTAGCACGGTGTGCTTGAAATCGACTGAAGTCACACAATTGCACTACACTTGAACCTCGTTGTAAATGAAGTTTAACATATGAAGTGTGAATGGCGCCGAACACTGAAATTGAAAATGATTTAAAAAATATATATATTGTCAAATAAGTAGTTTATTTCGTATTGTATGAGTAGACTAGATCAGAAAGGTGATATATGAAATGTCCTTGTTTATTATATGCATCGTCGTTTACTTTCATCTGTAGCTTTTTTGGATTGTATATAGAACTACATTTCGGTGTGTCACATTTGTAAATGTGATAAATTGTATTTTCTTTGTATTTTGGTCTATTTTTTTAGTTCATTTGTTTACTATAATTACATTGCAAACATATTTTAATGTTTAATTAATTCATAAAAGAGAAATGAATTATGATGTGACGATTTATACAGGTTTTTTTTAAATCATTGGTTGACACTGCAACTAGTTTCTTAGTTTCTTACTATATAATAGCGTCTTGTATATGTATTTTTTTTTTTTTTTTGAAGAAATTACTATACTCAATTATCACTTGGAAGATCTGACTCTATTTTCAATACTCTAACAATTGAATCAAAATAAAATCATGAATTTCGTTACGAGATCAGAACGAACATTCAATGTTTGCGTTCTATATAATAGTTTTTGACACAATTGACTCAATCACTCATACATACAAACAAACAAAATGAGACACTTGCACGCAATCAGATTCACTAAAAAAACACACAAACGATATTTTTATTTTAAAAAAATTCTTGTTTTCATTATGTTCTTGAATGCTGACACTATTATTGATAGATTTTTTTTCTTCAAATAAACGTTTTTTCACATTAATAAATTCCCTTCGTTTTCATCGTCCGAAAAAATTGGTTCGCTGCATAAAAATAGTACGATGCAATTTTAAGAAAAAACTACCTATTATTGAGTTTTCAGCGGTTGATTTTTATTTATCGATTTTCAATATGCTAATCGGCCACACATTCTTTGGCCTAGAGATCTACAATTTTGGTTCCAATGTCTCGACCAACACAATTTTAGACTTTTCCATTTTTTTTTTTTGCTTCGTTTCTTGTATGTTGTGTGTGTCGTCTAGTATTAAGCAAGACATCAAAAATAACACTGTTACCGATTCGCTGTATATATTATTGCTAACACTGTATGGTGTAAATGTTTGCGTGCACTTCATACATATTGAAATAAGTCCATTTACACTGCAAATACTGGCACCGAATGTCCGAAAGAGCAAAAAATAAATAGCCGCGCATATCTTGACACATTCCGTTGCTATTAGTAGCTGTCATTTTGCTTTACTTTTCTTCCCTTTGCTTTCTTTTTATGCATTCAATGTGCGTGAACACGACTAACCAGGGTTGCGTTCACTGAATCACATCTATGTCTAAGTACAGTCAATTCAATGAATGAGTTCAATGGTTTTTTGTTTCTTTTCTCACAAGAACGGTAATAAAATGCGTTATTTATCTCATTTTTTTTTAAATTTGTTCATTATCATGAATGCAAAACAATTTATTTTTCTGAATGAAATTTTATTGCGAAAAAATTTAAAAAAACAAATTTTAATCATCTTTTGCATACTGTTGCAATAAATGTGTTATTTCGATATTTTGTTGACGTAAAAAGTTACATTCGGAAATTAACTTTTTCCTATTCTTCAATATCTAAAATTAAAAAAAAAATTGACAAAATAGACAAAAGAAATAATTGGATGTCGAAAAACAAACCTGTAAATATCGAAGTTGTCCGTTAACAAGTGTGTCCCAAATCAATTCCAAATCATTTGGAATTGAAGATACATAGTCATTCCAGAATTGTTTTACCTCATTCAAATCAATCAAATGCAAGGGAATTGGAGCTTCATTCGAATTATTTTTTGGAATTTGTCTTGATGGCAGCGCCTTTGTATCGAGATCAATTAAAATTTGTTGCATAATTATTGGAATCATATGCTCTTCAACGAACAAATTTGTAAATTTATGATGATCCTCAACACATTCACCGGACGGATCTGTTTCATATGAATTTCCATTCGTTTCGGAATATTTTTTCGAACAGTAAATACATGAGGCATACGGAAGAAAGTAGTTTTTTAGCATGTATATATTTTTGGAGTTATTCATACCAAGTGCCTGATTACAATGATAAAATAATGGTTCTGAAAACATGTCAAGCATTCGGATTTAAAATAAAAAAAATACCGTAAAAATATTATCGATCGTGATAATTCGTTTTTGTTCATCATCATCAATTAAATTTAAAATTTCCGTAAACTTTTCTCCAAGCATCCAATTCATTCGGCTTGAGATCTGTTCGCTAATCGTATCAAAAAAATCGGAAACGATATTTTCCTGTCCGCAAATGTCATCGACTTGATTTTTAAGCGATTTGATTGAATTGAAATCTAGATTGTTCAAAAGTTACACTTTTTACTCAACAAAAAAAAAATCGTTAAGAATAAATATCAACTTACCGTCGACACACTGTGTTCGTGTAGCATCTATGGCTGATAAAATGACCTGCAATTGATTTGGCCGCAATGATTTCTCCAAAGAAAATGGTTCCCATTGAAGGCCCAAATGTTTCTCATAAATAATTTTATCAATAATCATCAAATTTTCCAATTTCGAATCGAGGTTGGCTTCATGAAGTTTCCAAATGTGCTGAAACTATGGAAAAGTTATACAAAAAAAAAATCAATTTTCATGAAAAAAATGTCGTTATTCCAATCGAGTACCTTTTTATCATCACTTTCATTGAAAACATTAATTTTATATTCAAATTCTTTAATAGTTGCATACAAATTGAGAGCATTATGTGTTTGCCGTTCAATATCGATTGTGTGTGCCATTTTCGTTTCATTTATCCTTTTGCGTAACATTGCAATGCAAGAGCGCATTTGAATAAGGCGATTTTTCTGTTTATTTCTAACAACAATATTTTCGGACGCTCTTTTTTGCAACACATAATAATTGTACTTTAACTGTTCCGTATTCAATTCAATTTCAGCTTTGGTGCGTTGCACTTTTTGTTGCACCAAATCATTATCTCTGTCCAGTTTGATGCGTGTTTTTCGATTGATTTCTTCATGCTCCAATCGCGTGGAGACAATTTCACCATAATACCTTTCCTTTCGTTCGAGTAAATCATTCAAATTTTGTTCACTGTCGGTGGTTCGGTCATCGTAGAGATTTTGCCATTCATTGCTGTGAAACAATTTAAAGGCACGACGTTCGCTATCAATACTTTGATGTAAAAGTTCAAGATGTTCTAAATAAACCGATTTCATGACATCAATTTGCTCGTCAACACGATCAATTAGTGATTGTATATCGCCTTGTTGTTTCATTTGATCGGTATTGTATGTATTACTCGCTTTGTTTAACGCATTTTGAAGTTCAAATATAATTGCATCTTTTTGTTGCATCAAATTTTCAATACGCTCATTTTGATGACACAAACGTTCATTCAATTCCATTGGATCTGATATTTCAGCTAATTCCGTCCATCGTTTATTGATTACGCCTATTTTGGATGTCGCTTCTTCAGACTCTTGCTGCAAATCGGTCAGTAAACAGTGTCGTTGCCGATCTTCTTGTAGACGACGACTTGCTTCACGTCGCTCATTTGCCAATTTAATATTCGTAATCAACTCTGTGCCATCACATAGAAGATCGTTTAGTTGTTCTTTCGTCGTATTTAATCGTTTATCGATTGTTATCTGATTTCCATAGGCATCCAAGCTCTGATGGGCTTCCCTGTTGAGTAAAAAAAATCGTATATTGAATACCAATCAACAACGAAACGAATAATGATACAGACACATCACGCGCAATTCGCCTTTTTTGATGTACATTTTCTTTGATTTTCTCCAAAATTTTATACGTCTCCCATGATTTTATAAAATTCCCATTTTCTTCAGTGGATCCTTCCATTTTTCTAAACTAATCTCACAAGATTTATATTTGACAACAAATATTTCAATAATTCGCCATAAATTACATCTATCTATCGATTAAATAGAATTGTATTTTACTTGGCAACCGGATTTGTTATTGGCAGCCAAATAGATTTGAGATTCAAAAAAATTGATTAAAAAAATATTTTGGTTTCAAACTATTCAGGCATGAATATTATTTGATGATTTTATAAATTTGATTTAACATCAATTAAATAAAACTAAATGAATTTTTCTTCCCTCGGTCTTAAAAGATATTTGAATTTGAATCATATTTTAAAAAATTTATACAAAAAAAATAGTCTTGGAACAAAAAAAAAACACTTGTAAGCCTTTTGCGAGTTTTTTTTAATTCTCTAAGTTAATTTTTTGGAAAACAAATAAAACCCAAAAGACCAAGATTTGAATTTGAATCATAAACACCACTATTGACATTTTGATAAATGTCAAAACAAAAAAAAACATTCTCAAAAGCTAACTGAACATGAATTGTGACATTTATTTCATTTAAGGTTAGAAATAAAATCATAATAAAAATAAACTTTTCAATATCGAAATGTCTTCACAATATAAGAAATTTTTACGATTATTAGAGAGCTGGCCGGTTGACACTACAAAACCTGGCAGGTATGTTAAGTCGATGATCTTTTAAAACCTTCTTGATTTGAATTAATTTGTTAAATTTTTTAAGAAATCTCGGCGAATACTTGCGAAAGCAGTTGAAAGCATCATTGAGAGCTGGAAATGATTCGTTTGATGTTGCAGTGTCTATGGATAAGCAATTTCAGGCTCTTGAACGCATTTCGAATAACGTACATTTTAATAAATACTCTCGGTTACGGCAGTCAACCGCAACTGGATTGAATAGCGAACAATGTAAAATTATGATATCGGAAACATCATTAAACTACTTTGCTGAACAATCAAAAGGTCCATTTATAAATTTTGTCAAGAATAAATTACAGCGCAAAAAGTAACAGCAACTAGTTAATAGTTTATAAATTATGAATAAAAAAAATTTATTGAACAAAATCGCTGGGTTTTTCATTATTCCTTCATAACATACATTATTAAAAACATTTGAAATATCAATTCCTTTCCACAGGGGCAATATGACAAAACATGTCACTTTATGTTTATAATGATGATGACATAACCTAAATTAAAATTGAACAGTAGTTTGATTCATACAGAACATACAGAAGGAAAATGAAACTTCTGAGGAGTACGTTTTGTTTATTAAATTGCAACAGAAATGAAATGTTTCAACGCATAAATCGTTTCTTTAGTGATTCAAAAATTAATGATAAAAAACCTGAAGTAGACCTGAAAGAGCAAAATACCAAACAAATACAAGAAGAAACAACATCCGAGCGGCAGATTGTCAGTCCGGAAAAAACAATGGAAAGTGGCATTGTAATATCGGCATATAGCACAGTATGTATCATAACAACAATTGTTGTAGTTAATCAAATAAAAACAAAACTTGTAATTTATATTTTGTCATTTTCAGGTTGGATTTCGATTAAATCGTGTAATTAAAGTAATCGGACCAATAATTGTGTTTCCGAAAACCGTATTCTCATGGCATATTGAAAGTTTTGACCGACTAGATTCCGATTCACTGATGATGTTTGGACTCATACAACCACGAATCGAAACATTAATTATTGGCGCTGGAAATTATGAAACATCTACATCAGAAATGGGTAAAAATATATTGGAAATATCGCAAAAACATAAAATTAATGTAGAAGTTCTTACAACTGAATTGGTAAGTAAAATTGTTTCTACTATGTGCAGTATATGTAATTGTGAATAATTTTTTTTTTTTTTTTTTTTTTGAGCAGGCATGTACACAATTCAATTATTTGAATGCCGAAGGCCGAATGATAGCAGCAGCTTTAATTCCACCAAAAGACACACTTTTTGGAGATGACGATAATTTCCAATCATTAGATTTTGATAATAAACTGTATTCAATCGATAAAACGCACAGTTCAGCAAATGATCTAGCTCAAATTTTTACTGGAAGCAAAATAAATTGAATAATTTTTGTGTGTGTGTTGAAATCTTTAATAAAATGATAAATGTTGATGACATGGGTCGTTTTTCTCTCGTCAAATTCAAATTATTCCACATAGATTTCTTCTTCTTTAACATCACTAGTTTGGATGTTACTTGTATTATCTGTTTCAATGCATTGATTGGGCTCAGCAGGAGTTGGACAGTATTTATTACTTGCGTAATGTTCTTTTATGTATTCGCCACCAAATTCCATGTAATCACTCTTTGTTGTAAGAAATTCCTTGAAATTATTTGAATTCGCAAATTGTTGTGCGCCGCACCAGGCATCCAAATTTACATTTTTTGCTACAACTACATTATATGCGGTCTGGAATGGGCGAATTTGCATCATTTCACGATTGAGACGCTCCTTCAAGCCTGCCGAACGAATAAAAAAAAATATTCAATCAAACAGGTATTCAATTGTGTAATAATTTAATGTAAACCTTTAAAATTCGCACATCCGCCGGTTAAAAATATATTCTGCGCAAGAAGCAATTGATCTTCGGGTGAGAATTGTTTCAATACATAGTCTATGGTCTCTGTGATGCCTGCTTCAGAGATTCCAATCATCGATGGTTGAAACAGAAGCTCCGGCGCTCTTATCGATTCGAGGCCCAGATGAAGCTGTAACGACAATTCAAAATTAAGCAAAACGATAAATGATTGAAACAAAACAAAAAATATTTATAAAAATTGTAACGACTTCGCATGAAGTTGTCTATGAATTAAATCAATGTGACATTTCAAGATTTTTACATAACCTCACAAACAAACAAAACTATCGACAGTGTTTTCATAATATTATTCAGTTTACAATTAAAAAAATCATCATCATGTTTAAGTTAGGCAAAGAGATATTCTTACAAAATGGTTTATTGTCGCGACAATTTAAATCGAATAAAATGCACGTTTCATTTGTAAAACGAGCATATAGCGCTAGTTATGAAGGTGACGGTAAAACAAAGGTCAAAGTTTTGAATATTGATCCAGAAATGGGATTAATGGTCAATTCTTTTAGTGAAGTAAGTGTTTAAAACCGTTTGGCATTTGCATGATACTGATGATGACTATCATTTTCAGCTTGGTTTTACGCTTAATAACAAATTCAAAATTGTTGGACCGATGGTGATATTTCCGCGCACAGTTCTCTCATGGAATGTTAATTCAGTGGATGATGTAAGCGAGAACTCAATGCGATTGCTATTGGCACTCGAACCAAAATTAGAACTTTTAATCATTGGTACTGGTGATGTTGAAGTCACCCCCGAATTGACCCGAAAAATTGCGTCGATAGTAAAACCGTTTGGAATTCGAATTGAACTACTGAAAACTGAACAGGTTTGTGCATGAATGTTTACATTTTGATTTTTCTCATATGATTCAACAATCATTTATTCGATATTTATAGGCCTGCACAACCTTCAATTTCATGAATGCAGAAAGTCGTTTTGTGGCTGCCGCAATGATTCCTCCAAAGAAAATTAAATTCAATGACATGGGACTATTGCAAACGGCCGAACGACAAAAACAACTTTATGGTCCAGACGAAGATATCACATTGAAACTTAAATCTTAAATACTCTTGTATATAAAATAATAGTAATAAAAGAAAAGTGTTTGATTTACTTGATAGTATTCGGCTGCACATTCCTGTGTAATTTGTGGTTCTTCGAAAGATGGATCATGATTTCGTAATATGGAATCAAATTCAATGAGTTTCTCATTCTCAACATCACTATCGCTGTCATCATCTTTGCTGATTGTCTTATAAACATCCCAATCTTCGTCCCGCATTCCAAAATCGTCATCATCCTTTTCCTTACGTGCCAATTGTGAAATAATTCGCATTCGTTCTTGTGCTGCAACGGTTCGACGCTTGGCCAAATCTTGTTTTCGTTGTTTTCTTGAATTTCGACGTTCCACAATTGCGGCTCGTTTTCGTCGAATATCAACCACCTAGGGATAATCAGAAGAAAAAAATGGAATCAATGGAAATTAATCAACATGTAATGGAACAGAATGGAATTAAGTCGCTCACCCACGCTTCAATACTCATATTGTTTGGCGGTTGTGGAATCTTCTCTTCATATGAGTTATTTGCCATGGTTTCGGTTTGATTCATTTTCTGCATTGCGCGATCAACACGATTTCTCACCGCTTGAATGATTTTCTTAAGAAAAATAAATATATGAATGAGTTAATATATTAAGAAACATACAAACAAATACGTAGGTTGCTCCATATTTTTTTTAAAAATGGTACTTATAGTGTTGCCCGATGTAAACCATTGTCATATTCGTAAAGTTTGATGTTTTGGTATGTATTCGTGCCCTGAACCTTTTGTCGTACGAACGCTATTTGTATTGTTTACAGTGACTGGTAAACTGCGACTCAACAAAAAAATGAATTTTACACGTGAAGATTTTCGTAAAATGATTTACTGCGATTTTCGAAGTAAATTATCTCAACAACAGTGTTTCGATCGACTTCATTTGGCCTTTGGCAATGAAGCACCAACCCTTCAGACAATTTATAACTGGTACCGAGAATTCCGTTGCGGTCGTAGTTCGCTCAAAGACGAGTTTCATACAGGTCGTCCAAAATCGGCTGTTGTGCCACAAAACATCGATGCTGTCAGAAAACTGATTATGGAAGATCGTCATGTGACCTACCGTGAGATTGAGGCATCTTTGGGCATTTCATCCCACAGCATACATACAATTTTGCATGAACATTTAGCCGTAAAAAAGATTTGCTCTCGTTGGATCCCACATAAATTGACCGATGAACAAAAAATGGCTCGTGTGAGTTGGTGTAAAGAAATGCTCAAGAAATTCAATCGTGGTGATTCAAAATCCGAGTATTTTATCGTCACTGGTGGCGAATCATGGATCTACGCGTATGAGCCCGAAACTAAACAGCAGTCGACTGTATGGGTCTTTCAAAGTGAAGATAACCCAACAAAAGTTGTTCGAGCTCGAAGTGTTGCGAAGCAAATGGTCGCCTGTTTTTTCGCGATAAGTGGTCATGTGGCAACCGTTCCACTAGAGGATCGTAAGACCGTCAATTCTGATTGGTATACCACCATTTGTTTGCCCGAAGTGTTTGGTGAAATAAGAAAAAACAACCACCGTCGCAAAATAATTCTTCATCACGATAATGCGAGCTCTCACACATCTTTTCAAACTACTCGATTTTTGACCGGTCAAAACATCGAACTGATGGGTCATCCACCGTACAGTCCTGACCTGGCACCCAATGACTTTTTTTTGTTCCCAAGCGTGAAGAAAAAACTACGTAGTCAACGATTTTCGACACCAGAAGAAGCAGTTGAAGCGTTCAAAACACACGTTTTGGAGATATCAGTTTCGGAGTGGCACGAATGCTATGACAAATGGTTTCATCGAATGCAAAAGTGTATCGATCATCTCGGGGAATATTTTGAAAAACAATAAAACCATTTTCGACAAAAAACAACTGTGTTATATATGTTTTTAAAAAAAATTATGGAGCAACCCTCGTAACGTTTAGATCTCAACCTCTAATTCTTCGCGATTGCTTAACAGATTTTGTCGCAGTCCCTTCTGATATTCCTTCATTTCTCCACGTTCGTAGCACCTTTTGATGTTTATCAATTTTTCAAGTTGCTGTCGATCTTCATTCAAACGCTCTTCTCGCTTTCGCGCATTCATCTCCACAAGCCTTTTGGCCATTTCTCGCTTCTTCTCGTTCTTTTGTTCAGCTGATTAGTATAAAGAAAAAAAAAATCTTTCAAAATTCATATGTATAAAAATGAACCGCGAAAATGTCAACCTGTGAGAGTGACGTTTGTTGAATTAACCGGCGCATTGTAGGGTAATTGAATTTTTTTCACATTCTTCTCATAGAATTCCAACGATGACCACTTCTTAAGCTCTTCCAAATAATCGTATGCAACGCTACAATGTGTATGAAGAAGCCATTCAATTCGACTCAATGAAATAGCATTCACATGAACTGGATATTTTAATTGTAAAAGCCGATGCAAAAATGTTATAATTTGAAATCCACCCAGATTTATTCGACGTATTTTTGTATACTGAGCAACACCGTTCAACACCGGAATTATATGAATCGTATAATATCCAATCGAAACGATTAAACCATTTTCACCCAAATTGTTATGCTTAAAACTAAACAAAGAATCGATGCCATAGCAAATGGCCGGCACATCGTAGCATTCAAACAGCAACTCAGACATAACTATTTAAAAAAAAAAGAAGCGAAATTGTGAATAATACGAGAAAAAATAGTTACAAAAGGAATGAGATTAGTAGTATTCTTACGTTGTCTACAATAATTAGGATTGGCAACACATTCTGTCAACACAATTGGATGATTTACACAATTTTCGGTATCAATGGCCAAATGTTTGAATATATCGTCGAATATTTGCTCCTGGTTGTAGTAGTGAGTCACGACATTTCGATCAAACTAAAATGATCCAATTAAAGTGTTTCATATTGATTCAAATAATTATAACTATTTATTTTAAACTAACTTGTGTACGAAGTTGGTATCGCATGGCTTCAATGTTAACAATGTCATTGCCAACTTGTGTTGGCTGAACGAGCGGAAGTTCACCGTCTTTTTTCACTTTTTCCCTTCGAGGTTTTGCGATTAAATTTCGAAAAATCATCATTGGATTTTCGCTGGTGGCCCAACCAACACGACATTCGTACGAACCTAAAAACAAATAAATGGATTCATTTTTAACCGGCAACTTGGACTTATTATTTTACATTTACCATTATCAATTATTAATGGAGTTTGATTTGCTTTTGTGTGTTCTTTATATTCGTGAATGATGTCTGGGACGATTTTCAATCCTTGCAATTCAAAAATACTCATTTTTAGAAAAAAATATATTTTAGAATGCTTTAACAATGTATGAAGCTAAAATTATGTTTATATCTGGAAAAGGAAAACGCACGCATGTCATTTATCAAAGACGTACACACACTTGCGTTCATTTGACGCAGCGTTAACATTGACTACAAAAACAGTTTTTTTTACTCCATAAATCGAAACAGTTTTATTATTGATTTTCTTTTTTGTAAAAATAGTGATGAAATTTGAGTTATTTAAAAAAATATCATTAAAATTATCCATTTTAAATGAAGTGAAAAAAGAAAATATGAAATACGCGAGAATCCATTGCCATGAAGTTGGCATCATATCAAGAACTGTCAAAAAAGCTTTGAATGTATTGCCTGAAGTATATATGTCTGAAAAATATACGCGATCTCAAACCTGACATGTCTGAAATATATGAGAATACACGCGAAATAGATTTCTGAAATACATTTGGGAAATGAAAAATATGGTCGACATAACAACTCACATATTTTTCATTAGTTTTGAATTGTTCATTTTGATATCGAAAAAAGTGAAGTCGAATGATATATTGAATTTCATTGTATAAATTAATTTACAACAAAAGTGACGCCATCAAAAATCATTTGTATTTACAACGAAATTTAATCGCATATTGAAAGTAAACGGCAGCCCATTTATTGATGAAATACGTCAAAAATTAGCTCTATTTTTTCTCGTATAGAATAAATTGTTATCAAATTTTATACATAAAGTGTGTTCACAAGATTGTATTCAATTCAAACCATAGCATTGTGCATCATTTCAATCGAAAATGTCTGATTCTGAAGTGAGTAATATGTCGGACAGTGGCTCAGATGCACGAAGTGATGTTTCAAATCGAAGCGGTACACCACGAAGCCGAAGTCGATCATGTACGTAAAAATAATAATTCAACCATAAAAATTTGAATATCATCAAGCATTAGAGACTTGTCAACGAATACCAACGAACGAACGGCTCATTTTTTTTTTTGTTTTTCGTTGAACTGTAGCTATACAGTTGGTCGTTTGTTCATACCGTTCGTTCGTTTCGTTTCGAAAAATATGAAAATGATAAATTTTATTTGTGAAATTTAAAGTAGATTATTTGCTTTGAATTTTAGTTGAAAGTCAAAAATTTAAATATAAGTCATAAATAAATTTGCATTGTAAAAGTATGTAATAATATAAATTTCTTTATCTTCTTCAGATTCTCGGTCTAAATCACGCTCCAGATCACGTTCAGGTTAGTTTTAAATAAAAAGAAATGAATATTCGTTGTCCCAAGCATTTGATGACGTTGAATATTTTGTATAAAATCCGTTCAACTGTATACATTGGTATAATCCGGTATAATCGATAGGTTCACGATCTTCAAATGAAGAAATTGAGGATGAAGAAGAGCCAGAAGGCGAAGACTTGGATGATTCAGAAGAAGAAGATGACAGACCCAAGAAAAAGAAGAAGAAGGAACGTTATGGGTAATTTAATGATGCAATGACCATAAGTAGAAACCAATTCGATTGAAATATATTTTAATTGATTTTCGATGCAGTGGATTCATTATCGATGAAGCAGAAGTTGATGATGAAGTGGACGAAGACGAAGAATGGGAAGATGGAGCCGAAATTGGAATTGTAAATGAGGTTGATGAGCTTGGGCCAACTGCTCGTGAAATTGAAATTCGACGTCGTGGAAATTTATGGGAGTAAGTTGTATATATTTCCATCAAGAAATTGCGCAAATATTATGATATCTAACTGATTTCGTTTTTTAGTACACAAAAAGAAGATGAAATTGAAGAATATTTGCGGAAACGTTATGCTGACGAGTCGATTGCACGACGACATTTTGGTGATGGTGGTGAAGAAATGTCCAACGAAATCACACAACAAACATTATTACCAGCTATTAAGTATGCAAATTGATGACAAATTATTATTTGAACAAAGAAATTTAACTGAATGTTGTACATTACAGAGATCCAAATTTATGGATGGTAAAATGTCGAATTGGCGAAGAAAAAGCAACAGTCTTGCTATTGATGCGTAAATTTTTAACTTTCCGCAATACCGACGAACCATTGCAAATAAAATCGGTTGTGGCACCAGAAGGTGTAAAAGGTTATATTTATGTGGAAGCATACAAGCAAACACACGTCAAAGCGGCCATAAATAATGTTGGAAATTTGCGTCTTGGACAATGGAAACAAGAAATGGTACCGATTAAAGAAATGACCGATGTTTTAAAAGTGGTCAAAGAACAAACTGGACTTAAGCCCAAGCAATGGGTACGTTTACGTCGTGGCCAATACAAAGATGACATTGCACAAGTTGATTATGTTGATATGGCACAGAATCAAGTGCATTTGAAATTATTGCCACGCATTGACTACACACGTTTGCGTGGTGCATTGCGAACAAATCAGCCCGAAGCTGATAATAACAAACGTAAATTGAAACGACGACCACCGGCAAAACCGTTCGATCCAGAAGCAATACGGTAATACATAAATTGATAATGACTTGATGAAATTGTTTCTATAAATCTGAATCCATTCTTAGGGCTATTGGCGGTGAGATTACTTCCGATGGTGATTTTTTGATTTTCGAAGGAAATCGTTATTCGCGCAAAGGTTTTCTCTATAAAAACTTTTTGATGTCAGCCATTTTATCTGAAGGTGTTAAACCGACACTTGCCGAATTGGAACGATTTGAGGAGCAACCAGAAGGTGAGCATATTTTCCAACATATTATAAATTTTGAATTAATTTTTTTATTTTTCATTCGACAGAAATCAATATTGAACTGGCTGTTTCAAGTAAAGATGATCCCACATCAACTCACTCATTTTCAATGGGAGACAATGTGGAAGTTTGTGTCGGTGATTTGGAAAATTTACAAGCAAAAATTATTGCAATCGACGGCCATATGATTACGGTTATGCCAAAACACGAAGAGCTAAAAGATGCATTGATTTTTAAGGCGAATGAATTGCGAAAATATTTTAAAACCGGTGACCATGCAAAGGTATTGGCTGGTCGTTACGAGGGTGAAACTGGTTTAATCGTTCGAGTTGAACCATCGCGTGTTGTTCTCGTGTCCGATTTGACGATGCACGAATTAGAAGTGCTACCGCGAGACTTACAACTGTGCACAGATATGGCAACCGGTGTCGATTCATTGGGTCAATTTCAATGGGGAGATTTGGTGCAACTTGAGTAAGTCATTCGTATTCATTTGTAAATACATTCAATTATTCTAAAATAACTAATTAAATTTTATTGCTTCAAAAAAACACAGTGCACAAACTGTTGGTGTCATTGTTCGATTGGAACGCGAAAATTTTCATGTGTTACAAATGCATGGCAAAGTAATCGAATGCAAGCCAACTGCATTGCAAAAACGACGAGAAAATCAGAATACGGTTGCATTGGATTCCGAACAGAATCAAATACGCCGAAAAGATATTGTTAAAGTTTTGGAAGGGCCACATGCCGGTCGGGATGGTGAAATAAAGCATCTGTATCGTAGTTTGGCCTTCTTACACTCACGAATGTACACAGAAAATGGTGGAATATTTGTATGCAAAACTAGACACTTGAAATTGGCCGGAGGCAACAAGAACAACACCAATTTGACTAATCCAATGGGAATGATGGGATTCTCGGTATGAAAAGAATAATCAAAACATAATTCGATTGATTGACTTGTTAATATTAATTGCATGGTTTTTTCTTTGCTTTAGCTTATGTCGCCAAGAATTCAGTCACCAATGCACCCGGCTGGTGGAAGAGGTGGCAGAGGAGGTGGAATGCGTGGCAGAGGCGCTGGCCGCGGTGGAATCTCACGTGATCGTGAAATTATTGGTAAAAGCATTAAAATCACAGGCGGCTCGTACAAGGGCGCTGTTGGAATTGTCAAAGATGCTACAGCTGCTACGGCACGTGTTGAATTGCATTCATCATGTCAAACGATATCAGTTGATCGTAATCACATTGCCGTTGTGGGTGCACCAGCCAAAGATGGAAGCATCACTGTTTACGGTCGTACACCATCTCGTACACCATATGGATCACAAACACCGATATACATGGGTTCGAAAACACCATTGCATGGAAGTGCTACGCCACAATATGATGGCAGTCGAACTCCATTGCATGGTAGCATGACTCCATCTCATGATGGCTCAATGACACCACGAACTGGTGCATGGGATCCAACAATTACAAATACACCAGCCAGAAGCACAGACTACGATTATTTGGAGGATCCATCACCAAGTCCTGGCTACAATCCAAACACTCCTGGATATTCAATGAATACACCATTTGCTCCACACACACCTGGAAATATGTATGGCTCAGATCAAGGATACAGTCCATATCAACAAAGTCCAAGTCCAAGCGCATCATCTTATCAAATTGGTCATTTGGAGACACCATCTCCAACTGCTTATTCACCAAATACACCAAGCGTTCCGCCATATTCACCTTATAACAATCCACAAACACCGGGCGCCGGATTGGACCAACAGATGGGCGATTGGTGTTCAACCGATCTTCAAGTCAAGATTCGAAGTCACACCGATCCCGCATTGATTGGACAAACGGCTACAATAAAGACCGTCAACAATGGTATTTGTTCAGTATACTTACCAGCCGAAGAACGAACAGTTGCAGTTGAAAGTGACCAACTAGAACCGATACCGCCAGCTTCGGGTGATCAATTCAAAGTTATTATGGGCGAAGACCGTGAATCCATTGGTATGGTTCATTCCATCGACAACAACAAAGTTATATGTACGATTAATGATGAAATGGCATACAAAACGCTATCGGAACTTTGTTTGATTTAAACTTTCTTTTTCACATTTCGATATATTTTTTTTCTTTTAATTTAATAAAGTTGGCTATATTGCCTTTGAATAAACTATAAACCGAAAGAGGTACACATAAGAAATATCACAGAAACTTTATGGATTTAATGCCATGAATAAAATGCAATTTAAAGGCACTTAAAGTTTTGTTCTACTTTTTTTACTTGGGTTAATGGCGGTGGCTAAGGTAAATGACGAAAAGTTAATTACGAAGGAGTCTGATCAGAAGCTAGGGGACAGACACCAATGCTAGTAAATGCTATTTTACTATATTTTTGTGAAAGAAAAAAATGACCTTCTAGTCATTTTATAAACGGTATCAAAGACATATTCGTGAAGTAGAATCACTTTGTGTCAGCACACGTGTATGAAGATTTTTCAATGTATGTGTGATGCGGTCGGCTTGTTGTGCTTGCAGTTACTACAGTTAAGAGTCGTGTGTGTCAGTTGATAGTGTCGCTATGGCTTGCTATGTTAACAGTTTAAACAAGGCACATTATCTTCTAAAACAATATTTCTTTTAATCGAAAATATTTACACAGTTTTTTCCACATTACGTCATGGGTTCTCGAAATAAGCGCTCACGGGCATGTGTACGCGCTGCGTTCAAAATATTCAAGTAAAATTCATTCGACTATCTAAATTTTCTCAAGCAATGGGAGGAAATGACAGCAAATTTTAAAATTGGCGCGCTGTTTAGTTTCGATTTGAGTTGTAAAATTACATTGACGTCCCCTTTGAAATTCGGTGCGCCACCGTCGGCTCAAAGAGACTTGAAGTCTTCACATCCTCTCATTGTTCTCAAGTAGTAATAAAGTGTATTTATTCTCAAAACTATTAAAGAGCAAACACTTGTTTATTTTCTCTGATGTTTTATTTTTTCCAGCCCAAGAAAAAGTGAATACCCAAAACACTATTAACACGAGTTCATAATTTAAAATTAACAAATTTGCCATGATCATTTGCTAGTTTTTAAGTGAGCCGGAACATTTTCTTCCGATATTTGAAATTGAATGACAATTGCAACTGAAAATTAGGAATGAATAATCAAATAGCCGTGTTTTATCAAATACCATACCATCATTAAGTCTCACCGTAAGTTGTTATTAAAACAATAGTCTTAAAAGGGAATTATTATAATTCGGTCAGTTTCAATATAAACACAAAAAAATGAACATTTCCTCCGATTTTCTCATATTTACCGATTTCATAAGAGCATGGTTGAATGTAAACATCTGCTTCATTTTAATTTCGATGGGTTGTTTTCGAATTTGAAGTGAAAAAATCCGAATGAATCTTTGATAATCACGATCGAAATAATTTGAAGGTGTGTGCAAGGCATTTGAAACAGACGCACCCTGATTGAAAAAAAAAACCAAATGTTGCTTCAATTTTTCCACACAATGATAGTTGAACGCTTACCGTATTTTGACATCGTTCCGAGATCATGCAAAAATACCAAAAATTTACGGTGATTGATATGATGAAGCAAACAATTTCTATAAATAATAAATAAATGATTTGGATGATGGAATTTCTCAAGTTAAATAACTAAAAGACGAACGGAAATATCTTACGAATAATCATGTTTCTTGATTCGTATATTTTGATGTTGATGTAAGCCCAATACGAAGAGTTGATCAAATCCAATGAAAATTCCACAAGAAATGTCAGCAATGTCCATCCAAAACAACTGCTCAAAAGATTCTTGATGATCCATATATTTGAATAAATATCCCTTAAATATCGAATTTGTTCACTCGAATGTGACGATGAGCCGATGACATTTCGACGATAATTTTGTTGTTGTCGTTTTAGTAAAAAATTTAAATCGAATAAAATGTTGTTCAATCCATTTATGTGGAAGGCCAATTGGCATCTTCTCACCCGAATAATAATAACTGCCAAAGCTCGATTCAATAAAAAAATAAACTTATCGAAATCATTTCCGGGCAGCGAGTAAAATGAATATGAAAAAGACACACCGGAGCTGATTATGAAAAACGTCATCGTATGCCAAATATACTTTTTTCGTATAATTTCAAAATTTGTGACATAATTTAATTTTGTGGCAAAGCATTGGTTTATTTCATTCAGCTTTCGATAAATTTCCTCTTCGTGTTTTCGTGTAAACAGTGGCTCCAAGTGAGCACATGCTTGAGTTAAAATATTGCCAAGTAAACTCACAAAATTCACATAAAACATTAAACGGCTGTATTTGTGCTGTCCGTCTGGTCTCATTTGAATGTGCAATCCACTAAAAAGAGTGTAAATCAAAAGTGCAATACGCAGTGTACTAAAGGTAAGGAAATAAATCAAACGACCAACACGTTGAGTTGAATAGAAGACGGAATAGTTTGACACACATAACAGTTGGAAAAAGCGTACAAATGGTATCCAAAATAGTTTAAATGCTTGTGGATTATATGAAGTTGACGATGGATACATTTTAACGGTTCAAAAATAGTTTGGAAACTGTTTAGAAATTTCAATCCAATTTCTAGAGCTTGCCGAAGATTTTACATTTCGAATCAATTAAGGTCGAAAATTAGTGTTTGTCATTTTCTAATTTCGATTCATCGAACTATTTGATCGAAATGAAATGATAATAACTATTTAATTTGGCCGGCTGTGGTCAAAACGTATGTAAAAAAAATTGCTTCGAAAATAATCATTTTAAATTTGTTCAATCGAATGGACATAATAATCAAACATTTTATGCAGTTAAAACAACAACAAAAACCACCGCAATATAATAGTCATGTGATATGATCTTAATTACGAGCGCCTAAATTCAACGATGAATTTTCATCGGCAATTTGAAATTGAATAACAATGGCCACATACGTTGTTATCAAGACAATGGTCTGAAATGAAATTGCGTTTAATATCTTTGTGCACATTTTGAAAACTAATTTCAACTGACCGACTTAAGCAGGGCATTATTAAAGGTAAACATTTGTTTCATCGTAATTTTAATGGGCTGCTCCTTTATTTGAAGTGAAAATATGCGAATAAATCTTTGATAATTTGAATCATGGTAATTCGATTGTGTATGTAATGCTTTTGATACTGCTTTTCCCTATAAAAAAAACCCATTTATCTCCTATTATGTCATGATATTCCGACACAAATAATTCTAATAGTTACCATATTCTGACATCGTTCTGATAGCTTGCAAAAATACCAAAATATAATTGCGACCGAGCAGTTATACAGTAAAATATCTAAACGAAAAAAAAAATGAACGAAATTTTTCTAGTAAATTCATGCAAATTTTTCGAAATTCCACCATATGATTACGTATGTTCAAATCAAACGATCCATAAACGGTTAAATTGATATAAAACCAATAAGATGCGTTGATCACCTCAAATGTAAATTCAACGAGAAAAAAGATGAACGACCAGCCAAAACATTCGCTGAACAATGTTATTATGAACCAAATGCTCGAGTAAATTTCCCGAAAATATCGAATATTTTCGCGTGCAAAATTATGATGTGATTGTCCACTTGAGCCATGACAACTATAAATTTGTTGTTGTTTCAATAATTGTTGTAAATCATCTAAAATGTTGCCAATATTATGCAAAAATATTGCGATGTAACACCAACGAAAACGATTTATAATTATGGGAAATATGAGAATTGGTTGCATAAAATATTTATCATGATACAAATCAGGCAAATTAACGAATGAACTTGCAACAGCTGATATGGTGGTTAAAACAAAAGTGATGACCGTATGTCGAATGTATTGTGCACGCCTTGTTTTATAGTCGATCACATGATTGAGCCGCGTTACAAAAATGTTATCAATCATTTCTAATCGGTGGTACATCTTTTCTTCATTTCTTTCATTCAACAATGGTTCCAAATGCGACGAAATATGCGTTGCAAAACCTCCGAGAATACTCAAAGAATTCATGTAATACATCAGAGCACTCTCTTTGTGTTTGGCCGAGCGCCAAGCTTGCACTTCTGGTGCAGTTTTTTCACAATGCAATGCACGTATTATTATCAATAGTATTAGCCACATGTGAACACAAAACACCGTGAGAAAATACAATATAAATAACGACCATTTTAAATTGTTTTGACGGTAATTTGCACGAAAAATCGAATAATGTGAAACACATGTTGCTTGAAATACGCGTGTAAATGGTTTCCAAAAGATTTCAAAATCTTTCGAGTTTGTAGTACTCAATGACTGACTCATGCTGCTATTTGATTACACGACCAACAGTAAACTAAATGACAGTTCAGTGCATGTTCGATGTCATCAGATCGGAAAAATCGATTTAATTATTCAATTGAAAAATGCAATTAGTTATAGTTTTTTTTTAAATTATGAAGGAAATAGCTACATACATCAATTCCATATGCGGTCTACAGAACACAATATCTATCAATGAATGTTACAAACAAATGGTTAGCATGTTACAAATAGTGCGAAAGCATAAATGGTCTATGTTTTTATATTTTAGGTTTAAAAGCTTATTCAGCGACATGTAAATTGTACAAATACAATTAAAATTTATTTCAGGGACGTCGCGAAACCCAAATCATAAAATTTGCAGTGGACATCACATGTTAGGTATTTTTCTTATATACAATAGACTGAGATATTAATTACTTTTGATTTTGTCATTTGTGTTTGTTAAAATTATTTCGAGCTTCAATTTGTATTGAACGGTTGTTTATCATTAAGATTTTTTAGAGAAATAATTCTTTGAAAATCATTTTAGACATATTTTTGACACCGAAAAATATGATTTTGGTTCTTGTCTATCGTATTTTTTGTGAGAAAACATGAAGAATTGAATACTTATTCCAATTTTTTTAAAGAAATTTTTTGCTAAACTTAACCAAATTTGCATTTAAAAAAAGAGTATGCATAACCTGAGTCGTCAATACAACTACCTTAACCTTTTTTTATGAGGCTGTCATTTACCACTCTTATTTTTATGTTTATCAGACTGTATAGTTCGAAGGAAAGTCATCCATTTGCATACATATATGATAGACCCTTTTTCATCTTCTTTTTTGCCTCATGAACAACAAACGAATGAATTTTCTGTGTAGAAAACACCATTTGGACGTATATACCGCTTGTTCTTTGTTCTTAATATCTCAGACAAATTGACATATATTTATTACAAAAATATTCATGGAAAAAATACTTTGTGTTCTTTGTACCTGCATTCAAAAACGAACCTGGAACACATTTACATTTTAAGGCGTCAATATGTCGCACTCTCTATGTTTGATATATTATTTGTATTGAACAGTTCTTCATTTTCAGCTACCCATTATTAGTTCAACATAAGTGATCGTACACTTTGCATCTACTGTCAAAAACGTTAGAAATTTCAACATATTATTTTATTATTTAACTATTAGTTATTTGAATTGTGGGCCTTTGTAAATAAAATCAAATACATTTATTCGGTGATAACTATTTCTTACGTGAATTGCATCGTGGTAATAATATAATTAATGTTGTATTTGTAAATTGACGGGAGTATTGACAATTACGCTTCAGCATGGATATTCCGCCTGCACAGGATTCATCTCAACATATATTCAATGTTCTTAATAATGATTGTATCGATGAAATTTTTTTGCGATTGAAAAAGTTGAAAGATTTTCTGACTGTCGCTCAGGTGTGCAAACAATTCCAAGAAAATGCAAAAAAATGTTTTTCAATTCAATTCAAAAGTCTCGAATTCAATCATTTCATCCATGTTGGAAATCGAAGTGACCGTGAGACTTTACCATTCAAACAAGTAAAAAAAATTCTTTGCATATTCGGTTCATCAATTCAATCGATTACATTTTCAGCAACAGCAGATCAGGAACGTAATGACAATACATTCAAAATGATTATGAATTTTTGTGGTGAAACTTTAAAAGAATTTAGCATCATCAATTACAATCCAAACTTCGAGACCGTCCATTTTTCAGCTCTTGAAAAATTGGAATTATGCTATGCTTTACCGAAAAATTTCACATCACCGGCCACATTGAAAGTGTTATGGATCTGCCAATCGGAATCATTACAATGTGATGAATTGCAACCGTGGTTTATTCGAACTTTACCAAATTTGGAAGAGATTTATTTTGATAGTGTTAATGATCTAACAGATGATATGCTCAATGATTTTTTAAAATTAAATCCAAAATTGAAATGCCTGAAAGTGATTGATTGTCAGCGTTTATCGACGGCGATATTTCAATTTATCGGCACACAAACCAAAAGTCTCATAAAATTAGTTATAAAACTTGCACGCATCTCGGCGACCACGGCGAACGAAAGCGTATTGCATTTGAGACAACTACACAAATTAGAACGGTTGACGTTATGGTGTTCGGTTTCGTTGCAAACAACAATTAAAATGATTGCCGATAATAATATGCCAATCGAAAAATTGTCAATTAAGCTAACGCAATCGCGTAATACCAACGAAAATCTATGGACATCAAATACGCTCAAACATTTGAGAATAACAACTTGGACTGGTGCCATTTTTGACGATGCCCTATTCAATATTTTGAAGAAACAACACGCCCTTCAAACGATTTATATCTACTGCTGGAGAACGGATCGACAAAGTCGAAAAAACTATTTGTCGGCCATTGAAAATATTCTAAAAAATGGAAAGAATTTAACACATATTTTGTCCAAAATTGATCGATTAACAGTCAATTTGAGAAGATACGAATCGATTTTACGACTCACTAAAGGTCGAGCCAAAGTTGAAATTTATGTATTGCAAAAACTCAAGATTGATGTTCCAAAAAATGTTTTAGAAGCGAATCTTGAGTGGTTGGACATTGCACAATGTAAACGTCTTTTTAATTATTGACATTAAATGGACAACCAAACCGATTAAACAACAAACTATTCATTGCCGTTGTATGACCTGGCTCGCTGTTTGAATATTTTTACTTAATAATTCGCATCTTCTTCTCAAATAATTTTTTTTAGGAAAGATAACCTTTATAATCGTTATTATACAAATAAATACTTTTTGCGAACATATTCTTTTTTTCTATTTATTTTTTTTAATACACTATTATAAATTATTTGATTTTGATGAACAACTTAAGTCCACAATTGTGCCTTTTTCATTTGTTGTCAATTGTCGAGATATTTTATCTATATTTCTCATAAATGATCCCGACCGTAATATATTTTTATATAAAAGGATGGTAAAGAAGCAACAATAATTTTATGTACTTTTTCTTTGATTTTATGTTAATCAAACGGCATTTATTTTTTCATTCAATTTCTTGTGAATTTATTTCTTGCGATAGTGTATTCGTTGTTGCGAAAGCCTTAAGTGGCAATTGATGAATATGACTTCTGGGATATGGAGTTTTATCGTAGGAATTAATTTTTTCATAAGTAAGCAGAATACTTCACAATGGAATAAATCGAAATGAAATAATTTTGTTTCAATGAATTCACATAAAAAATTGAGGGCGCCCATTTTTCTAGGGTGGGTAATCAAATTCCGGTCGATTTCAGATTTAAAATATCAAAAAATCGTTTATACCACTAAAATGTACAAATTATTTACAATTATGTACAACAATTATCATGAACATGTACCAACATTTTATTTTTTCAAAATTTGTCTTTTTTTAATGAAATTATCAAAACCCTGAAAATGTTTACCCGAAATTCGGATACCACCAAAGTGAATCTCATTAAAATGTACAAAATATGTACAATTCAAATCACCCACCACATTTGAAAAATTTCAACTGCCCACATTTTTTGGCACCTGGCCGATTAGATTTGAAAAAGGTCTAATACAGGGGCAACTGTATTCTTTTATCCAACACATGGGGCGAAGGTCCTCTAAAAAGAAGTGTGAAAAGAAGAATCGTCAGTCTAAATTGTAAATTAAAACTGAAATAAATGTTGCAATAATAATCTTTTATTGAGTTTTTAATTGAACCAGGTTTACGGGGTTAGTTTCGAATATCGTGATTTTAAATAATACGCTGTATGTTTCTAACTTCAGTAATTTTTTTTATTGTTTTTATTTTGTATAATTAAATATCCTTGTATACATAATTTAATGAGATTTTTCTATATTATTTCACTTCATTGTTCATCGACAACATGTTTGAATTACTGCACTGATTTCGATTCAAAAACGGAAAAAAAATATTGTTCACATTCTATGCAATTGAAAAATATGTTGTATTTGCTGTTTGCTAAACTCGCAACTAAAATTGAAGATGATCAAGTTATCTTTCATTTTATTTTGGATTTCTACAGGCTGTTAACTTCAATAGAGATTGAACTCAGAGGCCCTTTGGTTCAATAATTGCTATGAAATCTATAGATTTTGACAAAAGAATTAAACCATTTACAATTTGAATCGAAACAAATAGTCGCATCTCTTTTGTTACTTTTCCTCTTGACTAATTCATTTTGTTAACATTCATATTCTCTCATCTAATTGACACAAAACTCTTTTTCATTTTTCGTCAAACTTTTCATATATCTGAATTAAAAACACAATTAAGACTGTATGTAACTGAAAATAAAATTAAAAAAAAAAACATTCGGAATAAGTAAAAAAGGAATGGTTACTACCTTTATTTAATTTACGACATTTCAAAGAGAAAATAACAGCTGAAAAAAGAGCCAAAGAAATATGAAAAACAAATGAATCACCATAAAAATCTCACATTTTTGCAAAAGTATTTCTTATCAATGTTCTTATAAGAACTCAAATTCTGATTGAAATTGTTTCGCTTTAAGTTGGGAATAATAAAAGAACGCTATTAAAATGCTGAACGTTAAACATTAAGAAAACAATCCAAAAATAGTTCATTTTTTACACATAGATTTTGAAATCAAACACAGTATTATCGGACGTTTGATTAAAATTAAAAGTTTCTCCAAATTTATATACAGTAACGAATTATTTGTTTGTGTGTATGTCCCATTTTATAAATCTCATCTTGATCTATGGATCAAATGATCAGCAAAAATAAATTGATAATATTGATCGCAAGTAGAAGGGTTTAGTAAATGCATTTCAGATATTTTCTAAATATAATTTTTTTTATCTAGGTCATTTGCATTATTATTATTATCTCTCTTTTGTGTGTATCGGGTTCTCCGATCCGGGGTATGGAGCTATGAGGTGCATAAAAAAGTCACGAATGTTTCTGGTGCGAAAAAAAGCCTTCGGCTATTATCAATACCGACAAATCGTCATAGTTCGCGTCATAAATTCTGTTCAAGGTGCATGGGTGCAAAGTTGTGATAGTCTTTGCTATAGTCATCATAAATGGGTGAAAGATTAAGATTCTGTCACGAGTGTATGTAAAGATGCAACATTGCTTTTTACCTGTGTTTTCCTGATGAAACCGAATTTTTTTCGTTTAGTTTTTGTTTTCATTTATAATAGTTTGCTTCATCTACAAATATTGAATTATCCGCAATCTTTTACTCTGCTGTGTACAACTTCATTACAAAATTCTACAAAGACCATTGACATAGTTATACAGAAAAGAAAAATCTTGAAATGGAAATATTAAGCAATTTGATTTAACTTTGTTCATGTTTCAGTTTGGATGTGTGCACTTTCGAAATATGTTTTTGATTTTTCTCTCCTCTTTAATCTACGAAAAATTCTTCATTCAAAATTCATCATTCCGATTGTTCCATTTAAAAAATTGTCTGCACAAGATTTCAGCTGAGTTTTGGGCATTGCGCTTATGAATAAATAAAGGAGTAGTGCAATTTGATGTTTTTTTTTTTCATTTTTATTTCAATAATTGTTGTGTAATAGAAGTTTTTCCTTGTATACAATTCACATTTCACTTCTCCCTATTCTTCATCAATTTTCTTCGTCTGCAATGTAATCTTTGTTTTTACTCTTTCTTCTTCGGCTTCTTCTTTCCAAATATTAACGATTTATTTTATTGAAATTGGAATGAGCCAGAATACAGACATCGACTTGAAATAAAAATCTATAAAAGTGAAACATAGTGGTTTTTGCTGCGTTTCACTTGTATAGATTTTTATTTCAAGGCGAGTTTTTATTCTAGTCCAATAATTTCTCCTTAATATGTAAATAAACTAAAAGAAGGGAAAAAATTAAACATAAACGAATGCCTCCAAATTGATTTTTTCGATAATTTAATCTCGATTTCCTGTCTAATTTTTGAAATCGCCAAACATTCGCAAAAGGTCGATGATGTTGTTTTTTCCAACTTGGTTGTGTTATTTGTCGAGAAATGGTCACAGGCAGTGGTAATTTGATTCGAGATCTTTCTTTATCAATTATTTTGGCCATAAAGAAACATCATTGATGCAAACAGGCTCATTCGCTGTCTATAAATTGGATCTATATTCGTATAAATACGATACACGGTATAAAACAGTTGCGCAAAACATAATCCATTTTCGAACAGTTAAGACAATAAAATCAAGATTTTGTTTTTTGTTTTTCGAGACACACCATAACTGATTCCAATTGGCATTCGTTAACAGAGAATTAAATTCTGGCTACAGTCGTTCAATAACTGAACGAAAATGTTTTGTCGTTTAATAAGAGTTGTGAGTGTGTCTGTGGCTGTGTGAGCCTCTAGATTTTTTTTGTGTTGTTTTGTGTTATTAGTTTGTACAAACATTATATTATTAGTTTGTTATAATATTTCAAACTGAAATTTCTCGCTATTGAATAGAATTGACCAGAATAATAATAAAAAAGAACAAACCCAACAATTTTCTCTGTCTAAATAGATGCGATCTAGTTGAATTTGGCATATTTTTAAAAAAACGAACGCCACTAAATATTTACTTGTGTTTGTGTATCTCGGTGTGTTGTAAATTATTTTCTCTTTGCTAAATGTTATAAGTTTGATTTTGTTTGTTTGTCTGTTTTTCATCAACTTTAGTTATTCTTTACTCCTTGTTTTTTTTTTGGTTTAATTAAAGCTTGTTTTGTCTCGGCTGTTGTTTTCCATTTTTTAAATGTTATATTATTATCTTCGTCATCGATTCGTGAATTTTCCAAGTAAAAAATAATCAAGAACGAGAAAAAAAATCGCATTGCGTGATTTTATCTCTCTCTTTCCATATTTGCCTATTTCAGTTTTGTCATCGGACATTCAAATATTGCAAGTGAATATCATATCACAATTAAACACTTTTGGATTAATATGTTGACTGCACGGTTTTTTTATTGTTCATAAAAAAAATTACGGAAGATGTCATAATATCTATCTTTCTCTCTCATTTTTTTTTTTCATTTGGTTCAGTCGGTATGGTTTTTGGTGGTTGTTAAATCTTCAAACGAGCCTATTTGTTTCTAAACTAAAAAGATCATTGCATTGGGGGGAGGAAAAAACACACAAACAAATTCGAGATTTCAAACGAACGACCAAGTTCGATTAATTGAATTGAAAGAATGTATGTGTTTGTGTACATTTGAACAATTTGATACGATATATTTGTTTTCTTTTTAATTATTGATTTGGCTTTATTTTTCATATATGTTTTGTGGATGTTTCACTCTCGTTCACGCTTTTCATTTTGTCATTAAATCGTCTGAAAGAAGGAAATCTCTATAGATTTCAATTATAGATTCATTTTGTTTTCTTTACAAGTAACAATGTGTATTTCTTTTTTTTTTTAATTAAATTTTTTGATTTGCATTTTCAAATCTCTATTTATGTCAACATTATCATAAATTTGATTTAAATATCCTACATTTTTTTGTTTAAGTGTGGTTTCTTTTTTTTGTGTGTGTGTTGTATGTGTGTGTGGGTGTGTAGTAATTTTTAGAGCGTAAACACGTCAAAGGCAGAATCTGTCGCAAAAAATTACCGTTATTTTTTTTCTTCTTAGTTATCTTTTTTCTCTTTTTCTTTTCAAAGTTCAAGAGTTTAACTCTGTTACTGGAGGATGTTAGTGAATTTAGAATAGCTGCTTGTTGACTGTAAAAAATAAAGACAACTTCTCCAATTTCGGAAATGAAACGATTGCCGGAGGATTGAAAAGTTCTCGTCTGAAAATTGTAAGAAAATAACAACGATAAAGAAAAACTCCAAACGTTCGTGTCAATTTTGTGCGATGTTCCACATTTAACGTGGTTCGCTCCTTAATTTACAATAATATAATAATAATAATAGTGAACATATAATAGATTATAATCATATGTAATAATTTAGCCGAGAATGAAAGGTGAAAGTAAGAGAGAGAGAGATAGAGCCGAGTCCATTACGAATTTATTGCAAGAAAACATCGCAAAACTGTTCGATCGTCGTCAATAATCAATATGTTTATATTCGAAGTCAATTTGTAATAAACGTTCCACTCGTTTTGGTTACTAGGAGCTGATCAGAGCCATGCGGCAAATCGAGCAATTTTTGTTCGTTCCCCCTCCCTCTCTCTCTCTATCTCTTTCCGAATCATTCTAGTTAGTAAGAGTTAAATTTTCACATTCTACACCGTCTACTGTCAATTACTGTTGCATTCGCTGCATTCTTTTATATTCATTTTTTCTTCATCATTTATTTTCCCTCAAATAACAATAGAATCATAAAAATAGTTAAACATAATTTTTTTTTCTTCTGCATTCATTCACTTTTTTTTTAAATCTTTTTGTTTTTTTCTCTACATTCCATTTTTTTATATAAATATAGTTAAAAGAAAAAAAACGTAAATCACATTGGTCAGAGATTGGCGCTCAAATAAAATTGGATGACAAGGTTTCCTTTTTGTTAGTAATTTCTGCCGTTATACCCCGTTCAACAGGAGAGATAGAGTCTGTCTATTTTATATCCAATATTTTAAATTTTCTTGCCATGTTTATGTTTGTATTTTTTTTTCGTATTTTTTTTTGTCTGTTCTAGTCTCGATGCATTTTATTTGTTTTGTTTTATTTAAATGTAGTAATTTATTTTCGCTCTCTTGAAAATATAAAATTTAATTGTGTTTTTCTCTTTTTTTTTTTATCGCTATGGCTTTTCTTCAAGCAATTTTCTTCTGTGTACTATTCCAATTTTAAATTGATTTGTTTGATTTTTCTATGATTTAGACACATTTTTTTAAATTTATCAATTTGCTGCTGTGACATACATTATTTGGACGTAGATACCATCTAATTTAGAATTTACTGGAACGGGGGCAGTGGGTTGATTTTGGTTTTGCCTCATATTTTCTTCGTTCGGGATTCGTTTTGTTTTCTCTTCAAAGAATTTTTTGTTAAATATATATATATTATAAGATAAGTGTCGTGTCACTCTCTATCTGTCTCGAATAAATGTCCATATGAATGTGTGTACAGCGTGCAAAGTGATAATTTCTTTTTTGTATTTGAAATGTGTTTTTACACGGAGATAGAATTTTTTTCGTTCGTTTTTTTTTTTCAATATTTGTTTATATAAATAGTGCTCGTCCAATTCATCTTGAATTTTAGCCTATCCCCGTTGCTGTTGAGACTGTGGTTGAGATGACGTGTCCGAAATGAGATTTGATCCATTTGTCGATGTGGTGGCCGTCGTATCTGTTAGCTGTGTACCTAATCCCGTATCACCGATCAACGAAACTGTTGTTTGATCATCACTATAATTTACAAGCGTAGTGCCACTGCTACTGCTGGTTGTGACTGAAATGTGACCACAACACGAAAAAAAAAACAGACAAAGGTAAGAAAATTGAGATCAAAGAAAACATGTCAAAATAATGTATCGGTTTTTAACGAATTGACTTTCTTGAATTATGTAAAAAAAAAAAAAATCGGGGGGAAAATGTACCTGTTGCTGCTGTTATTGAAGCAGATGTAGTCGAGGACATATGTATTGTCGTTAAATTTGTTGAGGACTGTAGTAGTGACGTTTGTGAATTTAATTCCGTACTTGGTATCGATGATGACGATGCCGACTGTTGTGGTAATGCGGGATCATCAGTTAATCGCAATGCAATCTCCAAATCACGTAACACATCTGTTTCTTTGGATTCTATTAAATTGAAACGCCTGCAATAAATGTAACAACAAAAATGCTTTAGTTAAATGTATCGTTCAATTGATTCAATGATGGAAAAGTGTTGATTGCAAAATGGAAAACCTTCATATAGAATATGGTGAAAGAGGTTTTCGTGGGCGATAGAAGATATTGTTTACTTACTTATGCAACGCGGTCAAATGGGCAAATGTTAAATTTAAATGTGAATGTAAACCTAACAAAGCAATCTCCCGAAAATGGGCTGCATACAAATGAGCAATCACATGAAATAATAGTCGCAAGATTTTCCTTGCAATGCTTTCGAATGAACTAGGAAATTCGTTGGCATATTTTGTTGGAAATATCGACTCATCGCTAACAGTTTTTTGTGTAAATGTCATTACATAGTCGATGTATTGCGGTGCTGCGACGCGAGTCTTTTTCCCCTTTTCGTCAAACCATAAGTACATTCTGTGGAAAAATGAACAAAAAGAAGAAAAAGAAGAAAAAGAAAACATGGTGGCATTAAAAATTGTCAGTTTCATGAAAATGAATTATATTTGTTGCATGTTGATTCATACCTATTTCCTGGTCCAGTCATATCTGGGCACCCGGATGTTGTACAAAATTCACTAATTGTTCCATACACTAAATTTACATGTTCGAATAGTGCCAATGCTGTGGAAATGAAAACGGAAAAACACATTAATATGACTCATGGGAATTTGTAGCCGACCCGAAAATGGTCTACACAGCCAACATCACTACTACCATAAAAACACACAAATCGATAATAAAACTTACTGTGCGAAGCAAGCCATTCGTTATAGTCTAAGCCAGCTGGAAGTTCTACAATTGTATTAAGATTGGCATCGGTAAGTTTTCGTTCAAGTACACTTTCTTCTAAATAGAGTTTTGTGTCATTTGAATTTTGATCACCGTCCTTTTCCTTGCGCCGGGCTTTTCTGTAATTAGCAAAATGGAAAAAAATTTAGAAATGATATTTTTCGAAATTTTCTCTATTTTTTTTTTTTAAATAAAATTTCATCAACTTGAAAAAGAAGACTGGAATCGATTGAGGTTGGTAATGTTTATTTCGTTGGTATTTTTTTCTACATTGCAATCTAACATGTGAATGTATTCATTGTGTGCATTATCAAAAACGAACCAAAATAAACGCCTTTGCCAAGACAAAGTAGAGAATTTGGTTTGTCGGTGCTTGCGAAGTGTATTATGTTGACATTATGCCACAAACCAAATATGATAAACTGGTTATTCTTTTTCAGCTTGTTTTTTTTTTTGTTCACTTAAAAAAGCTTGCATGTTAAATTCTTTTGTTTGGCGATTAATGTGTGGTTTTGTTTTCCTCGTTCATTGAATTTATTTTTTCGTTTGTTTCGAGCACTTACGTGCGTTCATAATATGCTGTGAGTGCATTCGATTCACACTTTCCATTGAAAATGCGTATTACAAAAAAAATGGAGCAAAAAAATTCGCAACACAGACAAACCAAATTTGCGCTCAATTTAAACGTCGTTTCAATTTAATTAATTCAAAAGTTCGGTCTCACGTTCTTCTCTCTATTACATGCATCAACTTGTTGGCCACAATGTTGCACATAAACTTGCCAAAGTAACATACACTTACACAAATACACACAAAAAACACTATTATAGCGATTAAATTACGGTCGTTTTGCTTGTATTGCAAGTTTTTTCTCGTTCTTCTCACTACTTTTTTTTTCCAAATTGTATTCCATTGTTTTCAATTTAATTTATGGAACGAAAATGATGATTTCCACGTTTTTTTAACCGCTTGTAAAATGACAAATGACAAATTGCAATTATTCGCTTCGTTGTGAAATTCAATACATCATGTAATCAGTGTGCACGAGCCATTGCCAATCATTTGATAGATTTATATAGGCGAATAATGATTGAATATTTGAACAAAAAAAAATACTCATCCACATTCAAACGACAAATGGAACTGAAAACGAGAGCAAAGTAATTTTTTCTTTCACTTTCATCAGAAGATTGTAGCTTATTTTTAAATTAAAGCTTTTGAATGTTACCATTTGGGTGGACATTTTTTTATTCAATTGAAAATAATTTCATAAAAGCTGCTAGTTTCAGTGCAATTTTCTATTCTAAAATGCATATTATTCATTATGGACACGATATACTCTGGAAGATGGTGCAGAGCATTTAAAGAATTATGAACTGCAGAGCTCCGTGTTCATAACGCTGAATGATTTTCAATAAATCTTGCAGAAGTTGTAAATATTTAGTAAAATCTAGATGATCTTTTCAAATGATCTCAATGATAGTCAATAAAACGTTTTTTTTTTTTAATCATGTGCCTTTGACTAATGTGATTTTTTTTAAATAAAAAAGTCTTTTTGAAACTCTTTTCGTCTTTTAGAGAGAGAGAGAGAGAGAGAGAACGGATTTAATGAGATGAAAGTTGTTTTTTTCATTTGATTATGTAGAAAAATCGAAAGAGTGCTTTTGAGTGTTCGAAAATCACAAAAAAAAATCGTAAACAAATGTCAAATTGCGCTTGAAATAGATTTGTCACAACTTTTTATTATCCAAATACGAAAAAATATGACAACCACTAAACCAACGACGGAAATTGTTTGAGTGCCACAAATATTAAAAAATATATATGGTTAATTGGTTATATCTTATCGCTAGTCGCTTTGCTCACAATTGACAACCATATATGATTAAAATAACAAAGCAACTGTTGTCACAAAGTATTACAAGTATAATTAATGTAATATATTTTAAGAATGCCATCAAAAAATGATTGGTAATCGGTGTGACTCATGGCATGGGTTACAATCGATGATGAAATGATTTGGCCCCCCAAAAAAATCTATCAACAGTTGAGCTGGTTTCGATATTTGGTAAGACACTTACGTTGGACAGAAGAATACATTGATTGATTCTTGTGCATATCGTAGCAATGATCCAAATGCATCACTTAATTTGGACGGCACTGTGACCACTTGCCACATGAGTTTCTCATGTGATCCCGTTCGCATGTGTGTTTGAGTTTCGTTAGGAAGCTGAATGTTTGGTCGTGTATTGCTCAGCCGTATTATTATTGTATCTGTATCAAATGCCGGTAAATGTTGTTCGATTTCTTGCTTTTGTTCTTGTTGAAATGCACACGATGTTTTATGCTTACAATAAATCGGCGTCGTTGGTTTAACTTTCATTCGAAATCGTTTGCACAATATTTGAATGCACATAATTCTACATAGAAAATACGTCACTTCTGTCGACGAAGCTTTTTTTTTTTTAAATTAAGACATAGAAAACATATGGCACTACATTCACTTTATTAGTAACCGTCGAATGACACACGCGCACAGCAAAAATTAATTTGTTTCTTTTTCAATTCTTCTCTGTTGCCGCTGTGGTTCACTTTACATTTATCCAGTAATTTTTATCCAATTTATGCACGAAGATCACGATTTTAGTGTTAGTTTGCGGCGGAAATTCATTTGCCCACTTCATTATACAGCAAACGCACGGAATGAATTTGAATTGACAACCGTATCGCTTTGATGATATTTTGTTTATGCGAACTTGTCACACAAATTCTCGCACTCTCTCCTTTTCAATACGGGCGATCGCAAGTCAAACAACCTGATTCATCAACTGGACGGGTTATGTATTTCGTGTTGTTTTTTTTTTTGTTCAACTACTATTACTTCTTCTTTTTTTATGTCGTATCTTAAAAATAACTCCAAAATACATCTGCAATATATCAAATGATATCACTTCTGAATGACTTGACTTGACTATCAACCTATAATGTTCGGTTCGATACTCTTCTTCTTTTTTCTTTCTTTGTTTTGCTATTTATAATGCTGAAATTATACACGTACGAAAATTGATTATATATTTGTTGGTTGTTGTTTCGTTTTGTTGTTCGATTGTTGCGATGAATCACATGCCACATGGATTTAAGTGTGTGTGCGTGTGTATCGATATTTGCTATAAATCGATAAGTTTTTATCATCGCACTTTTATGCAATTTATCAACCGTTGATTTTATAACGCTTTGTCTCGTTCAAACAATTTGGAGAATGATAAAGAGCGTGTGTATGTTATAAATGTGATTATGGTTCTATGGTATGCTTTTTCACAGAAAAGCTTCTGCACGTGTGCACAAAAAGAGCCAGAATGATAACAATTTGTTTTTCTTTTTTGTTGGTTTCGTGCGTTCTAACAAATTGCCTTCAATCATCCTAATGAATTTTCAATCCGAATTTTTTGCAAGCAATTTTCAGGCGCCCACATAATAAAAAAAGCAACAACATGGAATATATTTCATTTTAATTACTTCGATTCAAAGTTATCATATTTCAAACGATAAATCGAATATGAACACCGAACATTTTATTCACAAATTGGTTTTTGCCTACGCATCGTGTATACGCTAAAATTACCGTAATTTTGCTAATGAATGGCATTCAATTTATTCATTTTTTTAAAATGTATATGTGCTTCAATTTTGAATCGATGCAACTGCGTGATGCTTAATAGGTGTGCACTCGAAAAAAGCAACAGAGTGAGAAAGAGAGAGAGACAGAGCTAGAACAAGAGATCAACCTTCAGTTCTGCCTGACACAAAAGTAAACATAATTAACCATTTTTCATAGTGTCAATGTATGTTTTTTATTTTGCTCACGCCACGATGCCGTTGACACATGAGTTATCTCGTTTGCCCCAATGGAGGGATTTTGAAACGTGAAATATGCGAATTTATGTCGGATAAAATGCAAATAATTATTCACACGCGCATTCATTAATGCATTCGCTACAAAGAGTATGAAAAAAATTCAAACGAGCGAGGTGGAAATTTAATCAGTTAATCAGGTAATAAAACCAAACACTTTGAAAGAATGCACGCATTAAAGCATTTTTGCATCTATGGACATGCTTTTATCATCTATAAATTCACCATTTTCAACAGTGACAAACTTGTATCTGTTGCCAATCGGATACGTTCAGGTATATCGGCAATACAATCACATTTGTTTACTCAAAAAAATAATTTTTTTGTTTTATGACGGAAACCGTATCGCAATTTATGCGAGATATGACAAAATTGATCCAAGTCAAACACACGTTTGTTATTCACTCTTTAGAGCGAATAAGATTTATAGAACGAAATGTGAACAAAATATTTTTCTCACAGAAAGTACAAATGACAAAATCAAATGTGATTTGTTTTTTCATGCATGACAAAATACAGTGATTAGAACCCAGTATTGATACTTGAATTGAATATTGTTACTGTAGGCTAGGTTTGTCGAATTTTGGTCTTCTATAAGTTATAATTTGAAATTTTTGTGGATTTTCACTCAAAAACTCAAATTATGGAGAGATACACGTTTCCCTCAAAATATATTTCGTGTATGACTGCAGTAAAAGTATAATTTGAAAATAACGTTCGCGCAAAATAAAAAGCGCATCGACCAATTATGGCATTGAAATGTCAATATTATAGATCAAAATTCTGAAATACACGTCTACAGTAAAAGTTATTTATTTTATTTAGCTTTAACGCAGATTAATACTGGGTAATCCAGTCTGAGTTCTAATTCGCTGTATTTCCAAGAGCATATTTTCGGAACCAACAAAAAATCAGCGATGTTTTTTAACAAAAACGAAAGAAAGATTTCATTTCCAATCGCTTTCAATTTACGTAAAATATCCATTCTGGTGTAAAATCATCAATAAAGCCATTGCATATCCATTGGACTATACCATAAATTTATCTCAAAGGAAATATGACTTGCATGAGCAAGCTCTTAGCTCAAATAAATACCGTAAACACGGTAAATAATTGGGTCAATTTGCTCACGATCAATTCATTTCATTTCTTATAATTATCCATATAATGTGCACGTCGGGAGTCTCATATGTACGCACATTTATTAAATATAACTGTGACGACGTAACTTTGAATTAAAAAAAAAACATACACACACACAGAAATAAGTTTTAACAAAGACAAGATTTCAACGTTTCAACAGTTTTATACATGTGTGCAGTGTTTTATTTTGTCGTTGGTCTCTGTTACATACTGCTGGCGCAAAATGTGAATTATTTGTCATAAAAAAAAGAATGCTAAATAAAAAATCGGCGGGAAACTGTGCAGCAAATAGAAAAAGCAGATAAAAAATGGAACAATTTTATTTGTCGCGCTGGTCAATGAGATATAATTGATCATGCAGTCGTACAGATAAACGCAATTGTGAAATAGCCAGATGTTAATGGCTTTTTGCCCATAATTTAATATACGCTAACAGTAAAACACCGTGTGTGTGCGCGCCCGCAGAAGCACGCATAAATTGTATGTGTCCGACCGTCTGTGTGCCAATGCATCAAATGACTAGCACCAATTATGTCATCATCGTGTACTATATTTACAAAGCACTGTCCAAGAGAAGAAGAAAAAAGTCATTACAATGAATCGAACTGAATTCGCGTGCACAAGAGATTTTTGTTGAGATTATTTCACATTGACGATTTCCGTTTTGAAATGACTTTAGCAGCGAATTCAATTTTAAATGGAGCCAATTATATGTGAACCACACATGATTTATTAGCAAATGATGAAAAAAAAAATCGAATCTCAATTCGAGCCGCAGTAGCGAGATTGATGAGATGAGATTAGGCGATTTAGTTCAGTATTTTTCTTTTACGTTCTACTTGTATTTCATCATTTTGGCTACGCCAAATTAGAAGCGCCAACCCAATTCGGTAACGACTTAGCCAAACAAAAGTGATCAGATTGATAAACTGGACAAAAAATAATAACAATTATTAGAAACGACGGCGGTCGCGTCATCATGACATCAAAATGTAATTGAACTGTTTATATTTCAATGAATTTTTGACCGATGTGCATATGAAGCTGATAATGTAATTTATGGGGCTGGGCAAAAAAAAAACAAATGATTTAATTGAACAACAACTTAAAAAAAAGACTGTGAACATCTTGGTTGCATGGATTCGACGCTGTCATCGTTATGCTTATTGAATTACGAACACAGTATGTAATAATGTATCGTAGATCGCAGGCGTTGCATTTGCATACAAAAAAATCTACACATAGAGAATGAAACGCAACAAACAATTGCCATTTATCATATATTTTATGCACATTTTGTGTTTTTGTTTGCATCGAAGTCGAGTTCTTTGTTAATTTGTCATTGTTTTGTTCTTGTCTTGAGTGTCGATGATCGACCGATATGTATGAAATAAAACTTCACACTTATTCATTTCCCTTTTTTTAAACACGTCAATGTATTTGTCATTTATCGGTAAATAAATAACCGAAAAAGAAGAGAAATTGAAACGTAAATTAATTGACAACCAAAAAACAAAGAGCAACGACAATAAACAAAAGAAAAGAACTTTTTCTAATAACATCAACTGGCGTTGTGTTGTAAATTGTATCGTAATTAAGCTCCATAAAGACACATATATGCATGATGTATAAAAAGGCTCAAGTTCATTCTCATCGATCTGAGCGTATGGTCGGTAGGCTCGCTTACTCGCTTCCACACAAATGAAAAGAAAAACAATTATACACAGTGTTATTCAAGTGGCTAACGCTGACGACATCAACTATAAAGTACACTTCTCTTTTGGCTCTCTAAAAAAGAGCGCGCGCACACACACACACGCTTGTCGTGTTAATTGGTACTCAATTTTTATTGTGTGTTGGCCATAGTTTTTTTTGTATTCGAATAATGTTTATAAAGTCATGTCCTCAATATGGAGTATGTGTTTGGAAGCGTTTTGTTTCCAATGAAAAGTGTGTTTGTACATTTCCATTTTTGCCCGGGCTTTTCCCTCTCGAAAAAAAAAACAACACTTTAATTCATTGTTATGCATAGAGCAAATGCCTTTTTACTATTTCAAAAGAATAAATTCTTGTTTTTTTTTTTTGTATTTCAAATACAAAAACTAACAATGTTCTGCATTGAGGAATAAAAACACGATTTTCCATTCAAAAATCGCATGAACGTTTGACGTTGGTGTTCATCAGCGGTGTTCAACGTATGGTTGTTCCATTTTGTTTTGATGGAGTATCAATTGGCAAAGTAAACCATAAAATTGATCGACATACGACATATCTAATCATACGATTTTGTTTTCGGTTATGTGTCGAAAACTGAGAGATAGAGAGAGAGAGAGAAAATCATTCCAATTTCAATATCAATACAGAGCCTAATGAAGTGATAAGATTTCAATCATTTAAGGCCACACATTTTCATTTCACAGCGAATTCAATTTTTTTTATGATTACGATGATGATGAAGTAAAACAAAAATGCGATTTATTTCCTTGCGGATTGGGAATAGGCTACGTTGTGTATGTGTGTGTGTTTGGGCCAGAATCGATTCTTCACTACATTTGACTTTGTTCGATCGAACAAAGAACAAAACGTGTGACTAATTAGAATTGAGTGGAAGTTAAAAGTCGCGCCATTAACACAGCTGATGAATTTAAATATTCGAACAGAGAGACAGCAGTGGAGTGAAAGAGATGGAAGTGGAAAGAAAGAAGAAAAAAACAGCTGAAACAATAAAACGAATTGCATACGACTAACTGTGACACGATGAACATAAGTTCAATTGAATAAATTTATTTTTGATGACACCAATTGAATGCACACAATTTTTAACACACAAACACCGAAAGAGAGAAAGAAACAATAATTGAGTGAAAATATCGTTCATTCAAGCAATAAAGTTTCTATATTCTTGCACAATTCATTCAATTTCTCGTATATTTCAAATTGTTCAAAATGGTAGATAGAATGTGATCTCGGCAAAATATGCGAAAAATATTTGGCCTCGACACTTGGAACTCACACTTTGCACTTATAATTTACAATCAATTAAATTGTTCAATTCGATTAAGTTGAATAAAAAAAAAATAAACCAAATTATCGCGATACAAATTTGATTTCAAATTATCACAATATCCTGTGAATTTCGTGATATGTCAACGATAACTTCAACTATCTATCAAAAGTATTCAGGTTTTTTTTTCTAACCTCATGTGAAATTAGCCCACAAGCCAAAATATGACAAGCTTCGAAAATGAGCCGCCAACAGATAGGAACGAATGGAAAAGAGAATGCGACCACTTTTGATAAAGTGTTAAATTTCGTTTAGGAATGGTAAATAGCAATACGCTCATTTTTTTTTTGTTGCACCAGTCACATGGGCGCTCATTTCGTGCGTGTGCGGTCGGGAATACGGTCGACGTCATAGGAAAAAAAACGTCGAATATTTCTGTTTTTGTTTATATTCATCATAAAATGTCATGTTGATTGCTTTTTTTCACGATATTTGCATGCTTGAACAGCTCAAAAGATTTTTCCTTGGAATTTTTGTGTG